GCTAGCCCCTCAGGATATGATAGCCAAAGACATTCGCGTGCTACATCTTCCAACTCTTTAAGACCTGTATCGGATATTAGCCCTGCATCTATACCCATTCTTTCAGATACCCCACCTGGACCGCATCCACCTCCATCAACACCTGCCGACCCAAGCTTACTATCTTTCCCCAACCCATCCTTCACCAACGATCAGGCCTCGGCAGAAAGATCGGAGGGATCCGATGAAAACATGAGTGGTGGTGCTAGGGATCCACCTAGTCGACGCCGTCTATCAAGGCGATTAAGTAGCTCAGATAGCATACCGCCATTCAGCGCGTTAGGAGGCAGATCTGCTGGGTCAAATAATAACAATTCTGCCGGTAGTTCTAGTAGCGCAGCCGGTAGCGGATCTGGCCCTAGGCGTCCGCCGGGTAATGCGGAAGGTACTAGAAGTTGGATCATTTATGTTCTCGGCGGCTCGTATCCAGAGGATCATCCTATTTTGACCACGCCAAGTTTATTCACAGATGTAGGAATTATATTCTCCATCATTTGTAGAGTATCTTATATTGTAGTGATTGCTAACCTTTGCACATCAACAGGCTCCAACATACGAAGATATGATGCTGCTATCTTCCCTTCTTGGGCCAGCAAAGCCCCCAGTTGCCACTCGAGATGATGTGAATTCTGCCGGGGGGATATTTGTATTTGGTGAAGAGACCACATTGAACGTTAATATCGCGGAAGGGGACAGATGCTTGATCTGTTTGGGTGATTATGAAAAAAGCGAGGAGTGCAGGTTGCTTTCAAAATGCCAGCATGTTTTTCATAGGGAGTGCATCGATGAGGTACGACACCAATCCCATAATTTGATGTGGTCAATACTGATGATATCATAGTGGTTGACCACTGGTCGTAACTCGTGCCCGCTCTGCCGAAGTCAGGGAGTCAATGAGAAGGAACAGCCCCCAACTACCTCCACAGACACCCCTCCGGCAAATCCCGTTGATGGAACGGCAGCTTCATAGAATTCCATGTATCCTAACTATATTGTGTGGTTCGCTTCAAACTGCCATTCACATTTTCTTCGGACATTGTGGTACATTATTGGGTGGTTTTTAGGATCCTTGTTCATATTCCAGGATTTACTCGCCTCTCCCCTTGCTTGTCTTGTATTCGCTTGTTTTTTTGTTTTTTTTGTCCTTAGCAGTCTCTATTTTATTCTCCTCTTGTTCCGGGAATAAGACGGTTTGGTCAGGTGCATGGTTGGTAGGTTGATTTTTCTCTCAGTGGTTTTGCGATGTCTAATGCCAAAGTTTTATTGTATTTTCTTTCTGTCGTGGCGCGGCGTCGAGTGTTGAATTCCCCTGCCCTTCTCTGTTTGACTACAACGGCGGATTTAGTTGTCTAGTTTGTATCCTAACATCCAGTGGGCCTTTTTCATGCGTAAAAAGCTATTGGATATTATATTGGGATGAAAACCTGGGTTTATCTTACGTTTTTTTTTTTGTCTACTTGCTTACGTTTTTTTTTTTTTTATCCACCATATTCATCACGAAAGAAAGTAACGGAACCTTTCTGGAAGTGGGTTTGGGGATTTCGGGATTTTCATTAGGCATAATATCCTTTTCTTTTTTTACTTCTCCATTTTTGTTTTTTCCTGGTCGCACCCCCCCAAAAAAACTGCCGGGGTATTACAAACGGTGTTCTGTATCTGTTATCATTCTGCTTACACTTTTCTTATTATTTTGTTTTTCTTGCCCTCCTTGGCGAATTTTTCTTCATCTGTACTATTTCTTTTGTACTGTAGGACTCCACGTCTATCTTATGTAGAAGCTAATCGAACCACATACTCCCCCAATAACTCTACGTATCCTCAACCAATCTGCGATCCTTTTACTGCTCTTTCTCCCACATAATATCTTCAGTCCACACATGCGTACTCATTCACTTACCTACACTTACCTACTCACCCTCATATATCAATTAGTAACAAACTTCAATAACGTACCGTGGCTTCGGACAACGAGTAAGGGTTTTGCACAGACCATTCATACTGGGCTAGCTGCACCCAATTAGCGAGATTCCATTATTCAGATTCCTGGTTTGTGGTAAGGCATTGTTTAACCAAGTAGTTCGGGCTAGGCTTCGCTACAGTGGCCGTGGTATTACATACGCTGAGCCCCCCTCGTACGGCCTCCGGGACGTTATTTTAGCCCGGAACGTGCCGGCGTGTACAGATATTTACATGTAGGTACTCTCCCCCATACGTACGCATACGATCATAGCTGATCCGAGGTAGGGGCTGTCTGTCTGAATGGCTTGACTTCAGCTAGGACTATGCTTGTGGGAACCATCGTAATGTGCCTGGATCTGCTTACGATCTTCCGGAGGGGAGCATACATATGCAACAAAAGAGAGGAAGGAATATGGGGGACAGGCTAGAAAGGTAAGGGTATTGGGCTAGCGCATTACATACACCTAGCGTTCCACTGGATTAATGCCTGTTTACGTTTCTGGTGGCAAGACTGAAGGGTTTTCTATCGTGCCAGCTGGGTAAATTCATACATGTACATATATAATCAATGTATCATGCATATTTGTTATTATTGATCTGAACTACATGGGTGGGGGCTCGAAACTGACGAGAGTTTCAGTTCTTGCTATATATGAGGGCAGTGTTATAGCAATCTAAATCCCTTCCTTCCCCCTTCTTGCTCCCCCTTTTTTATTTTGTTTTGGTTTAGGAGTCATTGTTACTATCACGGTTCACATATGTCTCCGTCAGTTAACTAGTGCTGTAATAGTAATACAATCTAAAAGATCACCCTCCACCCCTTTTTTTAACCCCAAGGCTTTTCAATTAAGTTCAGAGTGGAATAAATCATGTATTGCACATTATAGAATTATCTTTCCTCTCATCTTTCTCGTTTGTGCACCGGCAGTGCTGCGGCACGTGTAGTGGTAAATATCAGCTCATATCAACCCTTTTGCCTGCTGCTTCCAGCTCTTAACTCCGTGCGTAGATAATATATTACTAGTACTTAGTCACAAATTGGACAAGGCTCGCAGCATTGTTTTGTTAGAGTATGATATTTATATAGCTACTAGACTTGGTAGAGAACCTTACTAGCATGGTACGGACCGGTATGTCGGGTACTTGTAAACAGGGTGTAGGGGTAGTCTGTCGCACCAATAAAAGCTTTGTTCGAAACGGAGAACTCCATCCAGAAGTCTTTAGCTTATAAATGGCTAGATAATCCCGAGATTCCTCGGCAGAAGCCGAGAAATTATACCACACGTATCTGGTACTTGGTGCAATACCATACCTCTATTACAACCAGGGGGCCCTCGTGATGTGTATTTTTCTTCCTAAATTCTAGGCCTCAAGGGTGCGAGTGATATTCCGCACATTATTCCGTGCGCATATTGCGATTGGTAGAGGCATCGATAGATGTATAGGTACTCTACATACATACATACAAAACATGTAGTTCCGTACTTTGCCTCCGAATTTACAATCGATACGTCAGTGGGGACTGATAGGGGGCTTTCTGTTCAACATTTACAGTGGTTTTATGGGTTGAAATTTTATAAACCGTTATTAAATTTTAATTTAACTAGTTACGCAATACTGAAAAAAGAACAGTGGAAGACATATGTAGGGAGACATTCGCGGTTGAAAATAAAATACAGGGTTTTAAATCATTGCATTCGCAGCTCCCTCGAAAATTTCGTACCTGCTGTTGGCGACACAAATCCCAAGAACTCGGGACAAGTAATAAGCATCGGAGAATGCAAGTTTCGTTCTCACTAATCGATATCCATGCCTAACGATAATCTCCAATAAAGGTTCGGTCCCAAGACCTGCATTATCCGGTACATATTTCTGCCCCGAGTATGCACTGTATGGAGTACGGCAGTGCTTTTTTCTCCGATATGATATCGATACCGTTGATATGCCGATTGCCCTAAGAACAAGGGCCAATGTCCGTGCATCGATCGGACGTCTTTAGACCCGAAAACACGCCGCTGAACGGCATTTTGGCCGTTGAGCTTGAGCACGGAAATAGAACTTCTATTTTCGATTTGACATGTCTTAATATGTTATTAAGCAGACAATATTATAAGAACCCAGAACCATCTTCATCTATTTACCGATTTATGAATTTGCCTTACCCCGAGACAAGGCCAAGACATCGATTGACCTTGGATAGTGGTTACGATAATGCATTTAATATATTGGTGTATGTATGTATGTATGTACTAGTATTTCTCTGACGTTTTTGAACTGGGCCATTATTGCATACACCCAAAATCATGAGCTTGGCGTATTTTTGTATGGCATGCAATATCAGTCGCGTCCACAAACGTCAGTATGTATGTATACCTACATGTAGGCACTCAGAGTATAGTACATAAATTCATACATGTGCGTCCCGAAAAGGAATCATCATTTGCCCACACAGCCAGGTATGGTATTCATGCTTGCTAGTTTTGGAAATACAGCGCTACGTTTTTTTTTTTTTTTTTTTTTTTTTTTTTATGCCTGTGACTATTGCTTCTTACGGGCCATCATTGTCAGCTTAATACCCAAGCCGCTATCATACGTATCTAAAGTGCAAGTATTTTCTGAACGATGTTTGTTATTGCGTATTTATGAGCCAGGAACATAGATTGTGTCTTGCCTGGATTACGGATGTGGATGTGGGGTATGTATAGTGTAGGGTTGTTACGGGAGTATCTTTGCAGGGACCTTGTCTAGAACAGGGAATTTTCTGGATAAGACATTTCCCTGGACCCATCCTGTTGCCTTTTCCTTTCTTTTTCCCATCAGAACGTTGGAGTAGCTATCGAAGTACCTGTGACTTAGATCTTTAGTCAATTTTTTATTTATTTTTATGCCGCGGGTTCCGGAAGGCCTTTCCTTTCCGCCTCTAAAGACTGTCTCGGAGATTTGCGCAGACGGCTTTCAAGTTCCCTCATGACAAAAGATATGCGCCTCGGCATCCAATTGACATGAAAGAGTTTAAGAACGTATGATACGTGTATACCATGTTCACTTCCAAAGCCTCAGTGCGTGATGATGCTAATTATGCCACGGATAGGAGAATAGGAAAAAGGGGATGATGCACTGGCAGCGGAGTAGTAGTTGGTCCATGCTGTCGGCACTATCATGTGTTACCAGAGGAGAGGTTCGTCCATATGATATTGATATTGCGGCATTCGGTCCAGGATTCTACGTACATAAATTCGTTGGGCATTTTTTCCCTCGGTGTTTTCACACCCGGTTCCTAATCGTAGGTACTCTACCAACCAAGGACTGATGCCTGGGCGTCTGTTGAGTACAGTAAGTTTTGAATACTCTACTGCATGCACATACATACATACATACATACTCATATACTCACATACATGGGTGATCACTCCTTGATCTACACCCGCCGTCTGCCTGTTTAGCTTCAACTGTATGTATGTTTTGGAATTCACACCACTCCTCTGCTATGATTGAAATGTGGCTTGCCCTGGTGCATTTACTTACCTACTCTAGAGTGCCGCTGAAGAGCAAAAGGTGCTTTTGCAGGTTAGTTGACGTAGAATAGAAGGCTACCAGAAGCATAACACACTATCATGATTCCAAAGAATGCAAAGATTTAGTACCCCCAGAAGCCCGGTTTTTTCTCCGCTGCAATGCATAGCTCCGTGGGGTTGAATCAACCAAGATCAGTAAATCGACACCCTCAGTAGTGACACTCACCGCTCAGGCGGTGAGGCGCGTAACCAGAGAGAGTGCAATGTTGCACAGCAAAGACAGAACAGTCAGCTCGCAGACTACTTCAGCAGTATTAGGCAACGAAACCCATGCTTCAACTTTCCTGTCATCACAATCGGTGACGCCCAACGTTGACGGTCAGTGCGCCAGATAATGGAAGGAGAAGAAAAAGCAAAAATAAATTCCCGAAAGAGTCTTAAAGTTGCGACATGACTAATGGTCAATTGGGAACTAGTTATCCATAAAAGATGACTCGGAATCTAACCCAATTCCGATAGATCGTTCATATATCTGGTGGAAGTCCTAATAGAACAGATAAATGTTAGATTGCTGACATGTGAGCCAGTTACTGCTGCCATAGGTTTTTCTTCTCACGACCATGGCTACATGCTGGATGCATGTTTGGGGGTAGGTTTGGGCTAAGAATTCCATCTTGCGGAAGGTTGCGTATCTGCACACACGATCCGCTGTCAACCTCGTGGCGACTGAAAGTCGCAGGAATAATTGCGCCGCTCTCCGGGCCCATTTAATTCGATTCCCCTTTGATCGTCATACTATGTTTCCTGCTCTTCTTTTACTCCCACCTTAAAGGGATAACATTAGCTGGTGAATTTTTTTTTTTTTTTTTGGGGGGGGAGGCTACTGCAAGTCCGGGTAGATTTCGAACTGCCCTGGTTTGTCTCTGTGGTAGAGTAGTGCTCTACTCTAGGTACTCTACTTTACGAAGCATACCTTCGACAGGTATTTTGACGGGCCATAGGTAAACCATAAAGCAGGTATGTAGATGCAAGTGGTGTGTTGTGTTCAAACTTTGACCCTGTAGAAATCTGACGTGCGAGTTGTCCCTTTGATTGGTTTCCCGTTCGCTTCTTGTCTTTGCTTTCTCTACCTTTGGGTTTCGGCGAGACGCAGATTCTCGTCTCCTCTTTCCCATACCTACCCTCATGTACCTTCAAGACGCATGCTGGAGGCATATTTTACATACCTTAGCAGCACCCACCCTCTTGGGTTCTCCCCTGGGGTTACATATGGTGCCTGTAATATTAGTTCACAGTGCCAGGGCTGTCACCTCGGTATCCCCTGCCTGCTCGATGCATCCTCTTCGAGCCAGAAACCCCCTTCCACGCCTGTGTTTTCGTCCCGCTACCACATGGTTTCTTTTTGCCCTTGACCCCCGCAGACATGCAGAAGAGAAGGCGCACGGGGTTCAACATCTCAAGCTCTAGATGCAGCCCCTAGGACGATGATCTAAAGCTCAATTCGCACTTTCTAGTCTCACTGTTTGTGCAGCAGTAGTATACGTACATACATACATAAGAATTGCGCATTTCCAAGGCCCGAGTCTTTTATTTTCGAGCGGGAGGCAGTTGTTGATTGACCACGCAACAGGCGTTTTGCTGTGGGGGAAATGCTTATTTTCATTTTCCACACTTAGCTCCCTGCTGATACTCGTGAGCTTTTTCTTGTCCTCCCCATTTGACCAGTCAAGTCATTGCCCTGCTTCCATTGGGTTCCGCGGGGGTTCGGTCGATCCATTTATTCCTTGAGGTTCAGCGATATCGGACGAGCACCTTACAACGTACCCTTTTCGTCACCTCCCCCCCCCCCCCCCCCCCCCAAGCTGGTGCCGGTATTGGAGTCTATCTAGAGTCTAACTCGTCCAAGAGACTGTAGAGGGAGAAAAAAGGAAAAGAGGAGAAGTAGGAAGACAGGAGGGCCGCGGGGGGAGTCCAAGAGACCGGGGGTGGAGAAGCACTAGCTTTTTATTTATTTATTTATTTGTCGAACAATCCTGAGCAGGGGGTTACCTTGTCATTCCAAGAACGAAGGCTGTTTTTTCTTCGGATTCGGCCACAATTCAGTAGTGACAGGGAGCCGGTAGTGCCTTCGCCCGTACACTGCTGTGCTCTAGTTTGAGCGGCCGTTCGTCCTGTAGCTCTCCCACCTCCGCCGCTCCCCCTACCCTACCCCATCCCACCCCCACCGCTTCTTAATCCCCCTCCCTCGCTCTCTGTGGTTCTCTGCGAGGAGAATTACAAGACGGGTAAGGAAGAAGAAGAAGAAGAAGATAGTAGTAGCAGAAGAGGAAGAGGAAGAAGGCAGGACACAGACCGATAAGAAGGCAGCAACAGAAGGAGATCCCAACTCGACCCCAGGAAGACTACAGCAAAGAGTTTCTGCTCAGTTCAGATACTCCTTATACGCTCTATTCGTACTTTGACATGACGGGATTGTATCGATCGTCGAATACGACGCCAGACGTGAACCGCCTACTACCAACGTCATCGACACAACCAAACGTACCTAACGGAAACTACGTTCCACGCTTCGACCAACCACCTTTAACCACCTTTTTCGTCGTCCCGGAAGCTGGAGGCAACATGACATCCAATTCGAAGCCATCTCGAGTAAGGAGGAAGAGTGCCCCAGGATCCGAGACCGTAAAGCATCGTCGGACTAGATCAGGCTGCTTCACATGTCGTACTCGTCGTGTTAAGGTGATAAAAACCCCAGGCAGGTCTAATTTCCATGTAGTGAGCAAACCATTGACATAACTTCTCAATTCTAGTGCGATGAGACCCATCCTATCTGTGAACGTAAGGATTCCAAACCATGACTTTCTTATTTTAATTTGCGATGTTGGTTGCTGATAACTGAGGTTGGTTCTAGGTTGTCAAAAAGGTGGAAGGGAATGCACCTACCCTGAGGTAGTTGCATCAAAGCTTGCGGGAGGTCAGAGGGGCAAACGCGAGAAACCATCGACATCCAGAGAAGGCAGTTCATCATTGGAAGAGCTCGAAGAAGAGGACGAATATGACGATTATCAAGAAGAGGAGCATAAACCTCCAGCAACCGAACGGCCGAGACTAAAGAGCTCAGCTAGTCACGGTTATCTAAGAGGACCCCAGCCACGGCGAGACTCGTGGCCCGCTTCAGAGGGTAGACGACCCCAGATTAGAGGCCGGAAAACTGGCTCCTCAATAGATCCAAGTCCGTCACCAAAGGACCAGTACTATCCTGACTCTTCTGAACCTGCGTCCCCCGCAGAATCATCTCTCCACCGGACAGCTTCCCATATGAGCCTTGTCAATTCAGCGGAATGGGCACATCTTCCTCACGATGTGGCCTTCTATCTTAATTACCATCGAAAGATGCTCAGCTGCCATCATTACCTATTAAAGTCAGATGGTGAATTTTTCTTCAGAACGACTTTGCTTGAATACGCCATCAACAACGAAGCACTTTTATATGCAGTCGCAGCATTCTCATCGTTTCATTATAGTGTACATCACAAGACTGGAGTATTTCAAACCTTTTTGGAGTACTATAATAAGTCTGTGGGGTTGCTTCGGGTCTCCCTGGACCAGGAACCCACTTTATCCACTTTAATAACCATTTTGCAGCTTGCAAGCTTCGAGGTAATCTTTCTTTGCAAAAGAAAATCCATGTATCTTTGCTGAAATCTATACAGGAATACCTTGGTGACTGGATGAACCTTATGGAACATCGTAATGCAGCCTCGAAGATTCTTACCAGTCTCTGGACCCCCCAGAGCATGTCTGAAACATCACAGAGGCGAATGGTTTACAACTGGTTCTCTCATTTCGATGTTTTGGTAGCAATGATGGCCGGACATCAAACAACAGTAGGAAGTGAATGGTCTGATGAGAACCGCAGAGCAGTTCGTCGAGCTGCCGAGGCAAGTCCGGACAACCTGGGCTTAAAAGTCGACAATGCATCTTGTGAATTTCGAGACCTAGCCATGGAGATATCGATATTGACCGCGAGGCGATCCCAACATCAGATGACAATTGAGGAGTTTTTGAAAGAATCTCAAAGGTTATTACAGGCTTGTTCCGATTGGTGGAATGGACTAGATCCAGTGATATTGGATGGAGCGGAGGAAGTTGCTAGGTTAACTGGAGGGAATCCGGAAGATGCCTGCCCTTTCAAGCCAGCAAAGGTGTATAAAGGCGCACGTTGGGCAGTCAATTTTTTGCAATGCGACTACTATGGCCTGATTATTATGCTAAAGCACCAGATCACGCTCACGAGTGGACTGCCTCCAGAGAAGGATTTATCAGAGTTGGCAATGTCGATATGTAATTTGTTGGCTGGTATTGAGGCATATCCTGATTCGCCTTCTGGCGCCTTGTTGGCAGCACAGGCCCCGTTAGGGCTCTCAGCACTCTGGATACCCAACAACAAAAGGTATCGTCGGTGGATTCAGAAGCAATTGGCGAAGATTGAACAGATGGGGTGAGTAAACCAAGATTAACTTTTCTTATTATAAATAGCTAACAATGTTATTCTTAGTTTTGTTTATCCTTTAGCATTTCGCTCCCGGATGGCTGATATCTGGAACGACCCACAATTAAAACACACATGGATATCGAATAATACGGAGACGGCCATTGGAATGTCCATACGCCAATTGGTAGACATGCGGGACGCAGAGTTCCCCAAAGACGCGGCTCGACATGACCTTAAAGAGATGCGAGCCCTAATGACGGAGATGAGGCTGGACTCAAAAGGATCTGGTTCGTTACCAACACCAACTTCAGAAGCTTCGCCGCAAGACCAGCGGCTTATAACTCATGAAGATCCAGACCAATATTTCCCTGTGATGCAAGAGGGATCCGAGAATGAATGGGCATAATCTTTTATGCACTGGTCTTTTGCTAACTCTCTTCCTGATTGACCTTCATAGTCCTCTCCGAAGTGGAGTTGGATGTAAATGAGATTGGAGACATCGCTTTGATTTTACTTCTGGCAATTTCTCAGATTCCCCATTTTCTCGTTCCATCTCTTACAGTTGACCCTGGATGAATGAGCTTCATTTTTTTAAGACTTGGTTCTACCAGATTTTCCGGTTTGATATCTTCTATACTTTTTTTTTATTATCTTGGCTTCTTATTGTTTTCCCTTCATGTTTTAAACTTTTCCTCTGGATTGTGTTTTTTTATTTTTATTATTTATTTCATATTTCTATCCATTTTACAAGTAATCACCACACTACCGTTTATCAGCTCTACATCCACCTATATTTAATGCCTGAAAGTTGAGAAAACGACCCCCCTTTACAGCGCAAGGGAGAGCAGGGACTAAGGTGATAGGCAATACAGTGGGTTAGGAGTTTAAGTTGTATCCGGTTTGATATTTTCATTTTAGTCTTGGCGGCTCTTTTTTTCTGCCTCGTTTTTTTCTTTACTTTTTCTTAGCGAATGCCTCCGAGCTTGGAGACCGTCGATGGGTTGGGATAGGGGAGGCGTAAGATATAATGGAATGGGAATTGCTCCGTTTTCGTTTTTGTTTTCGGATTTGATCTGTCATATTTTTGCTACTTATCACGGTCCTTCTTAAATTTCTTTCGACTGGCTTTCTCCTTTCCTTGTCTATTTTTTCGGAGTATGATCATGAGTATTTTAGGTACGTTGCAATTAAAATACAGTCTGCAGCAAGGTTGATACACGTAAAAAAAAAAAAAAAAGTCTATCCTCTCTCACTCTCTTTCTCTCTCTCTCCCTCTTCCCCCTGACAATCTTTCCATTTCTTCCTCCGTATTTAAGACATCAGGTATTCATATACCTTCTTGCGTTGTACATACAGTAGAATAGTTATGTACGGAACTTTAAGCATTAACCAAATTAATATCATGGCGGTATATGTATTCCGGCAAATGTGCCTAGGTAGGCCAGGTCGTACAATTCACTCAATGGTCTACGGCCTGAGGGGAAGAACCAAGAATCGCAATACGACTAGGTACAAAGTACATGTAACCAACAGCAAAGACATACCGATTTCGCGCCCCCTGTGCGTACCGTATAACGTACATCCTATGATATTCAAAGAGAGATCGAAGTTTTATTTTCCCTGGTTCCCAAGATTACGGGTAGGCGTACTCTACGCTCATCAATCACATCACATTTTTCTTGAGGGGTACGCGCGTGAGACAAGACAATACAAGGAAACTCAAATCGATAGACTGCCTAAAGACCCTGTAACGATTTCAATTGCATGCGTGGAGCACTCTACCCTCCCCTACCCCCTTGTTCTGCGTTAGTTACACGGACTACCTGGGAGTTACAATATATGGAGGTTCTAGAGTCTCTCTATTACCACTCCCGGTGGAGTATGTACGACCGACGTCACGTTATACCACCCCTCTTGGTGCCAAATATCAGGGGTTAGATAAAATGGTTAAGTGAGATACGTATGTAGATAAGTTTGGTTTATTTTCTTCTTGGCACGGCGCACTTCTCGTCGAGTCTAGATAATCTAGAGTAGGTGTTTCTCTGTGGCGATACTAGTCCTCACTTCAGCTAAGACAGTCAAGGGTTTACGAGTGATCATTTGTGATCATGAGGGGGCCGGGGCTGATTCAGAATATATACACTAACGGGATTGGTTTGAAACACATGGGAAATCAAGCGTTGGTTTCAGAAGGTTCCAGGATTGGCAGGAGTGAGTGCATGCATTTAGCGGCATGTATCGTACAACGGCCCGAAAATCTACAGTTTACATGCGAGGTAGCATTGCAATTGTGGAAGTTAAATTTTGGGCGAGTTCGTATTCACCTAGAAGTATGGAAGTCTAGATGGTTGATAAATTCAGTTTCTATGGTTCTATCGTTCTACTCTCCCCTAACTAGTACTTGCTTAGTCTCACATACACATCCGTATGCCAAAATGGACAACTGCGCCCCCCCCCCCCCCCCCCCCAAACAAATATGGGCCCACCTCAAACATGTTCTCCGAGACATGAGCGCTGAGATTTATGGCAGGATGTTACTCACGCTGTACCAACTGCACTGAGTTTTGCGACCCCTTGTGAATTTTCATATCTAAGCCTAAACAAAACAGTTCCTCACTTCTTCCGCTGAAAGTTTATAATTTAGCTCCACTTTTAAACTACGCGGAAACCCTTAGGGCCTTTCTACATGTGTTTGTAATATTGGAGCTCGAGCTTAGACATCCACCGAACATAGATAATTTGGAGGAAGTAATACCTCTTCTGTGAAAACACATCTCGGTAGTCCCCAGTTAGAAGGGAGTGGATGTAGTTTGGAGATTGCACGGAGGAAGAGACTCTGCATGGAGTGCATAGTGCAGTAAATATTAGATTGGGTTTGAGGTTGGTCCCGGAGGCGATAAAAAACTCACAGGTCACGAAAGGTAATACGACACCCCCACCCTCCCATCCCTGAAGAGCAATTGTACTAGTGCCATCAAAAGAACGAGTATATGTAGCTATGGTTGATGTGGTACCGGTTAGGTACATATATATGCTACTTAAGCTTGTCTATCTAATAAGTATACTCGCGACCAGCAACAAGAACCCGAATATGCAGCTGCAAGTCTTTGGTGTATTTTTGACTTCTACTCCAATGGAAATTGCAGATTAGGACGTGCATTTTCGGGTTCTTGTTGCTGGTCGCGGGTATAATTATAACCTGCATATGCAATGTGCTTTTATAGTCTTCTGATTGGTTCATTGAGAGATGTTTTTGTTTCACTTGAAACATGTTGTGTTGGATATTAACATAGGGTATTGTGCTGAGTGGTGTTAGAGTGTTAATAGGGTTGCTACTGGTTCTGGGAATTGATAGTGGTTCGATTTTAGCGGTTTGGTAGCTGTTAAAGGGATATACCTGTAGTTTTAACTGAAGAAATTGTCTGACTTATCCGTTGATATATGGGGATAATATATCAGAAAAGTCACATATTGACCAGATCAGATCTAGATATAGTGATGAACTTTGCCTGCCAGGCAAATAGACAAATAAGCCGCAAAGCGGCTTGCCTGTATATGAGACTGATTGATATACATATAGTACCGGCCGAAGGCCGGAAACTACTTGTATATATGTATATCTACTTGTTTACTACGTATACGAAAAGAACCAGAAAATGCAAGTGACGGAAACAGAATAGTTTGTATGAGAGATCACCGCCACCCCATACAAATAATCCTTGCCCTGAGCAACTGGTTCTTTTCGTGGTAAACGAGTACATGTACATGTAGATATTATAATATACCGTTGTGACGAGGAGGGATTATAGTCTAGTTAACTAACACAAAATGGAAGTACCGGGGGTGTAAAGGCTGCCAACTCAATACATGTAGTCATCCTCGATATTCCAACATACTGGTGAAACTAGAGCATCATGCGCCTACATGTATGTAGGGTTGAGTGCCGATAAACCAAGCCTGCAGGCACGGGCTCATGATTCAAAACCCATGAACCCTAGCTGATTGATTCATTGTACGTACATATAGTTAGTACATATTTGGTGCACTTTTACCTCCACGGGTTCAGCACTTCCTTCCAAGTAAATATATGGACATACCTAGTTAGGCTGTATGTATAAATAGATGCATATTGGATCAAACAGATCTCAAAGAAAACGTTAATATTGAGTGACAAGATCTCACAGTCGATGTCACCAAATCTGAGACATACATATTTTTGACCACACCTCCTAGAGTACATATAATGTAAATAATGATATGACGTATCACATTAACCCCCCCCCCCCCCCGGGAGGGAATTGCAAAGATACAGCTTCAACTATAGTTAGATACTTACTAATATAAGTAGGATACTAGAACTCAAGATGGGACCACAACGATACGTATATATTCGGTGTAGAAAAACGCAAATGTACCTCTTATGATAATAACGTTCATTCAATGAAAGACCCTGTCCTAATACATGTAGTTATTAATAAGTAAACCCAGCGCCAAGAAGACGATATGCCAAAGGAGAAAAAAAAGGGGAGAAAGAAGGAAAAGGAGGAGAACTGATTGAATCGATCATTCATTTATAAAGAGGGAAGAATGAAAGAAAGAAATACTAGTACTAGTGATACTTTCGCGCGGCCGTTGGTCCCACGGTGCATGGTTATCCTGGTCCGGGAAACGACAACATCCGATGATTTAAACCATAAGAGGAGTTTGGAAGGTCAATATCAGTGTACGGATCCCTTTCATCACAAAAGAACCTGTCATCAATCGATGCTATATATGCTCTTTATTATATATTTATCATCCCATAATGACTTTTTAATTTGTACAATGTAGGTGGTATTATGTGCGCTACTATACCTGTACTTGGGTATGATAATTCGTTACGAAGAAGCTGTCACGTATGCTCCAAATATACACTTGGATAGGTTATTTTAGAGGACCCTTCAAAAACAAGCCGGAAGGCTGCATGCACGTGCTCGGTGAATTGTCAATCAATCAATCAATCGACCCTTCGAAGAACTGCATGCACAAATGAATTATTAATCAATTAATCAGCCTATTAAAAACTGAGATTGTTGGAATTGTGTTCCGAGCCTAGGAGCAAAGTCCTAATACTTATATGAGTGTCAGTATATATGTCAATATGTAGTCATATATAGACTGTTCTAGGCACAATATTCTTGTATAAATAAAGGCTTTATATGCCCCCTGTATTATAGTCAAGTAAGTTAACTGAGAAAGTCATAGTCTTCCGTATTTATTATTATTTATTTCTAATAGAGAATGTAATTAATGAATTAAATAAAAAAAAAAAAAAATTTCCAACAGAGATCCCGATTTTGAGCTCGAGTGATACCCTATGAAGCGTTCTGGTTACGATCCTAGGTTCTGTTAATTTTCTTCACGTTCTACAGAATCAAGAAACAGGCTAGCCAAAAGTAAGCCAAACATGCAAGCGTTCCCAAACAATCTTCTTATATGCATCCGAGTGTGCACGTGTGGTGAATAAGTGCGCGTGCATCATGAGATATCACTCCGTGCCATATAATTAGGTAAATCCGTCAGGTTTTGAAGAAAACTATTCTTTCTCCCCGATTTATCATCCACCTCCTCTGAACAGAATTTTCCGTTGGATTAATCTATTTTTCATACTATATCTCATTAATTCTGTTCATCCGTAACACCACATTGTCCCCGCCCCAGCGACCCGGGCGACATGCTCATGTTTTCGTAATTTTATTCCTCGCTCTAGATCTGAGGTGGAATGAGATTCCAGATATGTTTTCCGAATATCGCCACATATCTCATAACTAGCTGTTATTTAAGGGTATTGGCCGAGTAAATTCGGTTGCGATGATGCTACGGATATTAGTTTTGAGGGTGGTGTAAGAGTAGGCTCAGCTGATCTGATATAATTTATGGCAGGTAGGTGGCTGTGGGCCGGGCCGCGGGGGGGCGTCTCTTTCCTAGCATGATTTCTGTGGGTTCGCAGATTCTAGTGCATTAATGTCACTGTGCGTACTTTAGGGACTTTGAAGCGCTCTATCTTTTTGTCAAGATCAGTTTCGCATCGCAGGTAGCTATATTACGCGGTGATACTATTGTAGTTTCGGTACTGACTTTTGAACCCATCGAATAGACCCACTACTTTCCTTCGTTAGCTAACTAGGGTGCAGAGATGGTTTGATACGAAGTCGTTCGAACTTCAAAGGTAAAAATGAAATAATTGATTCTAAGCTTGCCTGAGTAGCGTGGTCCACGAGGCCGCTATCACTGCTCGAGCTGTTCGACCGCGAGAAAAATTTAGGTAATGCTTCTATATGTATAGCTATTAATCTTTTAAATTAAGGATAACCCTTTCAACTAGCTACAGCGAAAGCTTGCTATAACGGTACGCTCGTGACCGGAATTTGGTACCGTTATAGAGAGATTGCCCTTATATAGGAGGCCGGTGCTGGTACTGAAAGCCAGGCAAAAAGGACCGAGAAGTGCTACCGTTATAGAGAGATTGCCCTTATAGAAGGTACCGTTATAGCAAGCTTTCGCTGTATAAGCAGTTGATATGTTCACTAGTGCTATCTACCTGGTTAATGTTTCTCGGCCCACTAGGCTACTATCAAGATATCAATTCAACATATGCAATTGGTATCTTTGATTGCTTCGATCGGGTTACTCATATGTACCTACATCACAGTTTCAACAGTCAATTAATTACTTCAACTCTATAATATATCTCGAGCGACCTCGAATATCGGGGTGAGACTACATAGTACTTCAACTTATAATTAGCCGTTGCCTTTTGGGCTAGTAGGCTAAAAAAAAAACTGCAAAATACCCACGAATCGATAGTATGTACACTATGGTACAAAATTTGTGTGCTAGCGTTTAATCCAAACCCGTCAATTGCTCAACTTAATCAAAAAGGGGGCACGATAAACCTCAGACCCTTTTTAAACGATTTATTTAACATAAACCTGGATCTGGGCTGCTTATTTAACTTAAACATGCCTGAGTTGGCATCTCCAAAATCAAACCTCCTTGAGTTTAGTTTACACTAAACCTATCTTTTACATATGTTAATCCTATCTAACCTAAATACCTTTATCTCAAACACCCTAGTGTTTAGTTTACTTTAAATCGCTATAGTACCTGCCTAGCTACCTGCCTCGACACCTACCTCGACACCTACCTCGACACACCTAACTCCTACCTGTATCGATGCCTGGATACGTATCTACCTACCTCTGTATTTTCACTCCTGTACTGTCACCGCTACAGACTCCTAATTGACGCCCAAATCGACGCCCTAATCGACGCCCTAATCGACGCCCAAATTGACGCCGAATTAACGCCCAAATCGATGCCGAATTGATGCCTAAATTGACGCTGAATTGATGCTTAAATTGATGCTCAATTTGACGCCCAAATCGATGCCTAATTCGACACCAAATCTACGACTAAATCGACCAAAGGTAGGTAGGTAGGCAGTCGGGCAGGCAGGCAGTCGGGCAGGCAGGCAGTCGAGGTGAGCAAAATGATTTGCCTCGAACATGCTCGCCTCGTTGACCCCCATGCCTTGAGCTCCCTCGAGGCAGAGGCCTCGTGGACCACACTAGTAATAATAATAAGAATTTAAAGGCTTTGAAGCTGATTTAGGAACTATCATGAGCAGGGGGGAGATCGAGGGTGATTCCGGGTGATTCCGGATGGTTGGCTTAATTTTTACCTATGAATATTAGCACTCTGATTATCGCTGTACTTATATATCCACTTGTCTTTGGTATATATAGTCAAGATTCCAGGGTGATTCCCTATCTAAGTAATATTTTGGAATGAGGCTTTACGATATGAACATTTCAGAGCATTTCGCTGCGTGTGATAATAATAGAATATGGACCTAATTTAGAAATAGAAGGGAAAAAAAGATAATACACATATTCCCAACAAGTTAAATCATACACAACCGTTACCGTGCCAAGATAGAATGTCAGTGACCTCCCATACAAGATTGAGGCCAGGACTGAATTCCGCAGCCCAAATAAACATGAAAATTAAAGAAATAATACCAGCAAACTTCGCTACATTAATTTTCTCACAACTTTGGTCCAGTCTCTAGGAGCTCAGCCGCTGCGGCAAGAATTGCTGGCTTCCCAGTCTCCACGACGGTGACTTGGAAGATGATCTTACCACCTTCTTTCCACATCTCTGTCCTCAAAGTCTGGCCAGGGAGGACGACACCCGCAAACCTAACCTTCAGATTCTTGAAAGCGCCAAAAGTTTGATAGATATGCTTCCCAGAGATACCCATGAAACAAAGACCATGTAGAATGGGAGTCTTGAAACCGCCGACTTTCGAGAAATCAGGGTCAATGTGTAGAGGGTTCCTGTCGCCATTCAATCTATAAAGAGCGGCCTGGTCTTCGCTTGTCTTTTCCTCTACAACAGCATCCGGCGCTCTGGCAGGGGGTTTATTTGCGGCGGTCGCAGCACCTCGATCCGCAACCTTGCTTGGGCCCCCAAAGCCACCCGAGCCACGGATAAAAGTGGTACTTTCATTGACGAAAACGATATCCCCGGTTGAGTCTTTGGTTTCACATCTGCTAACAACAACAGCCGCGGCACCCTTGTCGGCAACTTCAACGAGTGATGGGTAAGACTTCAAAGTCCCCGAAGTCGGAATTGGGAACTTTTTGATCTCGAGGAACTGTTCACCATGTAGCAGCATCATAGGATTGAAGTTAGGGACGATATCATCCAAGTTGAAGGGCACCTCCGATGAGAAGTAGGGGACAACACCTGCGAACTGTTAGCACTATTATCAACTCATACGGGTATATTGAACTCACCGAAAGTTGGCAAAGCCTCGAAGCTTTCACTTCCTTCATAAGTCCACTTAAGATCCGTCTTTTTAGCACCGATGCTGAGATTGTAAAGGATAACCTCTCTATCGTCATACTCATATTTTGTTCCCACAGCTTGTGACTTTTTGGCCTTCTCAATGTTCTCGAGGATCTCCTTGTTCACACCGCCCTTCTTCTTTCCACCAGATTTGCGGTTCTGAAGATTCTCCATAACCCTCTTGAGACCATCTTGAGGACTCTCTGGGTTATCCGAACGTCCATCTTCGAATGTAACGATGTTCTCCCAAGCTGCACGGACAGCTTCCGGGGTGAGGGGAACATCAACAGGGAATCCATAGCCACCTGTCCGCTGCCAGCGAGTCCTCCCAACCCAGCCAGAGCCTACTTCATATAGACCACCGGTACCTGGTGTGGGGACCTTGTCAGAGGATAGAAAGACTACAAGTGGAGCAACGTATTCTGGCTTGAAAGCTTGAACCATTTCCTCTGGCATTATGGTCCTCGTCATTGCTGTGCCGGCATTTGGGGCAATAGTATTGACAAGAATATTATACTTAACACCTTCCCTTGCCAACGCCCTTGAAAACCCGAGAATGGCGAGTTTGGCGGTGGCATAATTTGCCTGCCCAAAGTTCCCGTAGATACCACTAGTGGAAGTCGTGTTGACAATACGTCCATACTTCTGCTTCAAGAAGATAGGCCAGGCAGCCTTGGTGACCGCATATGTTCCGTTGAGATGAACGGCCATAACCTGATCCCATTGCTCATCGGTCATGGCAGCGAAAGATTTATCGCGCAAAATACCTGCATTATTGATAATGACGTGGACTGCCCCAAAGGACTTCACGCAGGTATCAACGAGGGCTGCACCATCCTCCACTGAATGCTTGTCACCAACAGCCTTTCCGCCAGCTTTACGGATTTCTGCAACAGTGGTATCAGGGTTCATAACATCATTAACAACGACCGATGCGCCGAGCTTGGCGAAGAGAAGCGCATATGCACGACCAAGACTACAGACCTTATTAGTTCATGAGGGCAATAATTAATGATATCCCATATTACATACCCTGCACCAGCTCCAGTAACCAGAACAACTTTATCCTTGAAGCTAATCTCCTCGCCTTGTTCGTTGCTTGACATCTCACCTGCGGCCTCGAGAAGTCCCATAAAATCTGCAGGCCCAGTGGGATGGTCTGGGTTGGTGAAATCGTTGACAGCATCCCACTTCCTTGAAATGGCGCTGGGGGTCAAAGAAACATCGGTTTTGTATAAGGCACCTTTTGATCTCTCCCATCGTAATTTGGCGACATGACCGGCGCCAACCTCGTATATTCCACCTGACTCACCGACGTTGGAATCATGAACGAGTACGGCAACAAGTGGCACAACCCAGTCTGGCTTGAGATTTTCTAATACTTCAGGGGGCATAACTGTCTCCGTCATCCTGGATGCAGCAATCGGTGCAATCGCATTAGTCATGATGTTGTATTTAGCACCCTCCTTGGCAAGAACTTCTGAAAAAGCGACCATTCCTAGCTTTGCGGCTATTAAGACAAGTGTGTTAGTTCACACAAATTGGGAATTTCACAATCAACTCCGATGTCTTACCCGAGTAATTCGCCTGACCAAAGCTCCCAAATAAACCGGCCGCTGAAGCCGTATTGATAATTCTGCCATATTTTTGTTTTCGGAAAATTGGCCATGCAGCTTTAGTACACTACGGAGGAATTAGCAAACTCGTTTAAACAATCCGTTACATCATTTACCTTATAAGAGCCCTTAACATGGACCTTTTGGATTAAATCCCAATCGGTATCCTTCATGTTCCGGAACGCAACATCCCTGAGAATGCCAGCATTGTTGATCAGAATGTGTACAGTTCCGAAGGCTTTGACAGCAGTTTCAATAATCCTCTCTCCATTCTCTACAGAGTCGTAATTTGCTACAGCTTTGCCGCCGGCCTTCTTGATCTCATCAACCACTACGTCTGCGGCCTAACGGGGATGTCAGTTTATGATCCCGCACTGGCATTCGGGGGGAAAAAAGTGGTGGATAGGGCGGAAATTTCACCTTTGTAGAGTTCCCCTCTCCTTTGAAAGAACCGCCTAAGTCGTTTACTACTACACTTGCTCCACGAGAAGCAAAGAAAAGTGCATACGCCTTTCCAAGTCCACCACCAGCTCCAGTAACGACGACGACCTTGTTGTCGTACCGGAGATTCTCTGTGGATGCGATGTTATTCATTACGCCGTGTCTGTTGTACTAATAAGGATTCAAAGGAAGATATGAAGTGATACACTGTGGTTGCTGGAGTTGAGGTCAAGAAGAAGAGAGAAGAGCAGCTGATGGAGGAGGAGTTCCGAGTTCAAAAAGGGCACGTTAAGGATTACACGTGAAGACGACCGGGGGGCTGAAGGCGAAGCTCGGGTATTCTGGGGAAGCTGATGATCGACTGTGGGGTGCTCTGAAGTATGAGGCCTCGGCTGTTGCTAAGCACAAGTGACCTAGGTACATACATACCTGTAAATACATGTATGTCATTAATGAACCTAGTGGCCGCCCCGGTCAGCTTAAGTTCTAATGTCACCAATAGACATATATATACATCTAGTGAATAATGGTATTTTTAAGGTTGATAGAGCGCTGTTGATATTTTATCACCTAGACGGCCAGTCCGAATTAGAATAGCAAAACTGACCATATACGGTATGCTCTGTTGAACGATTTTAGTGCTGGTTATCGCATTGGGTCTATGGGAATCGCTACTAGCGATGCCGGAAACATTATTGATCATGTGACACTCGTATTGGTGTGAAGCTTTGGATTTGTGAAGGCAACCGATCACATGATCAGTAATGCTCCCGGCACCGCTAGCAGAGTGCAATAAGTAATATAACCCAATGGGAACATAAAGAGCATTCAGTAGGGCATGGTTTCTAAAGACGCACTTTGATGGGATAAGGCTCTTTATCGTGAATGTACCATATATGCCATGCCTTTCTTTCTTCCATGTCTGAACCAAGTAGAGGTGTACGTGTCCATCATTTACGAAGTCTCAAGCCTACATAGCGGTGGATACATGTACTCTACATGTATGTACCTCTTGACACGACGTAATTCTTTAGAACTTTGCTAAGCGCAGTGAAACTCCAGTTTATAATTCTTTCAATGGCGAATCCGATCCAATGACGAATGCGCACTTATTAATATTAGCTACTCTACATGTAATTGATGCATATATAGTAGAATGGCGTGTAGCTAGGTAACATGTATTTGCCAGTAAACTGGCCAGGCCCTGAAATGTTCCTGTTGTTACTTTATACCCGCATCATTCTCCATGAAGTAATAAGTCAATTCTATGAAGGCTACGATATGTCTTGGCGCACCTACTCTTGTAATAATTAAACGCCAGGTTTATCACGTGACCACGGGCTTTTCGGCATCACGAAAAGTTTTTAGCCATCACGGTAAATACATGTAACCTGCGGCATAGCGGCTAGCTCCGGAACACCCCATCACATGCTAACCCCACAATTTCCCACCCCGCCTGTTAACCCCATGGAGCAGTTGACAGCACTGGCGTTTGAACTGAATGCTGATACATCAGTGTACCTACTTGAGAGCCTCACGCAAGGCCTTAGTTTCGTCGAGCTTCAATCATCATGGCATCAGTAATCAAAGACAAAACCCCTCTCCTTACCTCCTTTCTTCTACCTTTACTCTCTGATCACGTCTCTCGAAACCCAACCACTACCTCCCCTCCTTTTTTCCTCGGCGTCTCCGGCCCCCAGGGTTCTGGGAAGACCTCACTCGTCACCATCCTCGCTGCAAATCTCAGGGCTACCCCTCACAAACTCAATGTCGTTGTCTTCTCGATTGACGACATATATCGTACGCATGCCGATCAATGTGCTTTAAGTGAACTCTACCCAGAAAATAAATTAGTTCAGCATCGTGGTGAGCCTGGAACTCATGATGTCGAATTGGGAAAAGTGGTCTTTCAATCATTGAGAGAGCAAAAGGAAACCAAAATCCCTGTTTATGACAAGTCCAAGTTCAACGGCAAGGGTGACAGGCTCAACAGTGTTGATTGGGAAACAGTTAAAGGACCTTATGATATAGTGATATTCGAAGGTTGGTGTGTAGGCTTTCGGCCGCTATCCGACGAGGAATTGAAGCAGAAATGGGAGAACAGCAGGCAAGCGCAGAAGGGGACATTAGGCAGGCATGCATTGGAACATCTGCAGTTTATCAATACGAAACTGAAAGACTATGACTCACTGACAAAGTAATGTCCCCTCCAAAGTTTTTGTTTGTCCTTTAAAAAATTATTTCGTACCCGAGATTCTGCAACCGGAGTCTCATTTCGGACGCAGACCAGACTGAGTTCATGATTTTATTAACGAGAAAGAAAAAACAAAGTTCACTTGACGCATTGATACATATGTAAGCCCCCTGCCTCCACCGTTCTCGCTACCGCTATCCGTAACAGTGGCCTAAATAAACGATCAGTGATGCAGAGGACACAGCATTCGTTTATGATTGGCGTATCCAGCAAGAGCACGGACTATTCGCCTCTCACGGTTCAGGGATGACCGATGATCAAGTTATTGATTTCGTGGATGGCTGTGAGAAACTTCTTCTGCCGTTTAGCTCACATAGATGAATATTGACCGCTTCTGCAGATATGCCCGCATATGAACTTTATGTGGACACCTTGCGGCGAGGGGCGTTGAAGGAGAAGGGTAAGCAATTGAGGGTGGTTATTGGGAAGGATAGGAATACTTCCAAAGTTGTGAATCTGTGAAAAGAGGGTCCCCATATTTATCTTCTATCATCTACTGCTGCCTTGATCTCTTATATCTGTCAAAATCTGTTAAATCAAATTGATTATATGTAGTCGGAGTGGGGGAGTGTAGCCTATAATAGACAGGTTTCGCTTGTCTATAAATTTCGTAAATAGGAAGAAGTATTACTAATAGCTACATGTGCGTAGAATAAATGTACTTTCGGTCGAATTCGTGAACCCATACAGAAGCTCATGGCGAAATACTCTGCGCGAAGCTTCCTATCTAGTAGCATCACCAGTTATCACTCCCCCGGAGGCCAACATGTATTACCACAGACCGCTAAGGCGGGGAGGAAGTTAGGTATATTAGGCGACTTACCATGGGTGAAGCTCTCCAGGGGCGCGAGTGAGCACCGGGGAGTGGTTTCTAGAAGATAATCCAATTTCATGCTAGGTGATGAAATAAGATTTATTCGTTGAGTTTCTCACGTCACGACGGTTCACACTCTAGTGCGTTATCGGTTTCCGACAACACCACTTTTATTATTCATGTCAGGTGGAGAAGCCCCAAACGAGACACAGACAAAATACCGTGTGGCTGTCGTGGCATCACGCATCATTGCATACGAATGTACAGAAGAAGAAATACATGTACCAGCACTCAAAGTAGCGTAGTTAACCCTAACCCTACATACTACTCTAATAGGCGCCGAAGTTGGCCGGACCTTCTGAAAACTCAGAGATACTGTTGCGAATGTTAGTATTTTATTCTGCCTGGCACAAGCACTTCAACCGTCTCACTGCATTGCCAGTCATTTAGAAGGGGAAATCCCGCAGCTGATTGTTTTTGAAAAGGCCTGGACGCTTTTGCAATCTGCTGCTCTCTCGGGATCGAATATTGCTTAGTGCACGCGCACATCATACATGCTATCATGTAGCAGATGTTCCTCTGGTTCTCCATGTATCAAAAAAATGATATTCAATGCTGAGTACTGAAGTTCAGCCGGTGCCATATGCATACCTACTCTCAGAAATTGATACCTATATTATTGCCATGCAGGGGGTGGTCTCTCCAAAAACATCAAGCCCCGCCCGCCCGCCCGCCAAAAAAAAAAAAAAAAAAGAGGTATCTAGAGAATGTTGTGCAGGAGGAAACAACTTCGCATTAATGATACCTACCAAGCTGTCAAGTCGACGGGTTGGGGCCGATAATAGTGATAAAAGTCTTAGAGTAGTTCTTGGCTGTACATGCGCTGTTGAGCGCGGATGCAATGTCCCGCCCGCAACAGCTTAAAGCCAACAAAAAACGGCTGTCATGACTTAAAATAAAAAGAGCCTGAGGCAAAATTAAAAGACAGGCAACGGCGACCAGCATCTTGATCTATCACAAAGGGTAGGGTAACCCATTAGCTGTCACATATGTATTTTGCCCCCCGCTACCATCCAAAGTTGGTTATGGCCACTGCAGGCCAACAGAACCATATGATTGTTTTCCTGAATCTTATTTCGATTAATGGTGTTGATTGTGTACTCTCCCTGATCTTTCTACAAATCAAAGTGACGCGGATTCAATGTCAGTATAGGCGCTAGCTATTGCCATTTCTATTTCTTGTGAATGGGCGACCAGCAATTACAAAAAGTGTTATTTCGAACTATCCCCGTCGTACTTGATTAATTTTATTGGCATATATATCATCTTTCGTGATCCTCTTTGGGAGGATACGTACGAAAGGTTGCCAGCTGCTCATCTGGTGCTGTTGCTCTGAGGTTCGCTCGACGCCACCCCTAATTGCCTCCTTATTCTCCTCACGTACATACATCCCCTTCTTCCCATTCCCCTTCATTTCCCTATCGACGTCCTTGTCGTAGTGTGTGATCCTGCTTTTAAGTCTGCCTCACGGCTAAGTATAATGATATGATAGGGTACTCGAAGGGAGAAAGAACAAATCTCGCCTCGGCAAATCACCAACCGGTTGTCGTTCAAATATTATACCTGTACTCGGCACACTTTTGAGCTCTTTTTGGCCAATTCCTCTGCGCAAGTGGTGCAGCTATAGAGCCCATAGTTTCCGCTGCTGGTCGAGAGGTCGAACGCTTTGCCATTTTACCCTTCTCCCCCGCCAACTTTGTGATACGCAAAACGGTCAATCCCCTGTAATTGTCCGTTCCGGAGTCCCCCACACTTTCAGCATTTGATTTAATTCGCCTGCCGTTGCTATTGCTCTTCTGCAAGTAGGTTGGTGCGGTCATTGCCCTGGCCATCTCGTATTTCAATCCAAACCGTATACAACCCATTTCTACATTTATAAAGGCAGCACAGGCTTCTGGTTCTTATCAAACTCGGACGTGTCCTTTTTCCCCCTTCCTTTTTTCTTTTCACGATCTACGGAAAGGCCTTATCAAATTTCGAACTTGGGTTACTTTGTTTGCCCACGGCTTCCTGTATTCCTGGACTGGACGCTCTTTTTCACAATTGACTAAAAGGTTCCTTAGTCATAATGGATATCACTTTTATTACCATGCATGACCTGTCGGCCGGTAATGCGCGCCATCTCTTCTGCTAGTATAGGCCTTAGTTGGCGCTCTTATGAAACAACATTTTTACTGACAAAAAGTCACATACAAAGATGCCAGGCTTCTTTTCGCCTCTGACTCAATCACCGAAGTTCTTGGATACAATCCACGAGATATAGTAGGCAGGTCTTGCTTCGAATACTTTCACCCAGATGAAATGCCCTTTGCTCGCTCTGTTCATGGGCGGGGTGTAAATTTGGACAAAGCTGCAGTTTTGTCATATTGCAAGCTGAAAAGCATCACGGGCGATTACGTTACTTGTGAATGTGTTTTTACTGTCGTATATTCGGTCATCGTAGCATCAACGAGTTTATACACACGCAGTAATAAAAGCCTAGGTTTGTCTTCTGGAATCAGTTCTTTAAAAGATATATATCTTTAATATCCGTTCCGTTTAATAGATCGAGCACTTACTGCCCCTCTTATCCGCCGCGTTTTCTCGTCGTCACAAAGAGACCCAAGGTATCATATGCTCACGCATCTGTCCACGAAATTCAATTCCGCACCTGAAGGACACCATGAACCGCGAGCAGCACTAATCCTTAATCGGTTTACGCGGACCTTGACAATTTTATACGCAACACATGCTCTTGGTGATATACTCAATTTCCCCCCGGATGAGGCGATCGGAAAAAGTTTTTACGAATGTATCCAGGAGAACTGCCTTCAAGAAGCCGTAGATGCCCTCGAAAGGGCGAAGGAAAACGATTCAATTGCATACTTGAGGTTTCAGTGGAGGGATCCTAGACAGGCACCGGCGGTAACGGCGGCAGCAGCAGCAGCAGCAGAACAGCGACGTCCCCAGAATGGTAGTAGGAACCACCCAGGTACAGGATTCCTCCATGCCGAGGGATCTCGTCCAGCAGCTGTTCGGAATTGGGCGGATAGGAACGATACGATGAAGAGTGTGATGAAAGACCAGGACACAGATATGATAAGTGACGAGGAACAAGGGGAGGACGATGAAGAAGACGGGGCATACCTGAGTGGCAATTCTACCTCTCAGTCCAGTATGTCACAATCACCCGAACCAGTGGTGGAGGTTGAAGCAGTGATTTCGTGTACCTCAGATGGGTTGGTAGTTGTTCTTCGGAAAGCTCGGCCCACCATCCCTGCGCCGCATCATCCACCGCTGTATCATGGAGTTTTTGCGTCGCCATGGGCTCATGCTCCTCTTGTCCCACCAACACAGCTCTCTCCTGTACCTGGAGGCCCTCCGGCAGGAGATTTCATGGATAGTATACGTCAGGTGGCAGTCTTCGCATGGAGTTTGCGAACAATCAATATGGACATGCTCCAGTACGCATCAAATTCTGGCCCTGAAGAGACAGACCCCAAATACACTAGAGACAGCTGAAATATTCATTAGAAGAAAGCTCGCTGCAGTCAATGTCCGAGTGATATCGGTCAGTTTGTATCATCGCCCTACTGTATCTTTCTGCATGTTTCGGGAACTCTATCACTATATTGCTTTTGGCTACGTTTTCATTGGTTTGAACTTTCGGCCCTATGGCCTAAAAGTCCCATTGTGTTGACGGAAGGGTGGATCTTTTTTTATTCTATATTTACATCTATATATCTATAAAAGTTTGGCTTTTTCGTTTATGTGCTAGGAGAGAATTATGTCGGACGTTATTGGTGGGGGGCTATTTCGAATTTTGCTATTTATCATTCGTGTTTCGTTTCATTTCGGTTTAATTTTTTGTATTCTTACATCTATCGGGGTTAAGTAGCCGGCCGGTGTGTTGTGCTCCTTGTCGATTTCTCCTTCCCTTTTCGTTCGTTTCCTAATATTGTGTAACTGGTTTTACTTGAATTTATTTCTGCCGTGTTTAATCCTAACCAGTTAGGCCTAGGCCTATTTCAAGTTAAGTATATATATGTACTTTGATCATGAATTCTGTTCCAAGTTCCCCCTTGGTGTTTCTCTTCTTACATCATCGTCGTCGTCGTCGTGATCATTACCATTTTTCGTTAACCCCGTACTACATATTGTTTTCATTTTTCTTTAACGGTGGATACCAGTACGAACTCGTTAGTTGGTTGGAATACATGAATGTTGTGGGGCGGGGCATAAATAAGCACGGTACTGTAGTCACCTTAGAATAGATGGTAACGTGACCCTAGATGGGCTACAGAAGATTAAAGTGTACCGGGCGTTGAGGGTAAATACGAAGAATCTGATAAGGGAATCTTGCTGTGAAATAGGTGTGTTTATCTTATCAGATTCTCGGTATTTATGGTTGACCCCCGGTACAGCACCGGGAAGTGGAGAGATATTGTAGTTCTTTAGACCTGAGCGGCCATGGCCAGTGTATAAAAGGTTGATATATATGATACCGTACGCGTCGGTGGTGGGTAAATACGTATATAATTATTACATGCAGAAAACAATTATCTAAGCAAGGAGGTTGCAGCTGGTACAACATAGAGTCAAGTACATAATTCCATGTCGATATCCCTCTCATCAAGAGAAAATTAATGGGAGACAGCATACTACTAGTGAGAGGCAATTCAGGCTGGGAGATTCTAACGATTTTATATAAAAAGAGGTTCTCTAAAATACAGCTCCACGGCCGGCCACTTTGATCTCTGAATTTACCCAGCTCCTGCGGTTCTTTTGGGCCTGCCTTCTTAGTAGTATTTAATATTATTAGCAGCTATATAGTACAAATCTAGTTGTCTAGATTTCATGCCCATGAGCAACCGTAAGGTCTTCCCTCTACGACTCAAATATCTCATAATTATATAAGCCTCATATATTTGGGAGATAATTCTTGATAAACTATTTTTTAGTGTTTACCATGATACATGTGCGATCAAAAATCTGACGCTTTTATAACTGTAACATTTGTATATCTACAGTATCAGAAATGGGGGTAAATCTGATACCGCATCAGTACGGTATTGTGAGAATGTGCCGCTTTATCTTCGTATTTCAACGAAGTATACGGCAGTGGTACGCAGTGGTACGGCATTGCCAATGACTGCGGTAGTCGTTTTATCCATGTTTCTGTCACTGTATCTACATGATGTAATTAAGGCTCAGGTAGCAAACACGTGTACATACTAGTAATACAATTGCTGGCATGATGGGTTGTGCCTGCTTTACTTTGAAATACTAGACCCTTACTTAGGGTTTTGAAAGAACTACATCTTGAACCCCTAAAACACAGAGGTACTAGTACTGTAAAGAAAGTAGATCGAGAACAAGATGTTATTAGTATCAATTCTCTCAACACTAATTAATCGGCTACCGTGCAGATCAAGCTCAAGGATACTAAACCTTTGGTTATATTTATTATTTAAATATTTAACAGGTAAAACCTACGCATATGCACACGGGACCGCGGAGATCCATGTGTAAGGTTGCATACAATTAATGCATTAAACAAAAAAAAAAAAAGAAGCGGAGATCCATGTAGCTATTAGCTATAATCATGAATGATCACTCGGTTTTCTATAGTTCAAGAGAAAATCTTGGTACTAGTTTATTACGTAATAAACATCCTAGGCATTTTCACTCCAATGATTACATTTGAGTACCGACTGGAGCTATGGGCAGGGATAAGTATAAACTTCGGGCTTTTCTAAATAGGGGTGATTAAAGTTCAAAGTCCCGAGTTGGAGTTGGGAAAACTCTCCTCCAATTAGACTGACGAACTGAGTTGGACTTTTGAACAAACTTTGAGCACCCTTCGAAATCTTCTGAGAAAGTTGAGGTTTAGACGGCCCTCACATAGGAAGGTTACAGCCAATTTTAGTATATATAGTGCGGCACTAAAAGGACTTCAACACAGGTTGAACTCTCTCCAACTTGCAAAAGAGCCAGTTGGGCTTTTTAGCGCAAGTTAAGCTTTTCAAAGTTAGCCTTTACCTAATGTGTTTTATCAGACCGCACTAAAAGTCTTCCCAACTCCAACCCCAACTCGGGATTTTGAAGTATTATGATCACCCTTAATGTAGATAATCAACTCATCTATGATCCGCAGAAACTGGAATTCCTACCATCAAAACAGAGTTAACACCCGGGCTGACGGTGGCGTTTTTGGCCCTCCGAAGTCCTCGACACATGACCGGTCACTCCCTATATATATATATGATATGTAGTTATATGTATAGCTTCTCGCGCGCTATAGCAATTGAAACGCTCGAAGTATTAAGGTGAGTTGAAGTACCTATCTAAATAGAATAGTTAGGTATATATCTCTATCATCACGAAAGGTTTCTATTGGCTGGTTAGTTACCTCCCATCTCCGGTGGGCTACAGCTGCCGATAGACAAAGAATTGGGCGCATTAAGGGAGACGACATATATGCTTTCCTAAGTCATCAAACCATGAGTTCTGTCGTGATCATGATATATATATATAATAGCCCCTCTGACCAGTGTTATAATTTTCTTACTTTCCATCAATAGTTCTTCTCGACCTTTTCCGAAACTAACACTTCACGCGGGAGAGGAGGGGCCCCGGCTGCGTGCGAGGGATCGATTTGTTTCGGGCCGTTGCATATATAGAGCTGTATGTTAAATTCAAACACTGAAATAGAGCTGTGTGTTTCTGGATCTTTACATAAGTACTTTTTTTTGATATCGGAGATTCCTCGAACTAGTGTTTAATTTTATATGCGGCCGGAGGCCGCTCCTTACTAGTAACATATAGAGCTACTAGAGAGATATGGCTAGTTAATAGCCTGCATGGAGTTGACCGGCTAGCTAACCGCCGAATCATGAACTTTGATTCAAGATAGACTTTATAACAGTATTCTAGTATGGATCGTACGCGTAAGCTAGGCTACTACTAGTGGCGCCGATAATTCTACAGGTGATATGATGCGATCCGAAGTATGACTATATTGCATCTAGTTATGGATACTCGGACTAAAGGCAACGAAAATATTATATATCGATTTTAACTTTTTTATATAGTGCACTGTACACTGTATACATGTATACACATATAAATATACATGTATATACATATATATATAATGATCCTTTGTAATTTTTTGTAGCGCCTCTAGCTCTTGTACGCAAGGAGTTCCTAGACTCATGTCTATAGCTATAGACCCTAGCTATAAGTAAATTAGTATACTATTATTTGTAGTTCACATCTGTGGATCTAGAAACCATATAGACCTATATATAGCTCGATTTGAGAATAGGATTAAGGGCCTCGAGTTCCATATATATATATATAATTCAAGCTGTTCTAAGGTATTTGAATTTTGGATCTTGACTACATGTAGCCTCGTTATCTAACCGCGCTTGCCGTTCTTGATGTGTTCTGACCGATAGAGCAAGCCATCCAATCCAGAAAAATACTAGTTCGACATCTTTCTGCATGGGATATACCTCATCCGGGCCCGACAAGATATCGGCATCTTTCTGGGTGAACGTCTTCCTGGTTCGGTCAGAATATATTAGATTATTTAATTGGCTAACTAATAGAGTATCCGCGTTTTGTGATTGATCTTATGAAGTATATTATAATCAAACATCACTGAGATTACTTAACGGTAAAGTGATATACTCTACTTACAAAAAAAGCTAAAACTTACATGTGGCTTTTAAACCTGCATGAGCATGTTGCTCTCCCAATACCTATAAGGGTGCGGACACAAGTTAATCATGATGATGACGGCGGGAATGAAGCTGGCAGATCTAGAGGAACGTTCGAACTGGCAGCCAACTGGGGATATCAAAAGTAACAGCTCGCGAGGTAGATGGACCCCCTAGTACTACATGTACCACATATATCGGACGCAGATTCTACACAAACACAGTTAGTAAATGCCCCTTCAATGTAGAAAATAGATCCCTTCATTACATGTAGCCAAGTACCGCGGTGTGCGAGCATCCAAAGTAGATAGCGCTATCGATCGATCGACAATTCCAGCTGTCATATATCACTTATCTGAGCTTGGTCTACTCTCGACTACGCCTTATGGCCGTATTGCTAATGAATGTAGTTATGTGTTTTTATATATTGTAGTAATTTGCTTTAGTGGACACTCACATTGACGTTGAAAGTACTTGTTCTGGTCATTTGTCTAGAGAACGCCCTTCCCCCATACGCGCTGTAAAAGGCAACTTTGACGTTTGTGTAACCGTCCGCTGAGAAGAATTACTGCGGTACATACTAGCAAAGACGCAAAGTCCCTGGGTCCCGTGAGTCTCAACCCTAGTCCTCTCACTATTTCTAGAAAACGGCCTACACGTGGCCTGAGGACTTTGCGTCTTTACTAGTACTTTGTAGGTTCCGCCAAATGTTGATTAAGATTAAATACATGTATGTAGGATTTTCGGCATTACCACTAGAATGTTGTTTTATGATTTGTAGTAGCTACATACGCGTACGTGTTGCCTCTATACATCAGCGAATATGATCATATGAAGATCAATAGATCTGACCAACTATATATACATGTATGTATTTATTCCAACATCCATCCTTTTACTTCAGATCAAGATACATGTATATTGATCCCATCCAGGCGCCGGCAGAACGAAACAAGTCTACTGAATGTCAATGGCAAAACACAGAACTCAATTTAAAATCACAATTACAATAACGTCAGCCGGAGCGACTATCAATTTTGATAGTACGCGCAAATCAAGGTAACTGGAGTTGATCACTCTCAACTTTTCTATAAATCTTTACGTCAACTTTCAACATTTGCCCCCAAAGCCAAAAGTAGAAAGAATAGACGCCTTCCCGGGCCACTCGAACACCCCCCTCACTCGAACAGTTAACTTAAAAAAGAAAATATCTGCGCTGTAACCGGTTTCTGTACCTCTTGAATTGGGCTTCTCCACCAATAAGCATCAACTGTTCGAGTGAGGGGGGTGTTCGAATGGCCCGGGAAGGCGTCTACCTCCCATGATAGCATCAGACAACCCGAACACCCCCTCACCCGAATAGTTGAGTATGATTGGTACACACACCGGTTGCAACGAAGATCCTTTCTTTTTGACGTTGACTGTTCGGGTGAGGGGTGTTCGGGTGGCTAGGGAAGCCATCTACGTGTAGAGTGCTTTATCCCTTGGCCTGGTGAGACATGCAGATTCGGGACCCTCCAAACTAGGCAGGTTTAGACTGTGGCCCAGTGCCTTTGCCTTCGTGGCGCCGAGCTCAGCCATCTGATAATCCCATGGCAACGTCACTGGGCCACAGTCTAAACCTGCCTAGTTTGGAGGGTCCCGAATCTGCATGTCTCACCAGGCCAAGGGATAACTCCGATCGTTTCAATCTTTTGCGACTGTAGTTAACTGGAGAGCTTACCCGTCCCATGTTACCCAATCCAATCCATGCTAGCTGAAGCGCCATGATAATCGTAATTTTGAATGGGTTGTTGGGTCAAAGGTCGTTCAAGATGGCGTTCAGCAGGCTTTACGAACGGGTTGGGCCAAGATCATATATAACGTACGTTGCAACCCAATCGTTTAGTCACGTGTAGTACCATGTCCACTGATTTCCCCCGCGACCCGTCGGTATTCGGGCCCGTTACGATATAACTAATTGTGTAACCTACATATAACTCTACCAATTTTTTGAGATGTTTTAAACTGGGCCACTATTGCATACACCAAAATCATGGTAGAGTACTGGCCATCATCCTGAGACGGGAGTATCCGTCCAGGTGCCGGTCGGCTATTCTGAATTACAGCAAGGGAATATTCTGGAGCATATGTATATATAACCTACTACTCCGGTTTATAGTATTCTTGTGCTCAATTATTGATGAGTATTCAGCCTTCCCAATGTTAATGATACTATTAAAAATAGCTGTTACGATTTGACCAAATCCAGTTAGCCATCATACTACATAAGGGCACGTTTTGAAAATGTGCAGTTTCAAGTACCTCGGATGGGATAATTACATGTAGGACGAGTAAAAATCATGTTTTCGTGGACCAATTGCCAAAAAAAAGAAGAGAATTTAATTCAGAATGTAATATTCTGCAGTGAAATTAGGAATCATGATCATTCACAGCCCGAATCTCCAAAGATATTCCAAATAGCCAAATTAGAATCTTGATTCGACAAGATTTGGTTCGAGTGGCTTCCGATCGCGAAAGCACTTAAGTTTATATGACTACATGTACTCGTTTACCACGAAAAGAACCAGTTGCTCAGGGCAAGGATTATTTGTATGGGGTGGCGGTGATCTCTCATACAAATCATTACTGTTTCCGTCACTTGCATTTTTTGGTTCTTACCCTGGTACCGCCATAACTCGAAAAATTGGCTAGCTTCCAGAGATCAAAATTACTTGTGTGGGAAACTTCTGATGCAAATCGATGCCATTCAACCAATCACTCGAGCGATAATCCCTGGCCGGAGATAGCCAATTTTTCGAGTTTTGGCGGTATACGAGTACATACTCTGAAACAGTATCACAATCACATGCCTTTAGATTTTAATAATCAGGCGAATACCTAGTGATAATTGATTTCAGTATCTGCTAGAAAGTTCCATTAGGGTTGGGAGTCAGTGGGTAAAATTAAATCTGATCATTCTAATAGCTCTCCCGAGCGAGCGCGTGCCTGGCGCCCCTAATGTCCGCGAGATGTAGAAGTACTCTAACTATTTACATAGTACGTATATAGGTATGGATTTAGAGTGCTCTCGGCTATGGGTCTAGCAAGCTACATGTATCTACCATTTATGACCGCTTTTCAGTACTACATGTATTTATATACATGTACTTCACAGAATCGCTTTTGGAGCAACGACGAGCCTGGGGCAATGACGAATACTGGGTTTCAGCCAATCAATTTTCTAGATATCGGCCTGAACGTCACCCTGCTTGACTTCCAAGCAGTACCGCTGCAGAGGTAGCTTATCCCTTGGACGCGTGAGACATTTGGAGAATCTCTCTCATGCATTAGCGGGAATTGGCAGTCATGTGACCTAGAATTTGGCTGAGAAAACGTCCGGGTAAGCAGTTTGCTGCATTTATTGGTCTTCGGAATACTCAGAGATGCCAAAAACTTCGCAAGTTGCTGCTTTATTATAGTAAATCGTTTCCTAGGTAGGGCACGCTAATGCATGAGAGAGATTCTCCAAATGTCTCACGCGTCCAAGGGATAGAGTATTTGAGAAAATTCGTTGCGCTGCAGCAGGGGCAAGAGCCAACCAGAGGCAGTATTTGGACATCAAGATGCAAGACTTGGTACTCGTATTTTCGTGACGTTTGTAAAAGGAACCACTATTGCATACCATACAAATACGCGCCAAGTCCACAATTTAGTATGGTATGCAATAACGGTTCCTTTTACAAACGTCATGAAAGTACCGCAAAAGTTGGAGCGTTGCACCCAGGTGTTAAATAAGATCCTGGTAAGTTTCTCTCACCAAAAACTGAAGGATTCGCCACAGTTCGAGCAAAAATTGGTGCTTTTTACATACCAGGATCTTCTCTAACGCCCGGGTGCAACGCTCCAAATCTTGCGGTGCGAGTAGAGAAGACCCCTGCTGCAGCGCAACGAATTTTCTCAAATACTGTGGTACTCTACTTACATACCCGTAGCTTTATAGCGTTTCCGAACACGACCAATATTGCATGACATACGAAAAAGCGCCAAATCCACCTTTTTGTATGTCATGCAATATTGGTCGTGTTCGGAAACGCTATAAAGCTACGAGTACATATCTCTGCGGCTGCTTTTAGACTGTAGCGTCGCCGAGGTCGCCTGTTAAGATGTAGCTCTACTTGGCATGTAGTTGCCGTGCATCGCCAAGCTTGAATCCCTGAAATAAGATGGCAATTAACTCCCTTGGCAAGAAAAATGTATTGCCGGCCGGGCACCAGCCAATCCTGACCCTTCAAAGCGTCATTCGGGGGGAATTTGATAGTCGTGCAGTTATCAGCTAGAAGCTCTTTTTTTTTTTAAGGAAAAAGCAAGAGGGTACATGTATGTAGGTATATGTAGGTGCACAGCTGCTTCTTATATAACCCCCATCGGCCCGCCTGCTTTCCGTCCACTACATACCATACACTCTTCAAGCATCCCTCCTCTACAAGTTCTCCAGTTTTGCAGGCTCTACTTGATACTCAAATTGACTACAAAATCAACTAGAGCACCCATTTTGCATTTAATTTCTTTTTAACTACAACCATTTCTACACACGGTCATCACAATTTGCGTATGCAAGATGATGCCAAAAATATTCACCCCCGAAGTCGTGAAGGACCCATGTTTCAGCAGCAGCAGCAGTCTTCTCCAGAACACCTTGTCCTCTCCTCTCCAGCCTACCTCCTCACAGCAGAAGAAATTGTACAACAGCTTGCAACAGATACAGACAATGGATTATCTGAAGAGGAAGCACAGCGCCGAATAACAAAGTATGGGCTCAATGAGCTCGAAGCCGGTGGTGGTGTCAGCGCATTCAAGATTCTCATGGGACAGATATTCAATGCCATGGTTTTGGTAACTTTAATCTAGATTCGATATGCACTCGGCAATAACTGTTTCTAACAAGACTGTAGATTTTAATCATGGCCATGGCTGTCTCATTTGCGATTAAATCTTGGATCGAAGCTGGTGTCATTACCGCGGTGGTTTTTATAAACATCATTGTCGGCTTCTTTCAGGAGTATAGTGCAGAGAAAACAATGGATTCATTGCGGTCTCTCTCTTCTCCAACAGCTACGGTTATTCGTGCAGGCCAGTTGAAGACTATAAGATCTCTTGACCTCGTTCCCGGCGATATTGTTGAGGCCAAAATGGGCGACACAATTCCTGCTGATTTGAGGCTTTTTGAAGCAATGAGTATGTTTGAGTTTTCCTCCTCTTAGTGAAAGTTTGGCTAAGTTGTACTTTAGACTTTGAAACAGATGAAGCTCTCCTTACTGGAGAGTCTCTCCCGGTAGCAAAGAATGCTGGTGCGTCTTTCAAACTCGAAGATGATGCTGGTGTTGGTGATCGTATCAATATGGCATACTCTAGTTCCACAGTCTCCAAAGGGCGTGCGAGAGCTATTGTTGTTAGTACTGGTATGAACACTGAAATTGGGAAGATTGCCGAGTCTCTACGTGGCAATGACAGCAAGATACGCAGTGTTTCGCGCGATGAGAGTGGTCATGCTACCTGGGGTGCCTATATAATGGCTGGTCTCTGGACTGTTTTGGACTTTGTTGGTGGTTTCCTCGGCACATCCGTTGGAACGCCTTTACAGAGGAAGCTCAGTTGGCTGGCAATCTTTTTGTTTGGCATCGCAGTAGTCTTCGCTCTTATTTGCCTTGCTGCGAACAGCTTTAGCAGTTCACAAGAGGTTATTCTATATGCTGTTGCGTGAGTTTCTCTTCATGCGCCGGGATTCTACAACAATTTAGCTAATTGTTTGACAGCACTGGATTGTCTATGATACCCGCTAGTTTGGTTGTAGTACTTACTATTACCATGGCTGTGGGTACCAAGATCATGGTCCAACGTAACGTTATTGTCCGCAAGCTTGATTCGTTGGAGGCACTTGGTGCTGTAACCAACATTTGCTCTGATAAAACAGGTACCTTGACACAAGGGAAAATGGTTGTGAAGAAGGCTTGGGTTATCGCAGAGGGTATGTTAGCGCTCGAGTATAACTTGTATAGACCTCTAAAGATTTTAAGGAACATATACGGTTGGCGAATCTACCAATCCAATCGATTGTACCTCCGCCGAAATATCATTTACGGAGACTACTCCATATGATACCTTTAAGAGTCAAGGGGACGCCACAGAGAAAAAGAATGTATCACCGTTTAAACCCGCTTCAGAGTTTATCAACAGGAGCTTTCTAAAGCAGTACTTGAATGTGGCAACATTCTGCAATCTTGCAACAGTTACTCGTAATGAGGAGACACAGGAATGGGGCGCTCGTGGAGACCCCACCGAGATTGCTATCCAGGTCTTTTCTAGTCGATTCGACTATGGTCGCCGTAAGTTCACAAGTGGCGATGCGCCTTCGTGGACTCAAATATCTGAATACCCATTCGACTCCGACGTCAAACGCATGACCGTTATATTCAGGAACTACAGTGGTAATCTCGACAACGGATACGCGGAGTGGGCCTTTATGAAGGGCGCAGTGGAGCGGGTTCTCGAAGCCTGTACCACCATCCAACTCGCCAACGAAATCATTCCTCTTGATTCTGAGGTGCAGCAAAGGGTGCTTAGAAACATGGAGGCTCTAGCCTCGCAAGGTCTTCGTGTTCTCGCATTAGCACACAGGTCATGGAAGACTAAATCAAATGATATGGGCCAACTCCCGCGTCAGGATGTTGAGAGGGGAATGACACTCCTTGGACTTATCGGTCTCTATGACCCACCTCGTGTGGAGACTGCCGGTGCTGTTAAGCAATGCCATCGTGCTGGAATTAATGTTCATATGGTCACGGGAGACCACCCACAAACTGCTAGGGCTATTGCAATGCAAGTGGGAATTATTCCAGCGAATGTCCATCTATTGGCGCAAGATGTTATATCAGCCATGGTTATGACTGCATCACATTTCGATAAGCTCTCAGACGAAGAAATCGACAGGCTTCCTGTTTTGCCGTTGGTTATTGCTCGTTGTGCGCCGCAGACAAAGGTCCGAATGGTTGACGCCTTACATAGACGGAATAAGTTTGTTGCGATGACAGGTGATGGTGTCAATGATTCCCCTGCACTTAAACGTGCCGATGTTGGTATCGGCATGGGTATGGCTGGAAGCGATGTCGCAAAGGATGCTTCGGATATTGTTCTCACGGATGATAATTTTGCATCTATTCTCAACTCTATCGAGGAGGGTAGACGTATGTTCGACAACATCAAAAAGGTAAGACTGAGATTTTTATAATGTCATTCAAGGACCAGTGACTGACCGTGCTGTAGTTTGTCTTGCATCTTTTGGCAGAAAACATTGCTCAAGCATGTACTCTTCTTATCGGGCTTGCTTTCAAAGATAGCTCTGGACTGTCGGTTTTTCCACTTGCTCCAGTCGAGATCTTGTGGATCATCATGATCACCAGCGGCTTTCCTGCCATGGGCCTAGGAATGGAGATAGCTTCGGATGATATCATGACCAGACCGCCCCACAATGTGTGTATCTACAGAAACTCTTCCTAGTATTAAATACTAACAATCTCATAGCGCAAGGTCGGTATCTTTACTAAGGAAGTGCTCATTGACATGTTGGTCTATGGTTGCTGGATGGCAGCCCTTTGTCTTGCATCTTTCTCGATCGTGGTTTTCGGTTTTGGTGACGGCAATCTCGGGCATAATTGCAACAATCATATTTCCGACGAATGCATGCTCGTATTTAGGGCTCGAAGCACCACTTTCACTTGTCTCACATGGTTTGCATTGTTCTTGGCATGGGAGATGGTCCACATGCGCCGCAGTTTCTTCCGCATGGAACCAAAGCCCGCCCATATCTGGTCCTTATGGGCTCGTCATGCCTGGCGCAATCCATTCCTTTTTTGGAGTATTATGGCGGGTTTCATCACAGTCTTCCCGATCATCTATGTCCCTTTCCTGAATACCGTGGTCTTCAAGCATGCCCCAATCACCTGGGAATGGGGCATAATCTTTGTTGAGTCTTTCTTGTTTTTCATGGGTGTGGAAGCGTGGAAACTCTGCAAACGAGTTTATTTCAGAAGATATGGCGACAAAGCTAAAAACCCTGAAGATGAATTGGGACGTGAGATGTTCACAAGGGACAATAGCACATCCGTGAGTGATGTGGTCTAGAGGGCAATACCAATGACTACGGACTAAGTTTCAACAACTGTCTATCTTTTACTTTCTCTTCTAAAAACAAGCAACAATTTCTTCAATTCTTATCAAATCGTTTTGTTCAATCTCCACTCAACCTGCACTGTATGTAGCTACGCACCTATGTCAAAATTTGTCGTAAACTATATATCTGTTTTAGCAATAGCCATACTTTATACTTAAGCACACATACACACGAATTTCGTTAGGCACTTGAGTGAGCGTCTCGAATCTCGATCAGCTGACTCTTAGGATAAAAACCTCAGAGACTTTGGACGATGACTACATGTAGTTATGAGTGTAGCTATTAACTAGTATACGATCATATCTTTCTATAAATTCGCCAAGGATGTGCTGCTTATTATTGTCTTAGCTAGACCTTACCTGACTAATCATTATTACTACCCTTTCTAAATGATATATATCGTTTCCTATACGGGCCAGGAAAGTTTCAAGTATCGGATGGAATCACAATGAATCACTCGTCATCCATTGCCATAACTGTAAGGTTACATGCAGTTAATAAATAAAAAAAAATGAAAAAAAATCTCGTCATTAACTAAGCTTTTAAGGATGCAGCTTACTATAGAACAGTCCATGTATGTATGTACTCGCAGGAGGTAACAAGTACCCGAAAATGCACGCCCTACCTTACTGTCGAAACGCATACAATTTTGAGCCTTATTCAGTCGGCTTATCCAGGACGTAGGCTCACAATACATTAGGGTCGGAACGGGTATTTTTATAAGGCTGATAGGCAGACGAAAAGCTTTGTTTAAACCTTAAGTCTCAAATAAGCCCAAATTTGGCCTGTTTTGGGCATAAGTGTGACCGTCGGCCACTAAGAATTATGCAAATTCATAAGGTTTCGTGGGTTAGGGTTAGGCACAGCAAATATCAAGCCGTCTGCGCCTACTCATCTCCATCACCTCCACCATCTCTATCACCTCCACCACCTCCGTACCATCTACCACCACCGCCCACCCCCCCCCCCCCTCTCAAGCTCCCTCAGTATCAGGGTTATCATCGAAGTAGGTTCTAATCAGCGAATTGAACGACGATTAATCCAGCAGCAGCGAATCCAGCGCCAAATACAGCACCAAATACAGCACCAAATCGAGCATCAAATAGAGCACCAAATCGACGCCCAAATCGACGCCCAAATACTCGACTAATTGCACCAAAGCATTACCAAATACAGCACCAAATCGAGCACCAAATATACCCAATTCAGCGAATTAGGACGATAGGCAGGTAGGCGAGCAGGTAGGTAGGTGAGCAGACAGGCGGGCAGGCAGGCAGGCAGGCAGGCAGGCAGGCAGGTAGGCAGGTAGGTAGGTAGGCGGGTAGGCCTGCGGGGGGGGGGGGGGGGGGCGGGGCAGGTAGGCGGCCATCGATGTATATAATGTCAAATTAAGCCTTATCGCGTATCATAAGGCTTCGTCTTATTAAGGTCTTAAAAAAGATAGGGTTGGAGGGAACTGAGTCGGCAATAAGGTCTTAATCCCGAATAAGCCCAATATAAACCTTATTTAAGCCTCTAATCAGCCTTATAGAAATACCCGTTCCGACCCCAAAGTAGATTTATCAGTACAAAAACCCTTTTTTAAGCCTTATTTCATCCTTAAAACATGCTTAAATAATACTTATTTGAACCTTATTGGATTCATAAGGCTATTGTGAGCCTACGTTCTGGATAAGCCGACTGAATAGGGCTCAAAATTGTATGCGTTTCGACGGTAAGGTAATCTGCAATTACCATTGGAGTAGAAGTCAAAAAATACACCAAAACCTTGCAGCTGCATTTTCGGGTACTTCAGGCCTGTCGCGAGTAGTCCATCTTGATATGTCTCACTCGATCCTCCGTAAGCTCTACATATAAATTGTTCCAACAACGAACGTTGGGATAGTGTATCATATTCTGGCAGAAGCAGAAGAAATTAATTACAGCTGATATGCAGCTAGGTCCCGAGACTATTTGATCATAATAGATCCGGCGAATATATAAGTAGTTCAACAGTTCTTTTACATACATCATATACTTACCTCCTAATTTTCATACTAGCAAAATCACACATCATTGCAATCAAGTAAAGTAACCTTGACTCTTATGTGAGGAGGGAGAATTTCCATCGGAGGTTTCGAGGGACAAGGGCCACTTTCAAGCACACACTTTCTAAATCTTCAAAGTCCGTTGAGAACAGGAACTATGTTCTATTTTACAGTACAGGTAGCCTCCCGAAGATATTCTGATATTATAGATCCCTATAATTACCACCTACCAACTCATTACTATACTCTGGAGGTGAGGATAAGACCGTCCAATTTAAATTAACGAAGGACAATGGCCACGGTACGTATATATATGTATCTGTCAATACCTGTGAGGTGAACGACAGTAAACTGTTACTTTGACTGTACCACGGACTTGATGACTAGAGCCGAAAGATTAAATTTTGAGATGATCACGGTTTCAAGTTTGGCAGTCTAATATTCCACCGTGGTAACTACTTGTAATTGTTGGGGGTGGGGGCTGCGTACATGTAGTCATTCCTAATTTTTACGGTATTTGTGGGGCAGGGTATTATTGGCCCCTACAAAGCCACGAGTCATGACGTATGCCAAGAAATATACTACATCCCCCATGTTCGGTGTTAATTTTAAGTACATACCAACTTTGTAGCAAAGGACGCGATGTAATTCGACACCCCAAGTATTTATATAGGTGACCCCCGGAGTATCTTGTACATACTCATCGAGAAAAAGCATACCAGTGTCTGATCTAGTGGTTTGGTTTTCATTTGTTATAATGAGTAAATTAGTAAGGGCTACTAGGTTAATCATAAGCGTCACATTATGGTTAGTACCAATTTCTACTAATAAGGCTTGTAATATTGGAAGGGGCTTTAGTACCAGTCTAAGTTCTGGGAGCACATCGCTCTTCTGCCTATTCTCACCTCTCCTTCAAGACAAACTTGGCTATTCACAACTTCATATCCCTTGCCAGCGAAGTCGGCACACACATCCCAGTCCTTTTCCTGATGTCCCTGTCACAGTATACCGAAAGCTATAGCAGTCCTAGAGCTGTATCAGTCTTATCCTTAATCTCATTTATATCTAGATATTTCCTCGCGGTTTACGTGTTTATAAACCGCCTGCACTTTACGTTCATGATGCTGGCATTTGTCTTTGTTGGCACAGGTTTTGTGGCACCGCAGATATCAGGATTAACGACTATGGTGGGAAATATACGGTCTGTGCAAAGCGCCTTGGGATTGACTGTATTGCTCTTTGGAATGAGCCCTATCTGGCAGGTTCAGGTCGCTGCTAGGGTTTTTAGGAAGGATGAGGATCAACAGCTAACGACGGAAAGTTTACTTCTCGCGCTGGGTAATTTCTTGGCACCGTTTCCATATTGGGAGGAGCTGGACTGCTGACTTTATCGGAATGGAGGAGTAAAAAGGGTGTAGGGGATGGTGAGGAGGCGGAGGAAGGCCTATTGGACACAGATGCGATAGACGTAATTCAAAACGACGCTGTCAATTCTAATCAGCAGCAAACATCATATGGATCAACTAACAGCAATAACGTTCGGGAAAATGAGCCCATGAAATTGGATAGGTCCCAGCACTCGTGTCTTTCTCAACGACAGGAATGCCCGGATATTTTCACTTGCAATCTTCCTCAGTATGGGCCCAGCGCAGACATTTACAAATAATGCAAGTGTCCATTATGCCTTGATCCTTGAAAACTAACCCTAACCATGTATTAACTTCTAATTGCCATAACTGTAAGGTTGCATGCAATTAATGAATTAAACAAAAAAAAATGTATTAACTTCTTTATAGTTAGGAACACTATTATAAACAACGTATCGCACCAACTTGAGTACCAATTCCTTAAATGCCGCATATCAAGCCTCTATCTTGCATCTTAGCGCAACAATCACTCGCCTCGCTGCAGCGTATTTCAATGGTCATATCGCTATTCCTACACCTTTCAAAGAAGCAACACTTAAGAGGTCTCCTAGGTATAGGATACGCTCTAAGATTAGTGTTTTAGTGATTTGTTCACTCGTTATGACGGCTGGACTGGCCGTTCTTGCATCGGGCGTTGTTCAAGAAAATGGTCGATATTTTTACATAGTGAGTGTATGTCTTAACACTAGCCATGGGTATGTATCACTTCCGTCTTCATCACAACCAAACTAACCGCCGCTCCAAAGCGCCGTGTTCAATATACCCCCAGCAATAACCTCCACAGTGTGGGGTCCCAAGAGTTTCAACAGTAACTAGGCAGCCCTCAGTTTGACTACGCCATTACGTGGTGTCAGTGCATTTTCAATCTACATGGGCCGTCGGTACGATATCATCGCGGATGAGCAAGAAGGATATGGCACATGCAATTGCGTGGACTATTATGATGTGACGGTGATAATTATGGGGGCCAGTATTTTGTTGGCGATCTCTTTGTGAATAGTTGTTGGGCGAAATTATGAGAGGGACCGAAACTTAGCTATTAGAGGTTTTAGCTACACAATTTGGACAGAAACTCATGCGCTTCCTATTGGTACCTACATAGCTAAAACCCTCTATCGATTTAGGCCTGAAGTGCGGACGAAAATTTGTAGATTGTTTGTAGGTAGATTTTATAGTTACGATTTGATAGTTTAATAAGTAGTCGAAATTCTCATAAGTCTTGGGATTGAGCGTATAAATTAAAGTAATTGTGTTCTACAACGCGTGCACGCAACACCCGCAAGCAACGACGGCGCGGGGAAGAAAGAGGGCATATGAACACATAACAGGTTCAAAATTAAGAATATGCCGAGTGAAGTAAAGGAGCTGTTGTTAATCATTGCTTGTATGTGTTTATGCTTTACTACGCATATACCTAGCGCTACGTTACTCTAGACGAATAACCACCTGTCACCAATGCTGATCTGATCTAGATATAGCTGTTTGTTAATAAGTCTATGTATGTAGAGTATAAGGTTTAATAATTATAATAAGATAACCCGGTAATCTCTCTAATGCCAAGGACGCCCGATACTGTCTAGGCAGTGTGATTGAGACGAGTGATATGCCATGATCTTGGTATTCAATAGAGTTTTTCCTGCGTAGCCACTCGGAGTCTCGGACACCTCCCTCGGACAGTCAATGATGGTTGGAGAAGACGTACAGGGGTCGGTTACGAGACTATTGTCAGACCAAGGAGGGTGTCCGAAATCCTAATGGCCAGGGAAGGCGTCTAGCCTTAGCTCAAACCGAGTTTGAGCATCAACCAGTCGCAACCATTGCACAACATATAAATTTCATATAGTAAAAATGGTAAAAAATTAACTACCTACCCCCATCCCTTTCATCGTCCTCATCAAATTCAAATCATAGCACTCGGATATTCAGGCTCATCTCCCTGCAAGATACAAATTGCATGAATAACAAACTACAGAAATAAAATAAAAAGCATTAAATCATGAAGGAATAAATCATCCATCCACGACAGGTTTACATCCAAACCCCAAGAAAACGACTGAAATAATTAATGAAATTAAAGGTACTTAAGCCCCCAAATAACTCATGAATTAGTACTATAGGCGTGATCAATCTCCTTTTTGTACTTTTCAAGAATCCCTCTGCGGTTAAGTTTCTGGGCACTAGTGACCAATTGCTATCCATTCACAACGACATTAACGACATGCCCTTATTATTTTCAGGAAGTGGAAAGACTTACGTTCTGTGGGGTCCATTCTTCATCGGACATAACAACACCTTGAATTAACTCAGCACCTGCAAGGCCTCCCTTCCTACCCGATGCGATGAGCTCCTTAAGTATGATACTGTTTAGTTTGGGGTTGTGCACGAGGGTTTCAAGGTCTCCCTCAATGCCATTATCGGCTGCAATCTTCTTAAGAGTAGCTTCGACTGGAACGATGATCGCAACGGGCTTTGTCTTCGTTACATCCGCATAAACGCAGATATTAGCTACAACCGCGGAGGCACGGTAAAGAGACTCAAGCTAAAGATAAGGTCAGAGTTTTGCCACAGTTCATGCTTGTCAGTGGCTTGATTACCTTTTCCAAAGCGATATATTCGCCGTTAATGGTCTTGACTAAGTTCTTCTTACGGTCAATGATCCTCAAGTGACCATTTGCATCCCATTCACCAATATCTCCAGTCTTGAACCACCCATCTTCATAGGCTGCCTGTGTCTCCTCTTCATTCTTGAAGTAGTGGGAAGCAACTGCATCTCCACGAATCCAAATCTCACCCTGTTCGGGTTTGTTTGAGGTGAAATATCCGGCGTCTGCAAAGTCGACAAGCTTTATCTCAATGCTCGCAGGCACAGTCCCAAGACTTTTAGTGTTCCATTCGCAAGGATCCATGAGGGCACCCATGCTATAATATGATGACAGTCAGAAAAGTGAGAAGAGTAGCTCCTGGAAAGGAAAACTTACGCAGAGGTTTCGGTCAACCCATAACCAATGATCATAGGAGCAATGGTCATACTGATGAAGTGCTGAGTCTCTGGAGCGATTGGTCCTCCTCCACTCATAGTTACCCTTAATCTTCCACCTGTCGCCTCTCTAATCTTTTTAAAGATAAGTGAGTCCAACACGCCTGCTCCGGGAATTCCGGATTGTAGCATGAAATTTTTGAGTGACATAGCTCCCCAGAAAAGCCTCTGGCTCAGAGGTGGCAGAAGTGACACCTTGTCAACAATACCTTTCTTAACCGTTTCCCATACAGCAGGAACTCCAACGAGGATAGTAGGGCGGAATTCGGTAATATCACCCTTACAATTACGCATGGATCTATCGGAAAGGGTTTTAGGACTTCCATAACCCATTGTTCCTCCCCAGAAAAGACAGGCATTTTCAAAAACGTATTCGAGAATATGAGCTAAGGGAAGGAAGGTGAGAAGGAAATCGCCGGGGCCGATATAAGGACCAACTATCACCGTTACACCAGTAACTAGAAAAAAGTTTCAATATTAATCTTGCGTGATCTGCAATAGTTTCTCGGATTGATAAGTACTGTACCTGCAGCGATGACATTCTTGTGGAGAAGTGGTACACCCTTGGGGGTACCGGTAGATCCAGACGTGTACATGATACCGCAGAGATCTTCTGGTCCAGCAGGGTTTGGCTCGACGGGGTTTTCCTCTCCAAGCTTGAAAAGCTCATCAAAGCTTAGAATTCTAAGCTTCTCGAACTTAGATTTCAACGCGTCAATATGATCCTGTTCGACGGCGCCTTCGCTGTTGTAAATCACGTAACGGATTTCCGTCGCCTCTTTTAGCGGATTCATAAGCTGAGGCAAGAGGTGGGGGTCAAGAAATATGGCTTTTGACTCGGTTTGTACAAGCGAGTGGGTGAGTCCAGATTGGCCAAGGGTATCATATGCAGTGACGATTGGCATTGACTGGGAAGCGGCACCTATATTTACATCTCAGCAAGATTATTGAGTAAAGTTTAAAAAGAAAACACTAACCATGTGAAATTCCAAGCCAGTTTATGCTATATTCCAGTAAGCATAAATTTCCCCGAAAGAGCGGTCACCCTACCTAGTAGCAGCGAAGATTTGAACACGATCTTCCTTTTCAAGGCCAAGAGCCCTGAGCCCAGAACCAATTGTGTTCACACGAGCCAAATACTGGTTGAACGAGATGTACGAGTACTCGCTCATTTCGTAATAAAGCCATTTCTTCGGAACCTCTTGTTCAACCCCATCGACCATTTTCTTGACCATTTTCTGCTCCTCATGAAGTTTGATGAGCTTTCGGGTGCCGAGGGCCTGTGCATCTCCAAACTTTGCGGCTCCACGCTTGACGATGTCGTAAGTGGTCCTAATGTCCTCTTCCATTCGGTTTCTCAAACCGTTGATGGAACCAGGATGACGACGAGGAATGCCCTCGCCTTCCTTTGGAGTAACATTGGGGACTTGGACGTTGAAGGGAGGTTTTTTGGAGATGCACGGTTGCAAGACCTGTTTCTTTTGACTGGCCATGACGACAACACCTATGACGCGTGAAGCAAAAGTATAGTATTGGTAGTTAAAGACAGAGGTAGGAAGTAGTCTTCGTCAAAAAGGGGACAAAACTACTTGAATGACTTCAATTACTGCGAGTGAGTGAGTAAGAGATGAGGTCGTGGGATACTGGAAGGTCTCTTGGTTTACGGTGGGGATGCTGATGCTTTATGTAAGTGAAGGGGGTTGGCAGCACTTAGGCGAGACTGCACCAGTACTAAAAGCAAGAGTGCATTGCTTGTGGCAACTGGCCACGCATACAGCGAGCAACCTTCGGCTTCCTAGACGTCGCTCTTTCAAATAGCGTGATTGGTGCCCTTTGACCGTATCCCAGTAGAAACGGAGAAAGCCAGCCTACTTCGGTATCAGATGCCATTAGCCCTGGCTGGTATTACCAGTGCAGTAGGTACATGTAGGTAGATACGTAGAAGACCGTAGGTGTCCAGTAGGTAGGAGTGTAATTTCCTTTGCTTTGCACTGGTTGCGTAAAATTACACACACTTGTCTGTTTCCTTTGTCGAGATCATATTTCTCGGCAGTCGCACGATACCCACACACTCAGCTACAAGTCATAATTGAAGTGAGGATAGGTCAAGTTCGTTCGTTCCCAACACTTTTCGGGGTGTAATAATCATCAACTCTAGTACGAACCTAGGTAGCACAGCCTGGCACCTGAACCTCGGAACCTGTGAACCTTAGACCCTTATACATGTAGGTACATGTAGGTAGAGTACATGTATGTCAATATTCCATTCCATGATTGAAAGCTCGAGTCTCTAGGAATCTCCCTGTATGACGGTAGTATCCGTACCAAGAAGCCAGGTTTCTTGGCTACTCCGCATTCACACACACAGCCCCTTGTAGTTACTCGTATTAGTGGTATCATGGGAACTTTGTTTTTGAGAATACTTGTATGTGCAGTTGGAATCGGTTTTGTAGGCTTTCGGGGACTTTTGCTATGATACGGATACCGATACACCCGTACCCGTTGCATATAGAGTAGAACACAACAAACATGGGTTGCCGGGCGAATCAATTAAACACAGTCTTTACAATATTGAGTAATTAGCTACAATTATCACTTGCTAGAGAGAGAGCAGATGTTGAGGTTTGCTATCGGTGTGTAATACAGGAAAAAGCAATTTGGGTGATAATTGTGAACATGCTAGCCCTGGGGCCAGTTGATACTCTAGAGTATGTTTTGGCACAGACGTTTTCAGAAAAGCCACAGACTCGGCAGCCATCTCGCGATCGTCGACTAACCATACGCTAAAGTAAAAACCCCACCATCCTGGTCCACAAGGTTCCCCAGAGTCCCCTTCGACACCCCACCAACTGAATTGAAAAGGCTGAGATTCCTCGCCCACATGACTGTTGAATCATTCCTGTCGCTCCTCGGTGAAGAGGTTGTGAATGTCTATGAAGGTTGCCCCGACAAATTCCCCTAACCCATTATCTGTTGGTTGAACTAATACTGGTGCTGACATTCGAGGTCTCGGCGCCAGAGTCCATTCTCCTCTTTTCAACAGTTCCATCTTCAAGAAACCTTGGCTTTCTGGACAGCAGTGCTTCTTCAATATCTGTGACCGCTGCTGGCCAAGACCTGACAATTTATCAGTCCCCAACACTCTTATCTTCCACTCGTCGAGGAGGTACAACAGGTGCTGGTATGCTTGTGCGGGTTAGCCTTGGAATCAACGCCCAGGACCAAACCCTTGGTTAACGTTGAATTTTATATCCAGGGCTGCTGATAATATTTTGCCTATAGTCCTATGGAAGATCACCCCCATATTTGCGGAATGGATATGTGACAAACATAATATCCTCTTTGCCCATGGAGTCCTTACGACATCATCATCGGTTTTAGAACTCGGGGGTGGTTCAGCAGCCGTCCTTGCACTGACGCTAGGCACACGGGTTGGAAAATATTACCACAGCGACCAGGAATACGTTATGAAGCTTGCTCAAAAGAATTTGGGTGAGAATTTGCCAGAAACAATAAAGTCACCATCAAAACGGCGGGGCAAAGTTACAAAGACAACTGGCCATATACCGAACATATCAACAATTTCTTTAGACTGGGAGACTGATGATATTCGATACCATCCAGCTCTGCAAGCTGGTACCTTATTTTCTGCTGTAATAGCCTGCGATACCATATATAACGAAGCTCTCATCAAGCCCTTTGTAGAGACCTGCATAGACGCATGCTCTCTATCTCGAAGCAATACAGAATCGAATATAGCCCCGGCAGTAACAATAGTCGCTCAAGAGCTCCGATCACCAGAAGTCTTCGAAAATTGGCTTGAAACATTTCAAAAAGCATTCCACACATACCGCATCCCCGATGACCATCTAATCCCTTCTTTGAGGTCTACATCAGGATACAGTGTACATGTTGGAATACTTCGCTCTGGGTTGGAACGATCCTAAAGCTAGATATTTCTTTCTCATATTGCAGAGTACTTACCCTTACATATCCCCCTTCCTGGCATTCCTCCTAATCAGCGGCGATGCAGCGTAACCCGCCGCAAAGCCTGTCATTTCGTCCTCTGAAAATACTGCTTCTGGATTCATGCTCATTCCAGAAACTAGGGATAAGTTTGGTAACGGCGAGCCACCAGCCGGTGTCAGAACTGGGGACACGGCTATCTTCGGTCGAGACTTAAAGACGGAATTATAGTCCGTTGATCGTAAGAGATCTTCTTTACGAGTTGGGGAAGCGAGTGGAGCTTTTATCGGTGTAGAAAAGTTATCTCTACGTGAATTTAAAAAAGATGACTGCTCGGTGTTCTCATACTGTGTGCTCTGCAGTTGACCGATGTTAAGTTTTAACCTACTTTCATCCATCTCAAACGTGTCATCCAAGGCTAGAGGCCTAAAAGCGTGCCGCTGCTGGTTTCTCTTGAGAGGAGATGGCTTTTCTGGCGAAAAGTCGGTTGCAGCCATAGTTGACACAATCTAATGGGTCCTTGTAAGTTTATATTATCAAGTGATTGCCTAGTCCTATTTACCTGTTCTGCTAGAAGCTCATCGTCCCCAAAGCCCTCGAATCCCAACGAATCCCGCGTTCGCGGCTTGCTTTGTGGGGGTGGCAGTGGAGAAGCAGGGTCTGTGTGACTTGATTGTAGATTAGGAATTATTATTGACTCCTCGAACTCACTGAATCCCTCATTTTCGTCATCATTATCTTGGTATGAGGCATCGCTAGGGGTTGTTGGCTGCGGCTCGTAGTCCTCAATTTGTTGGGAAACCTTTATCAAAGGATTATCCTGGTGGTCATAGGGCCTTTGTAGAGGCGATTCGGACATTTCAATATCTGATTCGTTGCCATATCGTGAATAATCGGAAATCGGTAATTCACTTTCTGGTAATTCATTATCAGGCATTTCCTCATCCCCATCCGTGTCTTTTCTTTCAAATTCTGGTACTTCCGTTCGGATTGCCGGCTTACTTGGCACTGGACGGAATTGGTACTCCGGTGAAACAGTAGCCACTTCGCGTCTTGCAGGTATTCCGGCCGCCGTTAAGTCTTCACGTAAAGCATCTATGAGTTCGGTATCTGGCAAAACATTAGTTTGCAAGCTCATTTACACTGGCCGCTTGTGGTGAAACCGTACATTCGTTCCTCTGACTATCAATATACTCATGGGCTATTCTTACTTGGCCACTGTGTAGGCTCTGTAAATAGGTTAGTCGTGAGGTGCAGGCAGATCTAGGGTAATGTTATGCAACTCGTGATACCGACCTGATGTTGGTCAAAAACCACCTTCAAGTATGTCTTCTCGTTTTGAGCATCCGATCCAGCCTTCGCCTTACCAGGGAGGTTTGTGGAATCAAATCTTGGAGTTGTCCTCAGAGTCTCCTCTCTTATATGACGTAGCTCTCTCAATCTATTATTTTGCTCTTGGACTTGCTTCTCTAGTGCTAGAAGGCTAACGTCGCCATTTCTCACGCCAACCAGTCCGTTCTTGAAATGATGGTGCTTGCTCAATGCCTTGTGAAATGGCAGCTCAAAAAATTGATCTCTCATGTACTCTGGATCGCCTTTCAATAAAATTTCGAGCCATCGCTGATCACCAAGCCAATTATTCCTCCATTTGCGTAAAACGTCTTCTTCGTATCCCCTCGGGAGAATTGCTGGATGATCTCCTGTAGTTGATTGTGACAAGGTTTCCGAAATTACCGAAATTTGCGACTCCTTGGAGTCTAGAAATGCGGCGAATGAAGACCATTGTGATTTTGACAAACGGCGCGAATGGAGAAGACGTGTCAGTGATGATTCATGTGCTAATATCAAGGCCTCCAGAGATTTGGGCGAGGGGGAAAGCGAGGATGTTTGTTTATAGGCTGTGCTCACACTAATTAGCTCCAAAACACATGGGAACCGAGATAGCGATAGCAATGACTTGCGCTACTTCTTTCCGAACGCACCGAACGTTTTGCAAATTGCATTTTGGATATTCCCCTTCTCGAGTTGGCTTCGTAGAACATATGTGGATAGTGCTAGTAGTAATTCCTCGTATCGATCCCCAGAGCAATCGTCCAACAGCGTCCGCCGGACTAGAACGTTTCCCCCTAATTGGCCATTCTTCTTGAGATCCGAGAGCCATTTAAATATGACGTTGCGCAATTCACGCGACTGGGCAGGCTCGAATATTGGCCAGCATGTATCCAATCTCTGGTATTGATCTGTAATCAGCATGATTTCCTTGTTTATTTTGGACCAAGCAGTGGGGTGGAAGCCGCATACGAGAGCACATTCCTCTGGGTCAAGGATGTGGAATAGGTGATAGGCAATATGCTCGAAGGCTTTACCCTTGTTTTTCAGCGAGGTGAATACGTCGGAATTGATAGGGAAGGATTGCTCGGGGTCATTGTCATAATCCAGAAGCTGTAGATTTGTGAGGAGTAGCGAGACGGCAGTTGGAGGTGACTTCATTGGAGATTGCACGGTCACGATTTGCGTCAAGGTGCGGGATGACTGGAGGGAGGAGGTGGTGAGTTATTGTTGGATACTGCCGGTATATCTAGATGGATAGTTGGGGCTCAGCTGGGATATGAAGTATATGAAGGGTGCAGGAATTGAAGATTACACACACTGAATTATCTATATTGGTGGCTGAAGAGATCTGGGGTAGGGGTTGGTTGTGGCTCTCGGCTCGCACATAGCAAGCATACCAGTTAACTAAATTAGGAGAACGTACTCTCGAGGCCTAGTGTGACATTCAGTAAAGACCTACTTACATACATGTACTTTAGTATACTGCTTGAAGCACTTCATACACTTCCTTTACTCTACGTGTAGTCGTACAGACTGTCTGTTTTGTTGAGGATAATATACTCTAAGTACCGTAGTTTAACATGGTGAGTAGACAATTGCTTCTTGTAAGGACGAGCCTAGGTAGTGGTTCAAACAATGTACTTCTTTACAGGTACTGATGTAAGATCCTAGAGCTCAGAGAAGGTCACTATAGATCTAGAGTACTTGTATTAGCCGGTGTCGTTGAAATTTACTTTATTGAGTCGCTTCATAGTCTGTCCTGCAGGTCACCCCACAAGTTTGGATCTAGAGTGCATGTAGGAAGGCCCCTGTCTAGACGCTCCCGGGAATAGGCATGCTTTACCTATCGCGGCTCTTTTAGATACATGTAGTAGATCTCATCTTCTAGGTACTTTAAATGCTTACATCTCTTTTTTATACGTCTCTCTCTCTTCCTCTTCACCGTTTTCTTCCCATCGGTTCATCAATTCATACCCACTACGTCGTTAATTCTTCTCGCCTCCAATTCTGCCCAGCAAGAATTAAAATACCCATTCCGATTAACCATGTCAGAGACTTCACGTGAGTGCATCCCCGCAATAGACAATGAAGATCTCGGGAACCCCTCTAATTGACTCTTAGCAAATGCCAACTCAAACCCTTTCATTAAAAACTGGTCTCTCGATGCCGGTATGATTTCAGAAAAACTTTGGAAAACAGATAGTCAGACGTATTTCCGCTGACTCTCATTGATTACCCTTTACAGTCTTAAAGTCCATTCCTTTGCCTGAGATCTCGGCCTCGAGCTCTCCGTTGGCCTTTCTGCATATCATTGAGCGTCTCAAGACAACACCTAGAGAAGGCTGGAAGCGGTTTGATATCATTAACGGAGGTCCTTCTCCAATTCCCTGCTATCTCTGTAATCGGGCATGATTTTGACTCCCCTGGGAAAATACAGAATCCATTGCAGACCACATGTACCGGATGTCAATCATCACTATGCTTTGCCCACCTGAGGAAAATATCAACAAAGATCGTTGTGTCAAGTTAGCACTTATTCACGACATGGCTGAAGCCTTGGTTGGTGACCTTACACCACCCGATAACGTTCCCAAAGGTATGACATCCCGAAGTAGGTGACAAGCCTTTTCAAGAATATTAACTGATTGCACGCAGAGGAAAAATACAGGAGAGAGCTCGAGACCATGAATTACATCTGTGAACAGCTCCTGAAGCCAATGTCTCCAACAATTGCCGAAGAATTTATGGGCTTGTGGACAGAGTACGAAACTGGTGAAACTAAAGAGGCTATTTTTGTCAAAGATGGTCCGTCCCCTTGATTCTTCTACAGTTAGTATATATACCATGGTGCTGGGTTCTGACCGTAAACTATCAGTTGATCGATTTGAGCTTGTTTGCCAATGCATCGAATACGAGAAGAAATACAATGCGAAGAAGGATCTAAAAGAGTTCCTACATGTCAGAAGGGGCATCAAAAACGAGTTCGTCAAGAAGTGGGCCGAAGACGCTCTGAGGGAAAGAGAAGCCTTTTGGGCGGCCGCTGGGGTTGAGAGCGTAGTTGAGAATTAGAGATGGAGATTTCTCTTTCTTTTCTTCCTTTCTTTCTTTTTCTTTTCTTTTCTTTTCTTCCTTTCTTTTCTTTTTTTTTTTTTTTACTTATTTCCGATACCTTAGATGGAATTGGTGAATCTACATTATTTGCTGAAACCTTTTCTCTCTTATTTGCGTACATACCTTTTGCATGCATGGCGCTTGGGAGTAGGTAGATTTTATTTTTATGATTAGAGCGTTTTAGCTGCGCCAGTTGAACAGAAAGTCGAGCACTTGGACAGAAAGTCCTGCACCTCTTATTGGCTGAATCCTTGCCTAAAATAGTTAGAATTTCTATCCAACCTGTCCGACTTTCTATTCAACTAGCACAGCTAAAACGCTCTATTGCAAGCCTAGCTCAAGCATTGCAGATCTTGCACATATTAAAAACGGGAGTTTTTAATTTTTATTTTTCCCCGCCTGGTCCGGTGGTTCGGGAATCGTTCGAGATCTCCCGGAACATGATATCTGACATCTGATATTGTTGCCAAGACAAGAGGCTCTGCATGGGGTTGCAGAAGAGAGTTGCAGAGTCCCAGCGCCGCTAACGGTCCAGTTTTAGACGAACCAAGGGAGAATCTACAAGACTGCAGCGGATTGTAGACTAGGGCAGACCAGAATTTCGACCATAGTCTAGGACTGTGGACTGCACAAGTGTATAATCTTTATTGTGTTCCATTCTGAGAAAAACTAAACTACTTTTGGCTCTTATGCAGTCCATGGTCCATCCAGTCCGTCCAAATTTTGGACGGACTGTCTTGGCTGGACGGTCACAGTCGACTGCAGTCCTACAGTCTAAAATAGTCCGTCCTATTTCTTTCAACTATCTCGCTTGGCGCAGTCGACTACAGTTGACTGCAGTCGGACGGGTCTGTTCGCAGAAATTTTACTGTTGGTCCTGGTCCAGTGAGGGATTGGTTGAGTTCTTTTTCCGTTTCTCCCGGTAGGTAAGGTGCTAAGCTCCCCGATTCTTGTTTCATCGAAAAGAAACAAACACCCGCAATTGGGTCGCTGCCGCTCGTTCTGCGATCCAATTCCTTCCGCAGAGCTACTCCTTCTGTGTTTACTACCTAGTCACAGCAGCACCACCTACATACGTATCAGTATCAATAGCAGCCCCAGTCTCGAGAAACCGAAATAGTTTCCCTATCGATTATTCCCCCCTCCTCCCCCCCATCAATGTCCGGAAGAAAAGAGAACCAATCCAGCTACATCAATTTCTCCACTGGCCACGACGACCTCGTGCACGATGTCGCATACGGTACATACATCCCTTGCTGGATCTCGCCACTCCCTGCAGCTTCTTCTTTTCTCCAAGATTCCAATTCACTAATCCGATGCTCTCACTCACGCTGGCGCGCGGGGGCTCACAGACTTCTACGGCCGGCGCATGGCCACGGTTTCGTCCGATCAGCGACTCAAGGTGTTTGACCTGAACGACGAAGGCGAATGGGTCATCAGTGAATCCTTCCGGGCCCATGATGCCATTATCAATAGGGTGTGTGAGGAAAAGAATGAGAGAGAAAAAAAAAGCGGGGTCAGTTCGTTTTTCACGTCGGTGCCGTCGCTGATTCGTCCAGGTGATCTGGGGCCCGCCAGAGCACGGTCAGATCATCGCTACCTGCTCCTATGACCGCTTAGTTAGGATATGGGAGGAGCAGGAAATGGGTAAATTCTAGAAACGAACCCCCCCCCCCAGCCCCTCCACCTCCCATCCCCCACCTACTTATCTATGTACCTACACGTACCTACCTACTTCCCGCATCTACTCATCCGCACGCGTCTCATGATTGGGAGGGTAGGAATGCCATGCAGCTAGCTAATCAGATCCGCCTCCCTCCAGAGCCAAAGGGCTCCAACCTCCGCTGGAAGCGCCAATTCGAAATGCGAGCCGAAACGCACTCCGCCGTCTACGACATCTCCTTCCCGCCCACCTCCGCCTACTCTGTCTCCGGTACCTCCACAGGCCTCAAGATCGGCTTCATCTCCACTGACGGCGTCATCCAAATCTACGAGTGCCGCGAGCCTCAGGACCTCACGCACTGGATCGCCGTCGACGTCTTCCACACGCTTACCGCTCCGCCAGCAAAGGAAAACGAGGTCGCCTTCTGCCTCGACTTCTGCCCCTCACGATGGGGCGGCGAGCAGCTCGTCGTCGGCATAATGGACAAGGCGCAGGTATACCGCCAGAGCAAGGCCGGGAAGTTCCGCCCTGCGGAGGAGCTCAAGGGACATCGCGGGCTAGTGCGCGATGTCAGCTGGGCGGCCGGCATGGGGAGGAGCTACCACCTCATTGCTACGGCGTGCAAGGACGGGCATGTGCGCATCTTCAAGCTGACGACTAACGCGGGGAGCCTTGCGGCACCGAAGAGCAGGTATCCCACTGGTGGTGGGCGGCGGCCGAGGCCTGCGGGTGCGAGTGCGGGGCTGGGTGCGGGGCTGGCGGGAGGTGCCGATGATATGATTTCTGCGGCGGAGGGCGAAGATGCGGCCGGGGGTGCGGAGGACGAGCGCTGGCTTGTCGATTTGATCGGCGACTTTGACGACCACCATAGCGATGTGTGGAGGGTTGCGTGGAACGCCACGGGCACCGTGTTGAGCAGCGCGGGCGACGACGGGAATATCAGGCTGTGGAAGGCTGCCATTTCGGGCGAGTTTCAGTGCTTGTCGGTGATTGCGTCGCATCGGTCTGGGTAAGCTACTCCTCCCCCCCTCTTTTTTCCTTTTTTTATGGAGTCTGGGATGATGTGCTGATTTGCTTTGCTTGTTGCGGTTATAGCAGTAGATGGGAGGAGCAGGAAGTGACGTTTGATGACTAGACCACGACGGCGTTTTATCTCTTTTTTCTGTAGTGTTTTATTCGTATTTTTATCGTTTTTTTTTTTATGAGTGAAACGAAAACTCGCGCAATTATTCTTTTATCCACTTTCTCTTCTCTTAATCATTATTCCTCTAGACCAGAGTGTACGTGTAGCTGTACCAGTATTCAGATCTTCGTTCCACCTGAGTCATAGGTTCTCACTCGCTCTCTCTTCCTGCTTACAGGGATTCGACGTACATGCATGGCCTCGGCCTCGGAGCTGTCGGAAATGCACCTCAAGGCCACAAACAGGAAACGCAGTGCTCCGCGGTGCAGCATCTACCAGTGGTGCAGGTGTCGTTTGTTGATCTTGTCCTCGGTTCTCGGCCTTGGGGGTCGGGAGGAGGGGATCATGTTCTATCACTCGAGCGGCCACGGGGCAGCTGTAGGCCGTATGTGTGCAGGATGCAGTGGGACGGGTGTTGAGATATTTGACAGTCGTTATCATGAATGTTACACATGTAGAAGCCGGCCAGCACCGGGCGCTCCACTCTAAAGCCCAGGGTCCGTGTCTAGATTTGTCTGCTGTCTGCCGCTGCGGTATGTGCTACACTCGCCCCCCCCCCCCCCCCCTAGACCAACATAAAAGACGTATACTCGAGAGAACACGTCTCGATGGTGATATGAAGATGCACGCGTCCGGGGAGTTGGCGGAGCGTGATCCTATAGGTCCTGGAGGTGTATGGCTTCAGTATAATTGGGTTGTGATACTATACTGCCCCTCTCTATCTGCGTGCGTACTCGCGGATTGCGGGTTGAGGGCGGGCTTGGGACGGATTCGCGTCGAGTACTGTGCTTATGGCAAAAACGGGGGGAGCGGGAGCGGGTGTGTACAGCCGCATTTGAAAAGTATTGGCACCTCCGAGCCAAACTCACGAGGCAGTCCTTTCTACTTTTCAATTGTCATATTCGAGACAGTTGCCAGAGAGAGCTGCAATGTCTCTATTGCGGTCATACCTATCAATAATTTGAGTATGCGCGAGTGCCATGGTTGTTGGTAACTACAATTCATGAACGACTCAATATAGTAGGGTGCCAGTACTTTTCGAATGCGGCTGTACATACATGCATGCATAGTCCAGGCAGCAGCATGCAGCGGCGGCCCCACGCAGCGTATAAGAGGGTCTCGACATGGGCTCGCTGGCTGTGGGGGTAGAGATAGAAAGACCGTTTCACTTTCCTTTGTCTGCTCGGGTGAGAGCTGCAAGGTGGTCGTGGGTCATGGGGAGTCGGCAGGTGGTGAGTGCATATAGGTACGGTTCGTTGGGACCGGGGGAAGGGGAAGGGTTGGAAGGACCAATGATTGTTGTGGCAGGTAATGGATGCAAGTAGGAATTTTTTTTAATAAGACCAATATATTTAGATATAAACCAATCTGTTCCCCTGGGCTCTATCGGGGGACTGTTACGGACTGGCCCGGCATAGGTCTTGTAGACCCGGCTGAGAGGTTCCTGACCTTGCGTCAGATACAAAAAGACATACCGATTGGACTGGAGTTCATCAGTATATAGACGATATATAGACTATAGACGAGCCTTGACAGCGCCCAAGAACTTGAGCGGGATGGAAAAGAAGTTATAAGCCTTTCCGCGAATATTGGGGCAGAGATATATACACATAATACGGGGGGCGGGGGAGATATTCGCATCATATATAGACGCAACTCAATCCCAGCTATTCGTGGTGTTATCGTCATGAAGACAAATCCCTACGGTAGTGAGGTGAGAATAATTATATAATTATATAAATCTTATCTTCAGGGCGACAGAGCCTCTACACTGAAAGCATTAAGACGGCTCGAGAAACAGCCAGGGCGAGCGTATTGCCTTGCGGCCGCATGGGCCCGGACCCGGCCCAACACACATGCACCCCGGGCTACGGCACCCGTCTGCGGTATTCTACTCATTTCGTGCCCGGGATGTTGACGCATCTCCTGGCTGCTGGGTAGGCCGAACATAGGGTAATTATCCCATGAACCGTAGAAGCCAGAGGTTCCAATTGGGTACTTTGCAACTCTAACCTCGATAAAAACACAAAATCGATATAATCCAGCCCTGTTCACTAATAACAAAGAAGCGGGAAAGTTTATCAACCGATCCCAATAAGAGCTCCTAATATAGTACTCACGAAGCTGGTGTTGCTGTGAATTTAAGAAAGGTCACTTTATTTCAAGTGGGACCCAATCGGGTCCTTAACTCGGTTGCTACGGTTGATGGGATAGCTTACCTAGATAGGTGGAATCGATCATTTCCCCCGTCCGGTCTCCGGGCCGATCCGTTTATAATATCGCGTACTAGCAGAAACATCCCAAAAGGTTATACTATCCGCTCTCAAAGTGCCGTTGGGCCGTCTTGGGTCTATACATTTCGGTTCCTTGGGGGAACAGATACGATGCTCTAGCAAGCTGCAGTTTATAAGAGACATAAATCTACTACCACTAGTAGTAGCACAATGGAGTTTAGATCCTAACTTGAACCGGACTCCAGAATGTGTTTATCTCATCTACTAAACTAACAAAGGTACATGTATACAATAGCTCGGCGACTAGTGTGCACAGCAAGAGTGGAGGGGATACATGCAGTTACACAGAGACCGAGTGATTTATCATGATTCCAAAATCTGCGTATGTAACCGCATCCACGTGCACACCGATTGGTAGAAAATGGCCCCTCTCGGCCACTCATGACGTGAGTTGAGTTATCAATGAGGGAGCCAGATATGGCTAGGATTTAGGAAAACACGTGGTAGGATTGGTATTGCTTGGTCAAATGATGAGCTATATTTTCAACGCCATATATGTTTTTCTTGGCCGTGATGAGTTTATTTTGGTACAGATAGATATACATTGCCCACAATTCGTTTGTGCGGGGGGTATTGTATCAATTATAAGTCTTTCCCTATTTCTGGCACTGTAGGCTATAAATCTTTCGCAAGGGGAGGAAGGTATCCTACCACCCACCATTCAACATTCAAAAAAAAAAAAAGAAAGAAATAAAAGAAAAGAAAAGAGTCCAAAACCATGGAATAAATAGTAGATAAAAAGAGACACCAATCAAGATCAGATGTATTAAAAAAGCCAGCCGGCTGTATAACTCAAATGCAAAATAAAAACACGGATGCTCAAAGAAATGCAAACCGTTAACCCAAAGAACCGCCAAAGAAACCTCAAGCACAAATATGTAGTAGTAAGTAACACAGCCACAGATAAGTTAGTATCTTTCTTGCCCTTGGTATGCCAACTTAGGGAAGTAGCATTCCTAAAAAATAGCCGGCACATTAGACAAATGTAAGAACCTGGCAAAAGGAGGAGCACAAAATCGCAAAGATCCCCTCCAAATCAGATAACCCTGAAGGAAAAATGGGTGTAGGCAGTGTACAGATATAAATGCAGCGAAGGAGAACTTAGGGCAAGATATAAGATCAAACTTTAAACACTGAAGAACATGCACGATAAAACGGTAGAATGGAAAGTAAAAAAAAGATTCGAAAAAAAAAAAGGTTGTGGTAAAACCTCCACCACCCGCCATGGTCACCTTGCCCAGGACGCCAAGAAAGGAACTCTTTTCGAGCCTTTTTTTTTTTTTTAAAAAAAAAAAAAAACCTTCAGTACGAAAAAAATCCCTAATATATATATTTTTTTTCGACAAGAAAAATTTAGGGGAACCAGAAACAAATTTGAAAAGTATGGGAACCTCTTAAAAAACTATGTGAACAACTCTTCTTGCAAGTCGCTAACATGTTTATGCAGCTCCTTCGCGATAGTTGTTGATTTACACTAGTCACAAAATCCATTAGCTATCGATCCACAATGCGTATGTAAATCAACAGTGGGTACCTTAATAATCATCTGTATTGGAGTTCCGTTTTCCAGGGTCATGAAGTACAATTGATTCGATGTTGGCACGCTGCCACTCGAATCGCCGCCTATTTTCATGCCTTTGTAGATTGGTACGTTTAAAACGACCAGATATGTCCCTTCCGTCCTCATGATCAATCTCGCACTATCTTTAAACTTCTCTCCAGCGCCTGCTTCTTCATCATCATCTCCAGAGAAAGGAATAGTTCTGTTGAGCTTGAGAGTCCCGCGACCGCGCTCTTTCCACTGTTTGTTTTCTTTGTCGAAGAAGAAAATTTTGCCAAGGGTTTTAAAGATGGTCATCTCATTCTCCTCACCAGTTACAACTACAACCAAGGGTCAGCATAAAAACAAAAGCAAAGTAATTAACCATGAAGTCTCAGGGATAGACTAATACAGGGAAGATAATGATAGCATACCCTCTTGCTCTGTGAAGATTTCAGCCTTTTCATCAGCTGTGGGCTCCTCTTTCTTTTCATCAGCATCCCCATCACTTCCCTCATCGTCTTCGTCGCTTGTGTTTTTGTCATCTTCATCAGGTGCTCCGAACGGCTTCGCTGAGATGCCACCAAGCGGCTTCGTTAATTTGGGTGCCGACGAAATAACATCACCCGATTTCGAGGCAAGGGCTGCAAAACCAGAGGGGCCATATCCGCTGCTGAACCCCGTGCCGAATCCGGAGGGCTTGGCCTTACTGCCACAATTTAATCCGCCAGCTCCAAAAGGACTCGCTGACCCAGATGACTGTGCATTTATAGAACCAAATGGAGATGGAGAAAACGAACTTGTCGATGCAAATGGAGACGCTGATGCAAATGGAGACGCTGTTGACGAAGATGCGGCGCCGAATTTCGAATTCTTGAACAGATCGGAAGCGCTGGTACCTGGTCCGAAAAGTGGCTTGGCGCCAGAACCTGCAGTGGCAAAGGGAGACTTTGCAGATGTGTTTGCAAATCCGCTGTTTGTGGGGAGCTGCTATAGTCAATCAGCATCCTGCAGAGAATTTGTGCCAGAGAATTTCATCTAGCATGAGTGTCGAATGTTTACCTCTCCCTCTGAAGACTTCACAGTGGCTGTTTCAACAGTGACAAGGTCTCCGCCGTTGGCCATGCCAGAGGTAGAAACATTAACACTTGTGGTTCCCCTGTTCGTAGATGGCATGCTCTTCTCGACTACTCTGTTCCATTCCTCCTCTTTCCTAGAAATTTTCTTTTTGGGGTCCACTTCCTTATCCTTTTCATCCTCATCGAGCCTGCCTCTGCCTCTCTTTCTCTCCAGTTTTCGGGGGCTGGTGATCGATGTGCTTGCCTCCTCCTCACCCTGTGACATGATTTCGTCTTCTTCAGGATGTGTTGGTGGAGTCTTTACTCTGTTGAGAGCTTTAGCAGCCTTGGCCATATCTTCGTCTGAAATTTCCCTACTCCTTTTCCGTTCGTGAACCCTGTGCCGGGGGCGTTGATCCTTGCACCACCATCCCCATCCCCGTCGCCCTCGGTCTCGTCGAAACTTCTCTTCCTCCGCCGTCGAGTATCGTCTTCTTTTCCATCGCTCATGTCTTGATCTGCTTCTGAGACGGCATTGCTCAGTGCATCGTCCTTCTCGCCGTGTTCACCAGCAAGGGAGGAGTCGGATCGAACATTTGCGATAGATGTCTTTTTGAGTTTTTCCCGAACACGTTCATTGTCCTGCTCGCTAGTAGTGGATTTCGAATCATCTTCCTCGTCTTGTGGAGAATCAGCCGGCTTAATCGCATTTTCCATATCTGTCCCGTTGATAATATGAGCCCCGTTTCCGTTGTTGCTGCTATGGGGATCTGAGTGCTGTGGTGGGGATATAGGGGGAAGAGGCTCTGCGTCCAACGCGTCGGTTGTCACCCCGCCCTTCGTCATTGCTGAAGTGTTTCGGCGATAAGGTTTTTTTCCCTGTGTTTCCGTTCAAGCAGCCAGTAGCTGCGAGTGACTGCCAGGAAAGGTAGTTATCAAAATTGATAAATGAATCAGAGAAAATTGAATTTCCTTGAATAAAGTATTGCTTGAGTCTGGCTTATATTTCTTTGTGTGGTCTTTCTTCCACTTCCTATGCCTTTCTTTTGTTAGAAGGTAAGGAGAGTAGACGAGGGACGAGTGACGAATGAAAGAGAAGTAGAAACAGATAGCGGGTCGGAGGAGTGGAATAGAATTCCGGACGGGCGTCGCGCTTGGGTCAGGTGAGGGTTGAAGGGCGCGAGCGTGAATGGGCGTAAGGGTAGAGCACGAAGGAAAGAGGGGTGGGATGGGTTGAGTTACGTTAGGTTGGGCAGTGGCTACTAATATGAGGGGGAATGGTGGAAGATTGGGTATGAAAAGCGACGAAGATAAGTGTCTCGTTTCGCGTGGGATGCGACCAGCAGCAGTAACTAACGGAGGATAATACCTAGAGGATGTAGGAGGGCTTGCAAAGCTGCGAGAGGCCGGATTAACGGTGTCGATATATTGTTTCTAAACGAGAACCTGTCGGAGACGAGACGGATAATGGGAAGGAGAGTGGTATGAATAGGAGAAAATATGTAGAGTGTGTAAGTAAACAGGTATGGGGGGTTATCTTCTTGATTTCGGAAAGAGAAGTAGCAGGTTACTGTGCTGTGTTAATTTGAATGGCACAGAGCCTAACAAAACGAATGCAAGGCGAAAGCTGGCAGACGAGGTAAAAGCCGAAGAAAGGAATTAAAGGAAAAGCAAAACAAGAACACAACACAAAGGTGCAACAGAATTCCAAACTGAGGTAGCTGATTGGATTTGTTTGGTTCAGTGTTTTCCTGAGCTGGCTTGGGGTTCGACTTGATTGACTAACTGCAGAGGCTGGACCCTCGAAGCGACGATGCAGAGTAACTGGGCGTAGGTGATGGATGGTGCCTTAAGCTTCCTCCTGCTAGGCAATGCGGTGGTCCTTGCTTGCGGCTACTGGGTTGGATGTGTGGTGGGGTACTTACAGGCAATGAAAGAAGAAAGCGGAAGTCCCCAGTCACTGATGTCCGTGGTGACCCCTTGGGATTGTAAGGCTATCTCCTCAGTTATTAGGCAGCTGTTTAATGCTAATTTCCGTGAGCAACAGTGGGGGAATTTGACTCGTATTACATGTAGCTTCCTACTCCTGCAACTACATGTACTTGAAGGTAAGTTTATTTGATACCCAAACTATGGTACATATCGGTTTTATAATTATCATTCACCTATGCATCTACACATCCATTCAATCAACTGGCAACATGTCACACTCGCTAGGGCTCGAATGACACCACGATGGAATTATGTAAAATACCTACATGTACCTATATACTCATGATACATGAAAATGCTCTGCAATGGTAACTTGGGTTGGTCAGCACGTAACGGCATCGTGGGCAGTATTCGCGGTTCAGTCGACTACATGTAGCTGCGGCTAGCGCTATAACTATCGGCAATAGCCAATAGATGCAATAGAAAAGGAAGCAAATATTTAATACGATATAAAGTATATGGTGAATAAGGAACAATTAAGATTACCTTTATATTTTACCTTTACCTTTTGCCATTGCCATTAGAACAAGTTCAATTCAAGCCAGACCCATCCCAAATCCCTCATCCGCGGACCAGTCGGCTGTAAATTAGTGAGTGCCTGGTATTCCAGTGAATGATGCATGCTTTTAAGAGCCCCGCACCCGCAGCAATTGATGCAAGATCGCAGTCTAGAAGAGATAGCAGTGGGTGTAGTACCACAATGAACTCCAATTAATCATCATGTCCCTCAAAGTTTGCTTCTTTGGAAACAAGCAACTGCTCTGCCATTGAAAGTATGTATATAGCTCTATAGCTCAGTCTAATCATTTATTTTCTTAGTCTTGTGAGATGAACCAGTCCACGCTTCCCTTCAAATCTACACCACTTAATCCCCGCCCTATCAATACGACCTTTCCGCCCACATGATCAAATACCTCTTGGTTAGGAGCGTCGAATATCTCGAAAACCTCCCTGACTCCTTGGATCAGCTGTTGTTTTCCGTCTTTCGTTGATATTCTCCCTTTCAATCTGTGTATATCGAGCGGCGATGACTTCCCTTTCTCCTCGCAGGACTTATCAGTTTGTAGTTCTGGTGGAAATGGGACTTCACCCTCCCAGAGGAGAGAGCGTAACCACATCTCCAGGAGTTCCAATTGTCTCTGATCCAGTAGTGGAATTTCAAGAGAAACCGTCGAGATAGTCTACTCACGAGATAAGCCACAGTTTTCAAGGCTTAAACTGGAGAGAGAGAGGCATACGGGATCAAGCGTCGACTTAACACTTGTCTTCAAATTACCGACATCCTTATAAGCTTGTATGTCGAGCAACCATCCCTCTAACCTTTCCGCCTTGCCACGCTCTGTAACCACAATCTTTGCTAACCCGTTTATTCCAGTGACCCTACTCTTAACCTCTTCCAATTGTTTCGACGTTACTAAGTCAGCTTTGTTTACAACAATAACATCGGCATGTGAAATCTGCAAGTGCGCTGTGGTTGTCTGTTCATCCCCCTCCTTCCGGTCCTCTCCTTCTAGCATGGTTGTATCGTCTAGTGATCGGAGGATATTTGCTGCGTCTACAAGTGTAACGATACCGTCTAGGAAAATGGAGGATCCAAGGCCATCATCGAGCCAGAATAGCGGTGCAATGTTTCCTGGATCAGCCAAGCCGGTCGTTTCTAGGAGAATATAGTCGAATTTTCCGCGACGCTCCATAAGCTTTTCGATTGCGGCAACACCTGTGTCTCTGAGTAAAAAAGGCTTGTCAAATCGAAATTTCCAAAGTACAAGTTAAACAGCTAATCTGACAGCGTACTTTACAGAACAACAAATGCCTAAAGAAAATTATCAGTAAACCGGAAGATAAAGGGCCGCTCGCTGCTCTGCTTACATCCATTCGCTAATTCTAACCATTCCTCAACTTGTTGGCCATTAGTTTGAATAGTCAATGATTTTTCAATATCCACAGCTGCTCGATAAGAAACGGAAATTATCTTCACTATTAACAAAGGAACTCGTATGGTACTTTTTTAGTAGTTTGGAGAAATACTTACAATCGCCGAATTCTGATATTAGTGGAGGAAATTAGCCACGAAACCGTCTTACTGCTCATGCTCAATTAAGGAAACTGGGTGACAAGCCGTTAAGAATCACCGCAATCTTCTTTGAGTGTTGTTCCGTTAGAATATAGTTCAGAAGCGTTGTTTCTATACATAGGTGATAGATTAATAGTGATTTCTTAAACTCAACATATTCCACTTCCAGAGCAAAATAAGGAAAGATTTTGCATCCACACATACTTCCAGCACCTAAGTACCCAGTAACGATAGTGATAGGAGCTTTTCCGAGCGCTCCCGCATCGTCCTTTGATTCTACCAAGGCTGGGGCATCCTCGTCGTCGATATCGCTCATTATTCAAGTTATTTGGGAGTGTAGATGTTGGTTTGTGTGTGTTGACGGGTGAAGGTTCTCAGCTATTGCAATAGGAATGTGGGTGGGTGAGAGGTTAGGGTTTATGAATTGATCGTAAGTATGTACATGTACCTTAACCATACACAATTGTGAAGCTCTGCGCCGAAGGTTTCAGTCTCTAGCTCGTCCATGATCACCAAATACATGTATTATACCATAGATAGGGGATTACATAGATACATGTACAGTTTTAACACTTTATATTAAGACGGCAGTCAAAGCCATGTTTGCCGTGATGTAAATACATTGATAAAAATACATGTAACCTTAGTTATCTAAGTCTTTAGAGGCTAGGGCCACTACGGTATCGGAGTGCATGGCGGGGTAGAGCATGTGAGTAGGGGCTGGAGGGAGCTCTTGGCTCGCATCAGCGAATGAAAATACTTTCAATCCAGATCATTCCTAAGCAGCAGCGTTGCTGTTAGAGAAAAAAAGAAGAAAAAAACCCCTCTTACCTGGAACGAGCGGAGAAATCAACTCTACTCAGACTGCGCGTGTATCTAGCGATCGAGTAATCATCCCCCCGAGTCATAGTCCCCAGCTCTCCCCACCCCCACCGCGATTCCCCGTCTCAAGTATTTAAAAGCGATCATTTACCCATCTCCGAAATCCATTCTACTACCTTTACTGGTACATTTACGACTCCAAACAATTGTGCAATAATGCCATCAATCAAAGAGAAATCACCGTCAACTTTGTATGATAAGATCTATGCCGACCATCTGATTGATGGCCAGACGATCTACATAGACAGGTATGCCATATAATTCGTGCATTGGTTCATTTATCATTATGCTATTTCGGGAATGCTAGTTCTAATTATTTTTCTTCCCACAGACATCTAGTCCATGAAGTCACCTCACCGCAAGCCTTCGAGGGCCTCCGAAATGCTGGTCGATCTGTGAGACGACCAGATTGCACTCTTGCCACTGTAGACCACGTATGTCAATTGATACTTCCCCCGAAAAGCTTCATTGTACCCCAAAAGTAGAAGAAAGAAAGAAAGAAAAAGACCAAATATTAACTTTTTGAAGAACATTCCTACATCGTCCCGCGCAAACTATAAAAATGCCAAAACCTTCATTGAAGAGACTGACTCTCGCCTTCAATGTCTTACCCTGGAAGAAAACGTTGAAGCTTTTGGCCTCACCTACTTCGGACTTGGTGATAAACGTCAAGGGATTGTGCACATAGTTGGCCCTGAGCAAGGGTTTACTCTGCCTGGAACTACCGTCGTCTGTGGCGATTCTCACACCTCCACACATGGTGCCTTCGGTGCTCTCGCCTTTGGAATCGGTACATCCGAAGTCGAGCATGTTCTTGCTACTCAGACCCTCATCAGCAAGAAGAGTAAGAACATGAAGGTACAGGTCGATGGTCCCCTCCTACCCGGCGTCACAAGCAAGGATGTCATTCTTCATATCATTGGGAAGATTGGTACTGCTGGTGGCACTGGAAGCGTCATCGAATTTTGCGGTTCAACGTTTAGGTCATTGAGCATGGAAGCTAGGATGTCAGTGTGTAACATGTCTATTGAAGGTGGCGCTAGGGCTGGTCTAATTGCGCCGGATGATGTCACTTTCGAATACCTGAAGGGAAAGCCCTTGGCACCAAAATACGATTCGGCAGAATGGCACAGAGCCCTCAAATATTGGCGTACCCTAAAGTCAGATCCTGACGCAATTTGGGATACAGAGGTTTATATTGATTCTAAAGATATCATCCCTACTGTTTCATGGGGTACCTCTCCTCAAGATGTAGTACCAATCACTGGAGCGGTCCCCGACCCCAAGGACTTTACGGACCCGGTGAAGAAGGCTGGTGTGGAGCGTGCTCTTGAGTACATGGGTCTCGAAGCAGGTACACTTATGCAAGATATTGTGGTCGACAAAGTCTTCATTGGCTCGTGCACAAACTCCCGTATTGAGGATATTCGGGCTGCCGCCAAGATAGTTAAAGGAAGGAAGATTGCCTCTAACATCATGAGAGCTATGGTAGTCCCTGGGTCTGGTCTCATCAAAAAACAGGCAGAAAGGGAGGGTCTAGACCAGATCTTCATCGATGCCGGCTTTGAGTGGAGGGAGGCAGGATGCTCTATGTGCTTGGGAATGAACCCCGATGTTTTGTCTCCCCAGGAACGTTGCGCGAGTACTAGTAACCGTAACTTCGAAGGAAGGCAGGGTGCCGGTGGACGTACCCATCTCATGTCGCCAGCCATGGCTGCCGCCGCCGCCATTTCTGGAAAGCTAGCAGACGTGAGGAAGTACGCCCCAGGCGGCGAGGAGCCCGAAAAGGAGCAGGGCTCGCCCAAGGTTGCAGTGCAAGCGGAGAACGAGGATCCTGTCACTGAAGAAGATCTCGACAGGATTGACGACATCCCCATAGATCAAGAGGCTACGAATGCATCAACACCCAGTATGGAGACTCTCGGACTACCAAAGTTTGAGGTCCTCAAGGGCATTGCTGCCCCAATGCCAATCGCAAATGTCGATACCGATGCGATTATACCTAAGCAATTTCTCAAAACTATCAAGAGAACTGGTTTGGGTACAGCGTTATTCTGGCAGCTCCGATACAACCCCGATGGGTCTGAAAACCCAGATTTTGTCCTCAACAAAGAGCCTTACAGGAGATCCAAGATTCTTGTCGTCACGGGTCCCAATTTTGGATGCGGTTCCAGCAGAGAACATGCCCCGTGGGCTTTGCTCGATTTCGGCATTAAGTGTATCATCGCTCCATCATTTGCTGACATTTTTTACAATAATACCTTTAAGAACGGCATGCTGCCCATCGCCATCGAGGATCCTGAGGCCCTTGGACGTATTGCGAAAGAGGCCAACGGTGGGAAGGAAATCGAGGTTAATTTGGTAAACCAAACTGTTCGTGGCGCCGATGGTAATGAGCTTGCCATCTTTGAAATTGATGAGTTCCGAAAACACTGTCTGGTCAATGGGTTGGATGACATTGGTTTGACGTTGCAATTGGATGCAAAAATTACTGAGTTTGAAAAGAAAAGATCCCTGGAGTGGTCGTGGTTGGATGGAAGCGGGTATTTGGCTAAGGGGAAGAGGAATGGGCCTGTTAAGATCCCTGCAGCCAAGGTGCCGAGCACTAACAGGGGTGAAGAGAAGGAAATCACTGATTGGTAGAAAGTAAGGAAAAAATTCTCGAGGTCTATTTGATATATTGGAGTGTCGGGATATGGGTTTGGGATCAAGTTGTTATCCGTTTCTTTCTTTCTTTCTTTTTTTTTTTTTTTTAGTTGCATTTTCTTCGTCAATAAATTTGGAAACGTCTTCTGAAGTCCATCTACATATCCAGATCCCTGGAACTTCGCTTATGTCGCTTATCGTGGGGCTCTGCGGGTAGCTTGCGTCATGCAAAGGGACTTCCCGCAAGCATTTCAGAGTGAGAATCACGCAACCATGTCATCGTTCACCAGCCTTCATTATACCTAAGCTACAGCATTCCAGTTAAGTCGAGAGGTGGACATTATTTTACGCACACTCATTAGCTCTTTACTCATTGGAATGCAATGAATGTTAAAATGCGTCCATTTAAGCAATCCATTGCTTGATCTACATGCTGATATCTATAGAACAAGAAGTACGTATACGTGCTTGTATCATATCAATAATACCATGATTACTGGTATTCGTACACATATATTTATTGCGCGTATGTTGCTAAAAACGAGGTTATCTGTCAACTAAATAGAACCTACATATGGCACCTATGGCTCCTCGAGAATCTCATGATTTTGTCAATGATCCATACAGTGGTATGCTCTGTTCTGCTTCCACTGCAACCCCTCACATGAACGACCATAACCATGCCTTTAACATTCCGGTGTCAAAAAGAGCCACCTCCCGACCTCCCACCTATACCGATTCCCGGACTGGAAGGCATAATGAGCAGCGATGGTGTTGCTAAAGTATTTAACCTTGATCCACGCCTCCAGGACACAAAGCCTGGTAAATATCACATTATGGCTCCTCGCGAAGGTGGATTTCTTGAAAGCATTAAGGCCTCGTTCTCCGGTAAAGGTACCAAAACCGATTTACGCACCACCCCTTCAAGGAGGAAAAGGGAAAAGGGGAAGGAAAGAGAGAGGGACCTTTCATTTGTGATTCTCCCCCGGTCTGCTTCTTCACTTGTCCCAGGAAAATCCTCCATGCCACTACCTCCAATGCCCAGTAGAGATAATAGGTTACCGAGGCATTCAAATGTGTTTACAGGTGTTCCTACTCCTACAGATTCGGCAATTGCATCTGCGAGGAATAGTCAACATGTTCCTAGCAATCCTGGAACTCCGGTGCCTGGCCATCCCTTGAGATCGAGTCGGTCTGTACCAGATTGGAAAGCTGAGCAGCGTAAGCAGTACTGCTACTTTGAGGGTACAAGCGACAATGAGCTGCCTAGAATGCCATCTGCATATGAGCTTCAGCCAATTTCAAACCCAGGAATGACTGCGGAGGGGCTTAGAATCCTTAATAAAACACCCAAGGAAAGCGAAACCTCGAAAGAGGACTCTTCAAGTGCCGTGCCAATTGGCCGCTACAAAAGAAAACTTACAGCACCTAATGCAATTAATAGCAACGAGGGATTCAATCAACAACGATCATCAGTCAAGTCCCACATATCAGCGCCTCTGATTGAAAAGGCTGGAATCAAAAGAAGAGAAGCTCAAACCTCTTTTTTAGCAAAGGACGGTCCGGAAAATGCGAATCCCCAAACTATTCCGATTCGCAAACAATCGCAGCAACGGCCGGACAAAAGTCCTACCCTATCTCCCCCGCTGCAAAACCAACAAATGCAGGTTCGCCGACGCAGCACCGCAGACGATCAGAAACCTTCGTCATCCGCATCCCACCGTCTTCCCGAGCGACCATCATCCACCTTCACTTACCAGACCCACCGAGCACACGCTCTATGTCCTGTCGTAGAAGAAACCCCTCAGCCCGTGTATGCTCAGAAGTGGGGCTCGAATTGGAGTCCCCATCTTCAGCAAGAGTCCGAACTTTTCTTCGAGACGGGAACCATGAACGTGGCCACGGAGCAAGTCCCAGTGGAAATGGGAATTCCTAGCCCGCGACACAAGCACAAGACTCGGCCTGCGAGTTGGTCGTGTCCGACACGACCAACGATGGATCCCAGCTCTAGACTAAATTCACGGAATAAGTACGAGTTTGGTTTTATGTTCCCGCCTACACCTCCAAGTAGTACCGGAGATGATGTCTGGGATGATCATAGACTGATTGATGGAGAGCCAAGACACCCCTGGAACAAGTTGAGGAACTTTTGGAACTTTTTCGTTATGATTTGGGCGTTAATTATCCTGTTTAAGAGTCTGCAATTCCTTGTAAGGTTTGTAGATATTGTGGTTTTAGAGCCTGGGAGGTTTTTGTATGATTTTGTAAGGAACATTGCAGATGGATAATCCTGTTGTCTGTCCAAGCGGTCTAAAGTTGTTGGATCCTTTCAGTATTCATTTTAGTATTGTTGCGGAGGCTGGGAGTATGTATGTACATACGGGTATGAAGATAATAAATCTTGTATCTGGGCCTTTTTTTTGCCGAGTGCAGTGAGTTTATACAGTACTGGTGAAATCACTATATACCATACTATGACTGCGTAATTTACCGTATTCTACGGGAATACCGCAGCGAATCCACATCCTTTCCTAGTACATGTATAATACATGTACCATTCATTATGTACTCGATCCTACGTATACATATTACTGATTCCTCAGAATTCACGTGAATAACAGGAGAAAAAGGTTTAAAATTTCTGCAAGCTTTATCACTACTTGAGATAGTTACGCTATGCGAGTTAGTTTATTAGCCCATCTAGTCTCACGTACTACTATTCGATTAGTTATGTAATAATTAGGCTAGGGTAAGTAGCAGTATTTCCACTTCAGTATTAAGTACATGTATTACATTCAACAATTATTAATTGCGGCCCCATAGAAGGATTAATGTCGCTTCATGGAGATATTGTAGGCCTCGGAATTCTATACATGTAGCTACATATACTTTTTACATGCATGCCAGTTAATTTACATAGACAGTACATGGATTATCAATTCCCAGGTCTTTTGACTTATATAGGCCTATTGTGAAGAGATTTAATACTTACATGTATACACATTTGTATACTTATAAATGTACACGTGGTTTAAGAGATCGCGGTATCCTTCAGAAATCATGTATTATCACTCGCTTCAAATTCGTCTAATTTTTGCACACATACATGTACTTGCACTTACATATACTTACGAAAGCAATAGACTGAAGATAGACGTTTCCATTAACTCTTTAATTTAGATGTACTCTAATAATAAGTTTTTTATATACCTGTATCAGGTAGTATACATCCCACCCCCCCGAAGGAGTACATGTAAATATGGAGTTTTTGGTTGCTCATCTAATTATAAGCTAAGGTAAGCTCAGTGAGCTCGAGTATACATGTATGTATGTATATGTAGTTGCATTTTATTTATAAAGATAAAATGTCATGTATAGCGTAGTTGCCACATATATACTATCAGATTAATAGTTGTGATTGTACTCATTCACCTATCTACATGTAATATCTATGTTGGTGTAAGCTTTTAATCAGATATATATATATATATATATATCCACAGCAAATCAAACTCTGCCAGGTCAACAAGGCTGGCTAGCTCGTTCTAAAGCTTACATGTAGTTAAAAGGGACCCAACCTGTACGAAAGGCCCAACTTTTCTTGTCAAGACATTAATTTAGTGCATTTTAGACAACTAAGAACATGTACACATGTACATGTAGTCATGTCCTAGGAACCTTGGTCCATTAGTGACTCTGGGCATGTGGCTGGCCGCGCCAAGATCCTTCTCAAGCTAACAACTAGGCGTCCTGGGGTGTTCCTGTCACGTCACGAAGGATATACCACTGTAGAGTGAGGAGATTGGAAAGTGCTAGGCCTGGAAGCTTGAAATTTTTGTCACAATACGTAGGGTCCACACATATTACCAAAGAAAAAAATGGCTAGAAACAGCTTTTACCAATTTCACCTAAACTACATGTAAGTTCGAGCTTATTGACTGATACAGCGAAAGCTTGCTACAAATGTACCTTCTATAAGGGCAATCTGTTTATATATAAGGGTAGCACTTCTCGGTCCCTTTTTGCCCGGCTTTCAGCACTAGCATTCCTTATATAAGGATAATCTCTCTATAATGGTACCGAATTCCGGTCCCGAGCGTATCCTTATAGCAACTTTCGCTGTACAGTGTACGCGAAATTTGATTCGAGGCGAGTGGGATAGCCGCGATACTTATGTGAATGTGGGAATGTAGCTATAGCATGCTCATCTCTCTTTGTTTGATCTAGTACTTACATGTATTTATATTTATGGAAATAACATAGACGGTTTCAAGTATATATGCTTTACACTATAATTCTCATATAATTACATGTATGTGCGCAGCGCAGGCGTCACCCTTAAAAGCGCCCTTTTGTAAAAGGCTATAGCAATGCGAGAAATAAATTAATCATTACTACCTCTTCATGATCAGCGCCTAGCATACATATACCGTATACATGTAGACGCAATCCTAAGGGTATATTAAACTAAAGGTATAACTAATTTCACCTAAATTCAAGAAAGAATACAGGAGAATTCCCGAGAATATACTCTATTTTTTGTAAGAATATGGAAACCGTTTTTAATTGTCAGGAGCCACCAAGAGTGTTGTTTTTCTGGAAGCCCTTTTCGATTTTGTGAGTTGGTCGTACCCCCATGACCCCAGGGTTGCGTGCATGTGAGTAGTACATATCTCACCACATGCGGCATGAATTACTCGTAATTTCATAGCGTTTCCGAACACGACCAATATTGCATGACATACAAAAAGGTATGGTACGCAATAGCAGTCGTGTTCGGAAACGTCATAAATTTACGAGTACACCGTACCTCGCTTTCCCGTACTATATAAAAAGGAGTGTTATAATAGCGTGTATTCTAAGGAGTGAATACTCATACTATAGGACTGCAAGTACGGAATTAAAACATACATGTTGTACCTTAAAATGAATACCGGCCGCGGACCATGGCCAATACTATCCCTTGGACGCGCGAAATCTCTCTCATGCATAAATATCATGTGATCTCGAAATTTGGGTGAGGAAACGTCAGGGTAAGCTGTTCGCTGCGTTTTCCAGTACTTGTAGTACGCCTATATGCCAAAAACTTCGCAGGTCGCTGCCTTATTTCAGTCAATCACTTCCTGAATAGATCACGCTAATGCATGAGAGAGATTTCGCAAGTGTCTCACACGCCCAAGGGATACTATATGTACTATACACGTGCAGGTTTATGTAATAAAGCCTAGGGTGTACTTCCTACTACTATGGCGTTTCGTAAGGTACGGTAATTCCCAAGGAATAACTTTTTCGAAAGTACATGTATGTAGATATAGCTTTTAAAACATGGTTTATAATTTTAAATTTTTTTTTTAAAAAAAAAAAACATTCCATCTTTGCTACATGTATGTATTTAGGACAGCGCTTGTATTAACAAGTGCCTTTTTGCGACAGCGGTGTTTTTATTGGTGTGGTATCGCTACGCTACTCTAAAACCTACAGCATTTGTACGGCTTCAATTACACCCTAGTTCCCAGTTTTGTATTGTATCTAGTTCGAATCGCCATTTTCAGTTTGGCTTACGCGTAGCTGTGGGGTAGATTTCCACAACATTGACTTCAAATCGCCACGTAACCGGCGAGATACCTAGCTGCACTCCCGGAGAAGCTTAGAAAAGTATGAGCAGATTTTACTTCGGTTCCGACTCGGACAGCGATAATGATAATGCCGACTCGCTACCGTTTCCTGCGCCTCTTCCCCGAGAGGCTTTCTCCACTGATATCGACGCGCCGTTCTCGCCCATAGCATTTTTAGCCACGCTGCGACACCGTCATCAGACGCTTGAAGACTTGCGTGCAGAGCTCCGTACAAGAAGTAAGGATCTTGAAAAGGAACTTATAGAGCTTGTTAACAGGGATTATGTCGATTTTGTTGGATTAGGGAGCTCATTGAGCGGGGGTGATGGAAGGGTAGAAGATTTGAAGATGGGGTTGTGGGGGTTCAAAAGGGATATCGAAGGCGTTGTGGGGAGGATTGGAGAAGTAGTAGAAGAGGTTGAAAGAGAACTGAAGGCCCGGGAGGATATAAGGGCGGACAAGGTTTGTGGCGATGATTTTGTTGATTGGTATCTATCATGGTAGAAACCTTGATATAAGTTTGGTGTTGGTGCTGACAGAGTGGTTATTCTCTGGCTTGTTAAGATACTCGCAAGGACATTACTAGCCCTCTCGCAAAGACTTGACGAGCTCTCATCCCTATTACTTCTCGATGGGTCAACCCCGGCAGACTCAACATCTTTATTATTTGATGGTGACGGCGACGAAAGAACAGGAGGAGATGGGTTAACGAGTATCGGCCGTCTGAGGAAGATAGTTTCGGGATATCGTTATGTCGTCCAGCACCTTGTACCCCGTGTACCAGCACATCATCCGTTCTTGAAAGCCCAGTTGCCTAGGATCGCGAAAGTCAAGAATACCTTGCTATTGGATCTTCGAAGTGCATTGAAGGAATCAAAGCTAGGAGATGTGGAAAAAACTATCGTGGTAATGGGGTTCTATGCCGATCTTGGAGCAGAAAATGATGCAGTTAAGGTGTTAAGAGAGATGAAAAAGGAGGGTTGAACCCCAGTGGGTGTTTGGTTCTGGTGGTTTAAATGCCGGGTTGTGGAATGAGTACATTTCTCCCAGTGCGCCCCCCTAAGTATTAAAGTTTTAAAAAAAAGGGAATTCAGTGCAGGTAGGTCTTATACTTACCCATCTTGATTTAACCCAGGGTGGGTGTATATATACGATTCTACTTTGTATGTACTTTTTCAACTAGCAGTATCATGAAAGATCGCGTCCACTCGCAGCTCTGTTCGGAGCTACTGCATGTAGTACCAACTCCCACTAAATCTAGTCAAACCTGGGTATCGTAATGTTTGCGAGTGAGAGCCAATGATTAAGTAAAGGATTAAAAATCTGATCTGCAGGCGCCACGATCGTAGAATTCTCCGATGCAAGTAAGCTTAGATTTTTATTTTATTTTTACCTCTAGTGATGAGACATTCCTGTTCCACAACGTCACCGATCTCTTGGATGGCCCCCAAGACAATAATTTGGTCTGCGCTAACGTGATACATAATGCACTAACACTCACACGTCGTTCACCAGTCATACATACTACCATCTCTCCATCCCCCATTCTTTTTCTTTCATTGTTTATTATTTACTATCGTTATATCAACTATCAAGACCTCGGATTATCCACAATATGGCTTATGAACCTGGAAAACAGAGTGTTGGTTATAATCCACCTAACCCAATGCCATATCATGGAGGTGAAGGGAGTAATCAACAATGGCAGCAGCCACCCCCACAAAATTACTATGTGGGACCACCACAGCAGCAGCAGCAATTTCAATTGCCCCAGGGACAATTACAGTATGCCCCTAATGCATCTAGCCCATCAGTCCAACCACCTCCACCTATGAATCAACCATACGGCGAGCCTCCACCGTACACCTTCGAGGAGAAGTTCGCTATACAGAGGCCAAGGTACAATGACCTTTGGGCTGCAGTTCTTGTAGGTACCTTTGTTTTCGGTCTGATTAAGACCAAACTTGAGAGGCACTGCTATATTGATGTTGATATTACAATTATGCTCTAGTTCATTGCCGACCTCTTGGGGTTGCTAGCTTTGAGTATCATTAGCTTTAGAAGCTACTCGGAAAACAAAAGAGTACAGAATGGCGGTGGAACCGGTGTTCGTGGGAATGAACAAAGTGATTTCGGGGTAAGTTTCCTCCTCGTGTACAAAATGCTTTATATATTCCAAACTCCGATTCGTAATCTCGTCACTGATCCGTCACGATGCTTATAACTAAGGTTAGCTCTCCAACAACACCATTGTTTTGTTTATTCTTGTCTGCGGAGTTTCATTCATATTATCATATGGTTATTTTCTTGCAGCACGAGCCTGGACAAAACAGATAATTTACGCTACTGCAACCCTGAAGTAAGCAAATCCAATTATATCACATTATGACTCTGCCTTAATCTTGGATTAGCATTATTGTGGGTATTGGAACTGCCGCATACTACTTCTCGAGGCAGAGATATGGAGCGGCAATCGTATTTCTTATTTTCGCCTTGTTCTATGCATACTGTTTCTGGACATGGAGAAGTCGAATACCCTTTGCGGTCTTGATGTTTGAAACAAGCTTCGACGTTGCTAAACAATACGGCCACGTTTATATGGTTTCATCTCTTGGTGGTCTCGCAGGTGTCATATTTGCGGCGTGGATGCTTGTGACCTATGTGGCTGTTTACGCTACGTATGCACCAAGCGAATCAGACAACCTGGCATGTAGAGCCGGCAGGACAGGGAATGTTACATGCTCCAATGGCAAGATGATTGGACTGGTGGTCTTTGTTACCTTTAGTGGCTATTGGATATCAGAAGTGCTAAAAAATATCATTCACGTGAGCATTTCAGGAGGTAAATTTCCCTGGGTTCTTTCACAGAGGGGGTTACCTTGGAAATTTGAATTTCTATTAATCTTTTTCGGGGTTTAGTTTATGGATCATGGTACTTCTGCTCTCGTTCTGCCCAAGGAATGCCAGCACATCCCACACTAGGGGCTTTTAAACGTGCAATGACTTACTCGTTTGGTTCAATATCTTTCGGCTCCCTAGTTGTAGCGATCATTCAGCTTTTAAAGCACCTCTGCAGACTTTCCCAGAACCAGCAATCTCAAGATGGATGCTCAGTCGGTTGTGTAGCTTGCTGTATCCTTGGCTGTTTACTAAATTTTATTGAGTCAGCTGTGAGATGGTTTAATGTAAGACCATTCACATCAGGGAAATAAACTGGTTCATGCTGACCTTTATGAAACTTCAGCACTACGCTTACTCCTATATCGCGTTGTATGGCAAGGCCTATATCGATTCGGCCAAAGAAACCTACAGAATGATGAAAGATCGAGGATTGGACGCCTTGGTCAATGATTGTTTGGTAGAGTTGCCCAATATATGGTTTTGGTTTGCAGCGTTAAAAGAAAAACTGCGTCAATCACTAATGCCGGGAAACATGTCTAGGTCGACCCGGTATTATCTATGGCATCAGTCTTCGTCGCCATGCTTTGCACTCTTATTGCATATGTGTATCTGTACGCTACCGCGCCTGTGTATAACAGCACGGGATCCTTTACACCAGCCATAATGGCTTTCGCTTTCCTTGTTGGTTTGCAGATCTGCAATATCTTCTTGACACCGATAAAGGTGTGTCCCATTGACTCGTCCAAAAATTGATAAATGTGGAAAAATACGGGCTAACTCTATCTGACTTGATCTAGTCTGGTGTGGCGACAATTTTCACAAGCATGGCGCATAATCCTGAAATTCTCTTGAGAGACTTTCCGGAACTTTACCACAAGATGTTGGCAGTGTATCCGCACCTTGCGCAGGCAATCCATTCTTAGCGGTGAAGACGAATTATAAGGACTTCAGTAGTAGATAACCAGGACACTGTAAGAGGCTGGAAGAGGACTTTTACATTCTTTTAGACATTAAGTAAACTTTAGCTAATTCGGACTTGATTGATGATCAGTAGCCGTATTTCTAATTTGGCCGTTCAATGTCATCATTCTAATAGCCCTTGTTCCTATTCTAAGATAGCACGTGGCCCGATCAAGCAAAACTCTTACCATCTTTTTCTTTCGGATATCATGTCTTTTAAGGTGACACAAACAATAACCCATACTGTGCGGAGATCATGATAAAAACTATACGCATCTCTTATAGCCAGACATGATCGTAATTCTCCACATTGGGCATGACTAGGAACGAGAGGTCAGGTGAAGAGATCCCGTTATTGATCGAACTTGCCTAGAACGAGAGTATTGTTTTGACCGAATATCACAGCATAAGAGCTTAACCCAACGATGTTCTGAGGTAGTAAATGGTAGGATGTACATACATGTATGTATTCCATAAGATTACCGGTAGAGTATAAATTAACGGTCGAGTAGTATATGAAATACTCAGTCTAGTACTAATATCCTTTCATTAAATCTACATATTGTAAATAGATAATTTTAGAGTGCGCCGCAATCAATCCCAACCTAATGTCCAGGTGGATACTTGCGGGACAAGGAGCTCCCAATTACTATACCAATACTGTAGAATTGCTTACTTCCTTTAGGAGACATTATTATTTTCTAATAATTGTAATATATGTGAATCATATAAACTCACTCGGTATGTGATCATTCAAAGTAGTCTAGTGTTGCATCGTGCTGCGGAGCCTCAGCGCTAATCCCGGCTCGATTTTGAAGTTCCTCCTATTCCAGCTTGAGTTCCAAATCATCCATCGCAGAGCTCTGATCATACAAATAAGTCCCTAACTCCAACAAATAAGCTTCTCCGAATGCATAGTGTACAATCTGCTCCGCCACGGAGCCCACATTCTCCGGAATCGCCTGCAACAACCCAGGTCCAGAGCTTCGCAAACACCTTCATCCAGAGGTCGCGACCTTACCTCAGCGATGAGCAAATTGAGGCGCTGTTACCAAAGGACTCCCAACTCGAAGCAAAGGATACAACTACTAGATTGAGTGCGTGTGTTTGGATCATGCAGGTTGGGCAGAATATGCAGTTGTAGGTTTTTGAATCTCGTGAGTGGCAGAGAAGGTGGGTGCTAATCGCTACACAGCCCAGTGAGGACTATGGCTACGGCGATGATATTGTATCATCGGTTCCGGTTATTTAATCGGAATCCCTTTCTGGAACATAATTGGATGGTATGTAGGTCGTGAACAATGATTCTTTATTCATATGCGTTTGGCCTGGAGCTTATGTCGTTTGTTGCTCAGGATGTTGCGGCGACATCATTATTTGTAGCCTGCAAAATTGAAGATACACTGAAGAAATCAAGGGAGATACTGGCAGCGAGTTATAATTTGAGACATCCGCAGGCTGAACCGATCAATTCAGATAATCAGGTAGGATGTCAGTTACTTAGGGCAAAGCATGAATATACACTAATTATGGAAATAGTTGCTTGATGATGGCACAAAACGTGTTATTGGGATCGAGAGAATGATACTTGAATCTTCGTCGTTTGACTTCCGGTATCGTCATGCTCAGCCTTTGATTATCAAATTTGCGAAACGCTTCAACTTCTCGAAGGAGTTGACACAGAAGGCGTGGGATATATCTATCGATGTTTACAAGACACTCGCGCCTCTGAAAGCTACGCCACATGCATTAGCTCTTGCAGTTCTGGATCTTGCCATGAGGCTTGAGGGGGAGAAAATCAATATACAGTATGAGGAGTTCGAGGTTACTCGGGATTCGGTTCTGTGTAAGTGAAAATCTCTATTTACTGTTTTTCTTTATTTTTTTTATTTCATTTTTTTTATTTGGAACACTATTCTAACTTGAATGGTTATGATATAATATTAATGCCCAAAACAGCTATTGTTGATGACCTTCTAGATCTTTACACAAATCACCGCAGCTACACATTAGTTGGGACACAATATGATAGCAACACCTACCTCACACACCGAATTGAGCTCAACAAAGAACGTCAAACACATGGTAACGGCCATCACAAACACAATGGTAACGTCCAGGACTCGTTGAATTCTCCACCCAATGATGTTTGTTATAATCTTGCAAATGGACAAGTGACCAATGCGACAGACCGTGGAACTCATGGTACTGTACGCTTCATGATCGATCCTAGTCGAGAAAGGTCAGAGAGACATTTACTCGATCGGCATGCACATGATAGCAACGGGACTGGTGCAAGTCCCTCCAACGCTAGTTCATAAGGCGCAATTCCAATGTTTGGTTCTGTGGAAGGGGGGTCGTCCGGCCAACTGTTAATTGACAGCGATTTCTCAGAAGAAAAAGAAAAAAGAAAGGAAGGAAGGAAGAAGAAGAAGGAAAAAGGAAAAAGGAAAGAAGAGAAGAAGAGAATTCGACATCTTCTTCTGTTGTTCTTCTGTTTCTTTAATGGTTGAAAAACTGTTTTTGACAGGAATTATCGTTACTAGTAGCGAGTGACCGTTTCCTTACACGTTTAGGGCCCCTAAAGTAGAACTGCCATGATGATATGTTTGGTATGTACTATGTATGTATATGCATGTAGTGTCGAGTTTTGGACTCCATAGGACCTTGGCGCGTCGGAGTTCATCAAGACTATCTTAGAATAGCTACGAATTGCGAGGAGTCGATGGATTTATGAATTCTTACCATAGTGGAATACTCTCAAACAATGTCTCGTGTGAATGTGGCTTTCCTGGCTATGGCACCGGTCGACGTTAACCTTCCCGGCCATTGAGCCAGACGAAAAAACCTGTTTTTGATGCAAATAAACCACTTTCCTGGAATGTTTGTCTCGAACCAGACGTTAGTCCGCTCACTTAATGTAGAGCCTTGTATATCCGATTTTACATAAGCAAACCTGATTTTATCCCCCTGCCATTAGGTCAATACCTCCCATAATTTTCAAGTCTACATGTAACTACTCCTTCACGAAAGTGAAGAGAACTGGAATAGATAATCTGTAGTCTTGATTGCCTACTGATTTTCCATTTTAAATTTTTGACTTTCTTATTTTTGTGGGCTAGATGTGTTTGGCACGGGAGTAGATCCAGGTGAGGTATTAGACCGGCACCATAGAAGATACACAGTAGTGCGTAGGTGCCAGCACATATTAAATCATAGCATCGCACTCGGTCTGGCCTGTTATCCTCTCGGCACACTCCACTTGATCCTCGGCAATGATGTAATCCGTACCTGCGGCATAAGTCTCCCTCCACATCACCTACCCATCATTCGGAATTCAGACAGACATACAGAAAATGGCATCTAATCGAATCACAGCATCTATCATCCGCTGCTACCTTGCGGCTTCGAGACCGATCGCAATTCCTTGCCCTAACCGTACTATCACTCACACCAGCCTACGTCCCTCTCTACAGACTCAATCCAAAATCATCCAGGTCTCATGGGGTACAATTCGGCATCACTCCACTCCAGTCCCAGAGTCGAAGGTTTATGGCTACGATCATGTCAGTTTAACAACTCCCTTCCACACTGCCTGTTCACATCTTAACAATTGGTTAGATCAAATCTTTTTCGGCAAACCCCTCTGCCAACAGGCTTCTCGTTGACGTGCGTGAGCCCAACGAATTTCGGAATGGGGCCATCCCAACAGCCATAAATGTGCCTATTGCGACTGCACCGGAAGCCTGGAGTTTACCAGAGGATGAATTTGAAGACCGCTTCGGATTCCCAAAGCCGCAGGCAGATATAGAATTGGTATTTTACTGCAAGGCGGGGGTGAGAAGTAGTGCCGCTGCCCAGTTGGCGCTACAAAATGGGTACGGGAAAGTAGGCGAGTACAGGGGAAGTTGGCTGGACTGGGAGAAAAGGACCACAGGATGATGGTTATTTATGAGAATTATTGAAAAAACATCAATATAATAGACTTTGACATTCACTAGTCAAAGAGGAATGATGTCGATGTATTGAATAGGACAATGAAGAACCATGTCAAAGGTTTTACAAAGAGTTACGAACTGAGTGCCAAAGAGAGGGTCCGGCCTGAGATTTAATATCATGTGATCAAGCAAATTGCACGTTTTGATATGCAGGTATTATTGGTTTTGGTGAGCGAAGCCATTTAAAAAAAATCTCAGGACCGTTATCTTCAGCCACAGAATGATCCAGCAAACCAAAACCGGTCCAGCAGATTGTTACTCGTCCGGGCTATTACGCCCGTATTACAATCGTAAAAAAAGCAGAAATCCCAAGTCTTGCAAGAAAGAAGCGCCCAATAATTTTCCGTTGCCCCAGCAAATTTTTACTTTTTTTGAAATTCCTTGTATGATCACAAAAGAAGAAGAAAGAAACGAAACACCGCCGACACTTTAAGCATCAGTGGTGACTCTTCCCTTAGGGTTGGTAACCTTGACACCAAGAGCCTTTGCCTTAGCAATGATCTCAATGCGCTTTCGGGATGAGACGGCGTGACCGATCCTGTAGAAATTCGATTAGCCCACCTCCTATATTTTATATAGTTTGCTGAAGGTATGGGTCGAGGGAATTTACTCGGCGGCATATGTCTTGTTGTGCATGAGGAGCATATCAACATCGGAGGTGTTCTGGACAAGGAATGCCTTGTGGCCGGAAGGCATCATGTGCTTAGTCTTGCGGTTGGACCCGTATCCGATCTATAGTTCCCCGATACATTTCCCGTCAGAATCCCATTTCCTTACCCCCCCAAATTCGCCTCCATTCCCTACTGCCGGCTTGGTGAATCATACCGAAGGCATGGCAGCCTGTCCCTTAAACCGCCTTCTGACCCGGTTGTCAATACCCTTAGGCTTCCTCCATGACGGCTTGACGGTCTTGTAGGTATCGCTCTGGTGGCTATGTTGCGGTCATAAAGGTTAGTCTTTGCCTTCGTTTGAGCTTCCTTAAAGTTTGTTGAATTTGCGGATTCGGGGAGAACGATAGATCCGAGAGCTGGTGAGTCCTACCGGTTGAACTTCTTAGTCCGCTTCTTGATGATAGGAACGTGCTTCTTTGCTGCGGTCATCTAATTAAGGAAATGGCGAAAATCAGTCATGCCCAATCCGTAATTCCATTTTCTTAGACAATTTTTCTGAGAGTTTCAACGTGAAAAAGCTCCAACGTTAAGATACGTACCTTGTTGACTGGGTGGTGAGATCCTAGGGTGGAAGGGTTAGTTGTCGGGTCGGTCGGTCTTCGTTAGTTGGAATTTGCTGGAGTTTGACGATTGCGAATATTCACTTCCGCCTGCATGTGTTGTGTGGGCACACCAATTGTGACTGCCATTTACATGGTGTTGCCCTGTCTGGTATGATATGTTCTCGGCCTGTCATAAGATGGTATACCAGCGCATGCCAATTATCGTTACCCGGCTACAAAACCACGTGCCAATGCATGCATGGTGCGTCGCAAACAAAAACGTAAACAACGACAACATACTTTAGAGCTGTGCCCCTTCTATATGCACTTCGATCACATCAAGCATCATGAGGGTTGTGGAGATTATTATCGACGTAACGATCCCCTACTTATTAATGCTTAATCTTGGAATCTAAGCTTTCGCAGGGATTCAAATCATATGCAGTTCGTACGGTCATCACCGACTGGTTTGTTGGCTCACCCTCTCACCGGGATTCTATGACTGAGTGGAGCCTAGGGATGAAAGCTTCAACTCGATTACCGGTCTTAATGGGTCAGGAAAATCAAATATTCTCGACGCAATATGTTTCGTCCTTGGAATCACCAATATGTCCACTGTACGGGCGCAGAACCTACAGGATTTGATTTACAAGCGTGGACAGGCCGGTGTTACTAAAGCGAGCGTTACAATCGTTTTTGATAATTCCGACAAGGCAAAGAGTCCTATGAACTACCAAGATTTTGCGCAAATCAGTGTTACAAGACAGGTATGATAGTTTGACATCACGAATAGGTTTGAGTGGATGCTAATTAAGCTTGAGTAGATCGTATTGGGTGGATTGAGCAAATATCTCATTAACGGTTCACGAACCCAGCAGCACGTTGTCCAAACCCTCTTCCAAAGTGTTCAGCTAAATATCAACAATCCCAACTTCCTCATTATGCAGGGGCGTATCACAAAGGTGCTCAATATGAAGCCAACGGAAATCTTATCCATGATTGAGGAAGCTGCCGGGACAAGAATGTTTGAGGACAGGAGGGACAAAGCATTAAAAACAATGGCAAAGAAAGACAAAAAGGTTGACGAAATCAACGACCTATTAAAGGAGGAGATTGAGCCCAAACTTGAAAAACTACGCATGGAAAAACGAGCCTTTTTAGATTTCCAACAAACTCAGAGCGATTTGGAACGCTTAACTAAGATTGTTGTTGCTCACGATTACCTCAAAAATCAGGTATAAAATAGAACTGTTCTCGATGAAATCCATGGGCAAATCGAGATACTGACCCTAAGGTAGGAAAAAGTAAATCGCTCAGCAGCAGATCTAGAATCCAAGAAACAGCGGGGGAAAGATCTTGAGGAGTCAGCTAAGCGATTAAAGTTCGAGATTGAGAACTTAGCTGAAGATATTAGGATGGTCAAAAGCCAACGAGAAAAGGAGCTTCGAAAAGGAGGGAAATTTCAGGCGCTTGAGGACGAAGTCAAGGAAAAATCCCACGAAGCTGTTCGATTAACAACTGTACTAGACTTGAAAACTACGAGCATAAAAGAGGAAGTCAAGAAACGCAAGGAGATAGAGAAGAATGTTAGAGAATTGGAGAAGTCGCTACAGGAAAAATCGAAGCTGTATGATGGCCTGAAGGAGGCGTACGACGCAGCCAAGACGGAGTTTGATGCGTTGAACAACGAGTCTGAGAAAAGAGAGGAATTGCTACAAACCTTGTTAACCGGTGTTGCCTCAAAAGAGGGACAGGAGAATGGGTACCAGAATCAGTTGCAAGGTGATAGATTTCTTCTTTTGGAGGAGCATTCCGGCTAATTAACTATAGATGCGAAAAACCGAGTGAGTGCTGGGGCGACAGAACAGCAACAAGCAAAACTTAAGATAACTCATTTAGAGAAACGAATAAAAGAGGAGGAGCCAAGGGCAAAAAAGGCAAAGGAGCAGAACGCCAGTCTCTATAAAGAACTCGACGGTCTCCGGGCAGCAGCAAAAAGGATTGAGGCAGAGCTGAGCAACCTAGGGTTTGAGGGCGGCACTGAGGGCGATATGTACAAACAGGAAACCTCAATTCAAGATAGGATCCGAGAGCTCAGAGAAGAAGCGGATGGACTGAAACGGCGAGTAGCCAATGTCGACTTCAATTATGCAGATCCTTCACCAAACTTTGATCGTTCGAAGGTCAAAGGCTTGGTTGCGCAGCTCTTTACACTAGATCAAGATAAGGAGGAAGCTGGGACTGCTCTTGAGATTACAGCAGGCGGAAGACTATACAACGTTGTAGTTGATACTGAGGTCACAGGAACACAGTTGTTACAAAATGGAAAACTAAGAAAAAGAGTAACAATCATTCCACTCAACAAGATTGCGGCTTTCAGGGCTTCTGCGGAGAAAATTGCTACAGCGAAGCGTCTTGCTCCTGGCAAGGTTCACCTTGCGCTATCCCTCATTGGGTACGATGACGAGATCTCTGCTGCCATGGAGTACGTTTTTGGTTCCACTCTAATATGCGCCGATGCCGAGACTGCGAAACGTGTTACTTTTGATCCTAACGTCCGAATGAAATCCGTAACTGTCGAGGGTGACGTTTACGATCCCTCAGGAACCCTGTCCGGAGGTTCTGCGCCAAACTCAAGTGGTGTATTGGTCACTCTTCAAAAACTGAATGGGCTGAATAGACAAATAACTGTTGAGACTGAACAGCTGAATGAATTACAACAATTCATGGCAAGAGAGAAGAAAAAACTAGATATGATGAAGAGACTGAAACAGGAGTTGAATTTGAAAAACCATGAGATTGGATTAACGGAAGAACAGATTAATAGTAATTCTTCATCTGATGTAAGTGTATTCTTTTCCGGTACAGTGATTAGAAAGGACTGATGCAAATGGATCATAGATCATTCAAGCTGTAGAAGAAATGAGAGTTAGTATTCAACAACTCAAACAAGATATTGTGGATGCAAAGACCAGACAAGATCAGGCCAAAGCAGACGCAAAAAGGATCGAAAACGATATGATTGAATTCAAGAATAATAAGGGTGGCAAGCTTGCGGAACTGCAAAACTCTGTGGCGGATTTAAAAAGGAAAGTGGCCAAACAGTCGCAAGAAATGAAGGCCATGCAAAAAGAATTCCAGACTGCTCAACTTGAGACTGAACAGACGGGGGGAGATCTCGCAGCCGCTCAAGAACAGCTTGAGGAAGCCGATACTGCCCTAAAAGCCCAACAGGAGGAAGTGACACAGCTTAAAAGGGAACAAGCTAAGGTCAAAGATCTTCACGACATAGCTCTCGCACATCTTGAGGATGAGCGTGCCAAGCTTACCGGTTTTGATGAAGAGCTTCGATCGCTTGAGGAAGCCACCCGAGCAAAAAACGCACGTATTGCGGAGGAAGCCTTAGAGAAACAGAAGCTTGGCCACGAGATCGAAAGATTTCACAAAGATCAACAGACCGCCAATGACATAGTATCTCACATGGAACGTGAACACGAATGGATCGAAGACGAGAAAGAAAACTTTGGCCGTTCAGGAACGCCTTATGACTTCAACGGACAAAACATCAAAGAATGCCGATCTTCGCTGAAAACCCTCACTGAGAGGTTTCAGGGGATGAAGAAAAAGATCAATCCGAAGGTCATGAACATGATTGATTCTGTTGAGAAGAAAGAAGTTGCGTTAAAAACTATGTTAAGGACAGTTGTCAAGGATAAGCGCAAGATTGAGGAGACTATCCAGAGTTTAGACAAATATAAGAAGGAAGCACTTCATAAAACCTGGCAGAAGGTTACCGGCGATTTCGGCAGCATTTTTGCGGAACTTTTACCCGGGAGTTTCGCAAAGTTGGAGCCTCCGGAAGGGAAGGAAGTCTGCGATGGTTTGGAGGTCAAGGTGAGCTTGGGTAAGGTGTGGAAGCAGAGCTTGAACGAGTTAAGCGGCGGTCAACGCTCCCTCATTGCGCTCTCCTTGATCATGGCGCTGCTCCAATTTAAACCAGCACCAATGTATATCTTAGACGAAGTGGATGCAGCACTAGATCTTTCGCACACGCAGAACATTGGTCGGTTGATTAAGACTCGATTTAAGGGATCTCAATTTATCGTCGTCAGTTTGAAGGATGGAATGTTCCAAAACGCAAATAGGTATATTATATGCCCACTTTTAGCCACATTACATTATTAACTAACGTTTCGATTAGGATATTTAAAACCCGATTCGTTGACGGAACCTCTGTCGTGCAGACCATGTAATTTCACAAAGCTGTACTACGATTCATACATGTTTTTATTTTTAATCACCCTTGGAAAGAGTTTTACCCTAGGAGTATATGCGGTTTAGGGGTCTCCGTTTAATTTATTTTGGAAGGAAAACTTGGCTGTTGTGAGTTTGGAGTATGGGCGTAACAATATTATGATAAAGTATGGTTCATATATATTTTTGACTCGGAAATTATTATACGCTTTGCATAATCGGAAGTAGTCTAAGTGCCGTTGAGGCCTATATTATAAATTTGAATCGAGATTTCGTGGGTGGCGCTTCCGGAGCGGAAAGCATACATAGTAATATACATAGCGAGTGATATTGTATGATTCACATAACCACAATCCTGAAAACATTGGTAAAAAAAAATACTTAAGGGTGTGAATACACTCTTGATTGAATGTTGTCCTGGAACTACTGTAAGTCTGTCTAGCATACGATTCTAGAACTATGTATAAGTGAGGATGAGGGTGAGGGTAACGCTTATTAGCTGTTCCTGTCCCTGCCATAATAACTACAGATAGCGTGTCTACGGGGACCTAGAACTACATGTATTAACATTACTACATGTAAATACTATGAAGTTGAAAGTGAAGAGTTCAGTTATATATGGACTTGTATTCGTTTTCTCTGAAGTTTTCTGGTAATATGGGAAGGTGGCAGGGGAAGAGTCGTATAAGATTTACATTTACCATTATATATACATATGTTATCTTCTCTAGCAACGCGGACAATCCAGTAATGCCGATAACTTACCAACGCCAATAACGCAAATGAAACCCATGTGTCTATCCCCACCATCATCTTCTAACCACTATAGCCCAGATCTCCGACACAATAACTCTCTCAGAGTTTTTCACTGTTCCCTCATATAAGACTTCATCGCTCCCTCCCGCACTAAATCGTAGTGGTAGACATTACAGAATACAGTCTAATAACGTAAATAGAAACTACATGTACACAAGAGAGCGACCGAAAAACATACCGGCCCAACTCCGACAAGAACTGTTCCAACACCCATTTCAGATAATTTTCGGTATGTTCACACAATTTGTTTGTGATAATAAGAACCTTACATTAGTTATCTAAATATATGTGGATTTTGGATCCTTACACCTTTAATTTTGAAAGTCCTGCCAAAAATAGGATTAGGCCCAGGCAACTTTTTCGTTGCCCCAACACCACCTGCTCCGCTCTGTCCCTCCTTGACAATATTCTTTCTCTGAACTACTTAATCAGTATAACTATCAAACCACCGTGGGGACCTGATGCTAGCCTGGGAAGTGCTAAATATCTAACGAATCGCCGGACCAGCAACGTGAAGCCTAGCCGGACGACCGGTAAACCGAGCAACTCGTGTGGCAAACATCCTGATAACATCCTAATAGATTTTTTTTCAGTTCATGGATCGTTTAGTCTTGACGCAGACTGCTCTTTGTTCCTGTTCGACGTTCACGTAGTTGAGAGGATTCAAGCCTTCAATTCTGACAATTGACACTTCGCCATTCTCAAAAGCGATATCCACAAGTGTCAATATTGGATGGAGTTGCTTGCCAGACTGCGAAATATTTACGTCAAAGGATACGAAATATAGCTTACGCATTTCATATCCCGTCAGCATATACATATTAGATTGGGGTATGGCGTCAGGGTTAGGGTTTGGTGCGTTTACTAAGTTTGAAAGTACCTAGAGTAGAGTACATGTAAGCCTACATATTATGTAGTTAAACATGTATTGACTGATAATTGATTTATTAATTGTGTCCAGCCCGGAGGCTGTGGCGTATTTAAACATGTAGGTAGAGCACTTGTACCTAACCCTTTTTCCGTACGCATAAGGCGAGTTGGTTAAACGTCTAGTTACATACGTGTAAGTTCAAAGTAATAGTACAAATTATGCTTAGGCTTAACACCCAAGGGAAATAACCCAAAACAGAAAGTAAAATAGGACAAACCTGCCAATATCCCTGAGTGGAGGATCTAATAATGATCTATGATACAAACCTCAAACTGTACAGCAAGAATAGATATTCTTGGAGTACTCCAAGTGCACAAAATATATACACAGAAACAAATGAAACAAATTCAAAGTGATATTTCTGGGGCGTATATTAGGCTCCCCTACCCCTCGACGCTATCTAGCGACTCGTAGGACTTATATTGGTATTGATATCTTGTGATTTCTTCTTTAAGCTGAAGCCCAATCAACCTGAACCTGAACCTGAGGCTTTCTTAGAACCTTCCTCATCATCAGGGGCGCCGCTATTACGAGGTGGTTTGTCTTTATCTTCGTGATGTGTGATACTATTAAAAAGACGCTTGAGGAAGCTACTGTGGCCAGGGCGGTTTTCAGTCGAGCTTGTACTACTGCTGCTAGTGCTAGGATCCAGCGCAGTATTGGACCTAGACCGATATTAGCTTGGGCTTTGGTAAGGTAAGCCAATTAGAGAAAGGATTTTAGGCAAACGTACTGGTCGAGGCTGACATTCATAATTCTATTCGCATCGGGGTCTTTAAACTCGTCTGCGAGCAACTCTAGCAAGGTTCTCTGGGTATGTGTGAATTTCCTGTGAAAATGTCAATTGCCGAAGGATACACAATGTAAAAGGGACAACTCACTTAGGCAGGTTGACCTTGTACTCAATTTTAAGATCACCACATCTGCTCTTGCCTATCTTTTTCATTCCTGCTCCTGGGATTGTAACTTTATCCCCCGAATTTGTTCCTTCCCTAACCTTTAGATCAACTTCTCCATCCAGGGTCGGGATTGTGATCTTTCCACCCAATATCGCTGTAGTGAATGGGAGCGTAGCAGTATATGTCACATCGGCGCCCTTCCTTCCAAAATCCTTGTGGGCAGCCACTCGAACATGGATATAAAGATCACCTCTTATGGTTCTCGCGCCTGGACTACTAGCGGGCAGCGCGTGTCCTTCCCCAGAAACCCGAAGTCTCATTCCGTCCTCGATTCCAGCTGGTATGTCGATATGAACGGACCGTGTTTCCTTGGTCACTCCTGCTCCACTGCACGTCCGGCACTCGGCGCCCCTCGGCATTAATACCCCCTCACCGTTACATGTGTCGCAAGTTGCAGCCATTTGGAATCCGCCTGCCATATGGTGAATTCTGGATCCAGTTCCACCACAACGACCACAATCTTTCCGTTTCTCGCCTTGCTTCATTCCTGACCCACTGCAGGTTTTACAAGTCACCAAAGGTTCCGTCTTAATATCTTTTTCGGTCCCTTTCGCGGCCTCCATGAACGATATCGTTGTTTGAAGCTATAAACCTTTAGTATCCCATTTCCTGCGATACCGCTAACGCTGGGTAAGAATTCACCTCAATATTATCACCCATAACGACACCCTGAAAACCCCCGCCTCTTTTCCCGTGCGTTGTTCCTGAAAACGCATTGAACAAATCCTCAAAGCTAAAGTCCGCCCCAAAACCACCACCCCCGAAACCCGAAAATCCGCTGGGATGGCCGCCAAATCCTCCTGCTCCAGCACCAGGATTGAAACCCCCGGACGGGTCAAAGGCGGATTCCCCGTGCTGGTCAAACATGGTCTTCTTCTCAGGATCACGCAATATCTCATATGCAGCCTGTAGTTCCTGGAACTTTTCCCGGGCCTGGGGTTCTTTATTCGTATCAGGGTGCCATTTTCTGGCGAGACCGTAATATGCCTTTTTAATTTCTGCGGCAGAAGCTGTTTTGGGGACACCAAGAACAGTATATGGGTTTTTTATGGATGAGAATTTTGTGGGGGAGGCGTGGAATGACTACAGAGATTCTTGAGTTTAGGATCCAAGTCTTCAATATTACAAGATTTTAGGTCAGGATACTCACTCTTTCAGTTAGCCGTCTTGAATTACTCGATGGCACTGAGGGCCTTGAGTGACCTACTGAGGACTGAAGGCATCTGTAGTGACATACTTGGGATTTTGTTCCACGCAATAAACGGACAGCGCGAGGCAGAACGAAGCTCATTATTTTGAACCGATCGTTGACACAATTGGTAGCAATGTGTGCAGCAATTTGAAACCTTGGGGTGTTTGGGTTCTGTTGATGCAGGTTTAAAAAGTTTTGGAGGGGCCGAAATAAAAAAAAGTATGACGATAAGGAAATGAGTAAGCAGACGGTGATTGGTCAATATGAGGTCACGTGAAAATCATAGTCGAACATTCTCGAAGCAGATGCTCAGGACGATAGAGAGTAGACCGTACACATGTAGGTACCGGGTGTTGAGGGTAAGTGATCAGAATCTGATAAGTGAATGTTGCAGTGAATACATGTATTTGTCTTATCAGATTCTGATCACTTTTCGCTACACCCTAGTACATTACTTCTCGGTGCTGGGCGTCGCGGGTGCGGGCCACGTCAGGTGCTCCATTTAAATACACTCAAGGTACATGTATGTACGTACTCGTAGATTCATGACGTTTCCGAACACGACCAATATTGCATGACATACAAAAAGGTGGATTTGGCGCTTTTTTGTATGGCATGCAATAGCAGTCGTGTTCGGAAACGTCATGAATCTACGGGTACATAGGTCCATAGGTACATACATGTAGATGTAGTCCTATTGGCCCTTACATGTAGTTAATACGGTACCCATATTACCCATAATTATACTGAGATATACTCACACCTTCTACAACTTCATTCCCGGGTATCCATAGTGCCGTTAGTCATCGCCCAATACATCTACATACCCTAATCACGTTTAATACATCTTCCAGTTCAATACTCGTCTAAATTATCTCTTAGTCATGTCTTCTCATACTTCGCCCTCCTCAGATTCAACCGCTGGTCTCGGTCTTCCTCAAGTGGCCGCCTGCCTCCTCGTTGGCTACTTTGTCTTTCGCTGGTTTTTCAAGACGACAGATCCATCGTCTTCGGCAGCCCAGCGCCCCTCACCTGTGGACTCAAGACGACTCCAACAGCAGGTTGATGTCATACGTGGAATGTTTCCTCAGATCTCGGCAGGCGCTGTTCAAGCTGAGCTCATCCGAAACGGTGGGAGTATCGAGATTACTACAGAGAAAATTCTCACGAATGGTTTTCTGCCTGAAGTGAGTGCTCTGAGCCTAGATGTAGCTATCGAAGCATGCTAATACTGCCATCTTTATTAGCCACCCGCTCCTGTCACTCCGGCTCCCGTACCCCCTCCAGCTCAAGTAGCAGCTGCCAGGCCTTCAGTCCCCACACAGCGGCGAGTAGCACCTCCGGCTACATCTTCGGCGAGTGGGTCGAATACAATTCTCTCACAATATAGCGACTTAATTACAAGGTATAACCTTCATAACCGTCTTCAAGAAGGAGACGCTTCCGCCGTCGCAGGCCCGGGAGGGAAGGGAAAGGCACCGGCGACCAAGTCGGACCGTCAGTTAGCGCATCATAGTAAGCGCGATGATATGATCCTTGCGGCACGCCGTCGGATCCAAGAGATGGATAGGGTGGCTGCTGGGCAGTCTTAATTCATAATTTGTGGGAATGATGAGCTTTACTTTGTTATGTTTTTACTATATTATTTTTGTTTTTTTCGGTTAAGTGGGTTTACATTCTTATTGCCATGAGACTGGGTGGACTCTGTACTTGGCGGAGTCGTTTTCCGGTAGTAAAGGTATATGTTTACGATAATTAGTGAATCTAGTCTTATTCTAAAGTTTTAGTTCAAACTATTGCAACAGTAAGAGTTTTGCTTGGGGGTATGCACTATTGTCGTTCTGTTGAGTCTGTGCGAGAAAACAAAATGATGTTTAGTTATAAGTCAAAGTATATTATACATGTGTAATGGCCGGTAGAATTATTGCGAAAGTGGGTTTTCCGTGACCTCCTATTGGCCCTTAAAGGAATTTTTTGCAGTGAATAAGAAGCCTACTCTTTTAGTTCTGGTTTCCGCGATAATTCTACCAGACTGTGTATGCCATTTCAATCCCCAAAGTATAGTGTAATGAGCGGCATCAACAATCAAAAATACACCTAGTGTAAATTATGGTTGAGATAAACTAATAATAATTGGACACAAAGTTCCTCTACTACGTTGGATGAAGGTTTATATGGGGCTCACGTTACAAGATAGAACGTTAAAAAAGTTCTCGAATAGAATGGATTACTACTGGCGTTCATATATTCTCACTCGAAGATCGGAGAGTATTACAAATCGTATGGACGGACCTAGCTAGTTTAGGTTGCAACCACCCCCAGCTCTGTACCTTCGTTTACTCCAATTCAAAGCTGCGTACATACACATCATCAGTGCAAAACAACTCCGCTACTATCCCTACTCAATGGCTGATTCTAAAGGAAATGTTTACGGGACAGCAGGCGACACAGTATGCCCCCTTCATAAGATCTGCGATCACTGATCCAAAACTAACGTGAACCTCTCCTTCACCAATTTAGGACTTTCGCCGGACATGGGACCGCGATGAATGGGCTGCCAAGGCAAAAGAGCGAGAAGCCAAAGAGCGTGCCGAAGGAAAACTTCGCGCTGAAGCAAAAGCCCAAGGTAAAAAGTACTACCGCGAACCCACACCTCCGGATGCATCTATGATAGAAGCTCGCCGCGAGCGATTGAATCTCCAGGAAAATCTCAACAAAACAACGCTAGTGCCAGCTGGTGCCGGAGTTGGCAAGCGCGGAAAGGGAGCTGGATTTTACTGCGAGAATTGCGACTTGACGTTCAAAGACTCTTTACAATGGGTTGACCATTTGAATTCAAAGCAACATTTGCACGCGATAGGTCAGACTTCTGAAGTAGAACGTGCCACTCTGGAGCAGGTCATCCAGAGATTGCAGTGGTTGCGGTCTCGAAAGCGGCAGCAAGAGACAGGCGAGGAGTTCGATTTGCAGAAGAGGTTGGCAGAACGTGCAAGGACCGAGGAGCAGGAACGGCTGGAGAGAAGGCAGAAAAGGAAAGCCCATAGAATTGAGAAGAAACAATTGGAGGTCAAGAAGGAGAAGGACGCTGGCGGGTACACAGCTACAACAGACGTAGATGAGGATGATGTAGATGCCATGGCTATGGCAAGAATGATGGGGTTTGCAGGAGGCTTTGGATCAACGAAAAAGAATTGATCTTGCCGTGTCAAATACCAACCTATCCCTAAGCCTACCTTTTCTTGGTGATGGTTTAACCCCGTCACGTCGTAGTATTTCGAGCAAAGAGCTTACCCATGATTGACCTTAGAATTAATGTAATTATTTATCGTAGGGAAAACTGAGCGTTGTACCGATCTCCCTAAACTATGGACCTCGTACTGTATTCATCTATGTGCATCGATTGACCTGCGCAATTATGAGTGCTCAAGCCAAGTCTTATTTTTCATTACCTACAACTGAGTGCAGGGAAATGAAATATAATTAAGTTTAATAGAAAAATATTTTGTCAGTTACAGGATTGAATTTAAACGGGCCAAGTTTCAACTACATAAACATATATTATATCTCAATGATTGTGGAAACGCTCGAGAAGAAAGCAAACTCGAGTGACCCCCGTGAAGAAAAGGTAGAAGCAAAAGAAAGATTGAAAAAGATGTACTCCATATAATGCTAATGAGTGAACCTACTCCTCAACAGGTTCTTCCTTTCGCTCCTCGATCAAGAGATCCTTGCCTACAAGCCGCTTGTAGATATCCTTGACATCATCTACTAGCTGTTAGAAAATTCTTGGGGGCTATACTAGATGCAAACTCACCTGTGCATGTTTCAAAATGGGTGGACGCATCGTAACTACGGGAAATAAAAACATTGTCTTTAGTGCCATCTTCAACTGGCTCATATAGATCAACGACTTGAATAAATCTACAGGTCAAAAATCAGTATTGTGTCCTCCGTAAGAGTGGTTGGGAATATCACTTTTCTTCTCTGTCTCCGAGACGGCCAGATCCCAGGCCAAGACGCTCAAAGCCAGGCTCCAGCTCAGCGTGTGGATTTCCAGCAGATGGGTTCTCAATCACTGTTGAAACGCTGGCAAGGTAAAATCCCTTGGGACAGACATTGAAAGTGGATGATACGAGAGAGATGTAGATGTCGTGGCGACGACCGATTTGACTAGCTGGAATGATTATTTGGGCCGAGTCCGCCATTTCGGTGCCCTCAATAGGATGCGTAAGCACGCAGATAGCGCGGATGAGCTGACCAACATGACGGATCTTCTTCTCATCATCAAGGAAATAGCTTGGGTCCGCAACAACCTTTTTGGTTTTGACGGTAACTTCCTCCTTGGTGTTAGGGTGAGGGAATTTAACGCCAGAAACCTGGCCATTCTCATCATACAAAATTTCTTGCAACGGGGTGTTCAAAGCATAAGTTCCGCCGTAAACCGCGGACAGGAACGAAAACCTTTCGGGGAGCTCGCCGAGTCCGTGGAGAGGGAAGATGTAGGGCGATTTACCAAATCGAGCCATGGACCTGACATAGAGGATGATGCGCTCAATAGGTTCACGAGCAGGTCGGTCAAGATAGGAGTCATCGACGTATAGAGCCATTGCGTGGCCAATGAACTCCGAAGTCCAGGCGTCAAGGCTGAACAGTTTGTAAGCCTCCCGCATGGTGGTCTTATCCAGGTCAAGACCTAAAAAAAAGATTAACATTTATGGAGTGAAAGCATAAGATAAGTAAAATGGGGCCTACCCTGCTTGTGAGTAGTGGAATCATCTTCCTTGTAGTTGGCGATGAATTGTAAAAAGGCCTGGAGGTGATTCTTTTGGAACAAAGAAACCAAAGAGCTAGTAACTGCCTCCATCCTGGTAGAAGGAACCTTGTAGGGAGTACCCTTTTTGACAACATAACTCCCACCAACTTGTAAGAGGTCAATGTAGCGGGTGACACCAGTTTTGTGAAGAACGTTGGTCAATTCGCCATCTGCCATGAGGAACTTGGGCACCAATGAAATGTGCCATTGATTCCACTCGCTAGGCTTGGTACCAAAAACTGCAGGTGGCTCCGATCCTGCCATGCCCGGTGTTGCGTCTACCGACTTTCGTTCCTCCTCTGCTTTGGCTTTCTCGATTTCCTTTCGTCGCTGATCTTCGGTCCATCTGAACTTTTTCCACATCTATAGCTCACATGTCAGGGGAGATCTCATACAAAAAACTGTGAAAGAGCTTGTATAGACCTCGAGCATGTTTAAGCTTGCACTCTCGCTGAAAAGACGAGAAAAAAAAACAGTAAGTACACAACCCATGAGAAATCAAGAGTTAAATGACAAACCCCCCATAGTAAGAGTTCTTATCGATATTAAGAACTTTCTTGCCCTCGGCCCCGAAGACCCTGCATGAAATTAGAACTATTCCTGATATTTAATGAGTTGGAAGCACTCGTACCCTGAAAGGATACACTCAGTCAAGCCTATAGTTTGTAAGTTAATATAAGAACGTTAGTATTAAGGATAGCAACAAAGAAGAGCTTACCAGTGCCAACGATAACCACATCATATTCTTCGTTGAAATCACCCATTGTTCGGTATAAGCTTAAATTTTACGTACTGATGATAAAGTAGATGAATTGTGAAAGAAAGGAGACAGAAGTATGAAAGAAAGAAGAGGGAGAAAGAAGGGGAAAGTTGTCTCGAACACTTGAGGAGGCGGGGTTAGTTGGGTTGACGCTCAGACCGGCTTGCTATCCACGTCGCACCTTACTAAGAGCCCCGCCTTTCCGTATATGGACTAGTGCACAATCTTTGCACAGACACATAGCGTTGTAAGTCAACTGGAATCGCATAAGGTAGAGGTATTTCAGTACCACAGACGTGTCTCCCAACGGGGGGCTACCTAGATTGCTACCACCGGATATAAGATCCCCGAAGGAAAGTAAGGAGAGGTAGGTACATCCACTGCAGTACATGTATTTTGTGTCGGACTTCATGAGACTTGTCATACAAAAATACAATTACAGGCACTGGAGATTAACGCTGGGGTAACAAACATAAATCCCCGGAGAGCAATGACGTTTGAAAATCGTATAGAGCTTTCTAAAGCAAGTCCGATACTGTATACAAAAAAAGGAGACAACTGCATATACACCTATAAACTTATCTATATAGTATCAGCTCATATTACAAGCTGAATCAATTGCAATTCTTGCCCTACCACAAAGAGTACAGTGCGAAAACAAACTACATGTACCTACATGTACGCTACGTGAGCAAATCGAGTCACGTGATACAAATCTGTTCCCGGTCTATAAGAGAGGGCACAGCCTGGTACTACATGTACTTGGCCGATTTTTAAGTGTAGGACGGAACTACAACGAGCCTAACGGTTGCCACTCACCCTTCCTTGTACTTCCGTCCTACACTTAAAAATCGGGCAAGTAGATATCATCCCTTTGCGAGAGCTGATTTTCCTACTTGGGCCGATCAATAGGCATAAAGCTGGTGAGCTAAACATGGTCATTGGTCCATACATGTAGGTATGTATTTAATCTACGATCTTAATATTTAAAAAAGGTTGTAGAAGAAGGAAAGGTTCGGATCACCTGTAGACGGTCCAATCAGTAACGAAATTTTTTAAGTAGCGGCTAGCGCCAAGAAGAAAAAGCAGGGGTATGGTGCGCCCACGCTTAAAGGTAGCGGATCGCGACGAAATGTCAATGGCTTATAACTTTTCAACGAAAAATCGTAAAAAAAAAGTGTAATGATAGAACTCTAGTACTAGTGATGAAGTTTAGTTCTATCGTTGTAGAATTTTAATATCTGTCTGGGTTGTAAAGCCTTAGGGGGTTGGAATTGTGTATTTTTGTATGTAAAATGCGCCAAGACTGAACAAAGTGGAACAGTATTACATGTATACCCATTTATACCCCAGAAAAGCGGGTCTGACTGATCCGTGGCAGTAATGCCCTCTTATTGGCCCATGAGGCCCTATTGCAGCCACAATTGTTCCACTTCCGTATGCCACCATATCACCTTTAAGAGTGTGCGCACCACTGGCATATAGCGTGAGTGATACTCTATGGTTCACCCGGATTAACTATTCAATTCGAGCAAGTAGATATAAAAAGCGGAGAAAGTAAGGAACGATGGTTTCAAAGTGTGTACAACCTGATAGCGAGCACGGGACTATCGTTTTCTGAATGTAGCTGGGTATTGAGATAGAAAGCCCCGTAGACTTCACATTTACGGAAAAGTTATAGAATACCTTCCAGTTGAAGATGTTTGATCCCAATTGCCCCATGTTACAAAGTACCCTCTAAAAAAGAGAAAGTTGAATTCTTAGTGCTACCAAACATTTGAATGCGAGACTACTTCTACAATAATCTATACCATACTATTCAAACATAGTAGGTCAGTCAAAAGGTAGTAGGTATAGGTAAGGTTCGGCATGTGGCTGGATTATGTCCTACCTGCCGGCATTGTGTACAATGTTAAGGAGCTCGATCTGGAATATTAGGGAGGCTATGACCGCCACTTATCCTGTCTCCTTTGTACTTTTGGCTGCTCTCTACGCTTTCCAGTCGCGGGGGTAGGGACTGTATTTCAAAGTTTGTGATCAATCCGCCTGTCTCCACAGGTAGTACAGCGACAGTTAAGTAATAAGTGATGGAATGACTTGATGTATGGTTATACCTGCAAATACCGTATGTTGGTAGCGTTTTACCCAAAACAGGTATCACTGCGAGTCAGCCGGTTTCATCAAATATTACCTACCACTGTGCATTGGGTATAGCGCACTATTTAGGAATATAATATCTTGTTGCTGTTCTGACCGAGTCGTACGAGAGTCCTATCCGGCAGGAAGTATGATTCGGGTGCCCTATCTACCAGGTACCGGTTTTATCGGATTATACTCAAAAATTCACCCAACTCATCAGAAAATTGAAATACCGCTCAAGAGCAAATTACGATGTACGCAAAATAGCTAGGTCCCTAGCAGATTTCATGTTGGGCCAGTGCTTGCAAGCTTATAGAGATCTAAAGAAATCCAAAATTACTTACTCACGCAACGTCTCCTGTCCCTCGCCCGACCGCTTGTGTGTAACGGGGGTCTATGGGTGTAGGGACTATAATACCAAGGAATACAACCGAGGCAAAGACGTAGCAATAGGTATTCTTGACTATGGACTGTGGGGTGGCTCTACCCGGTATGACAAACCAGTTGAACCCTATGACGAGACGTAGAACTAAAATAGTATTCGTGTAGTAAATACAGGAATTGGAATTTGATTTTATATTGCTTTGAAGTATAGGACTTATCGCATACCGGTTCCACCGCGATCAGACGTAAGAAAGTACAAAGGAAAAAACAGAAAGGAAAAGGAAAGATACAACGCGAAGAGTCATAAAGAAAGTACAGAAAAGGAAAGAAGAGAAAGAAAGAAAGGAAAGAAAACCCGTCCGTCATTCCTCCAAGTCTTCTTCATCCATTTCGTACCAGTCAAGTAGGTTGATTTTTGCTGAGAATTGTAGAACCAAGTCTACGTTGAGGTTGGTGAATAACCAGTTTTCCCAAGTGGGCGGTCCTGGGACTTTGTCCATCAGTGGCCTTCGTAGTTGTGTCCATCGGGGGCAGTCGATCATGGTGTATTTGGAGGATTGTTCCGACCCGCATTGGCAGGGTTCAGGTTCCGTGAATCCTGCATGTCTGTCTATCCTGGTGACTTGACATCGTATGCGGTGTATGAGTTTTCCTTTGGATCAGGAGAGTTTTGCTCGTTTGGGGTGGATTTTAAGGGTTCCTGGCTCATAGTAGTTGGTGCATGGGACGGAGTTCCACTCTTCCAGCATGCGTTTTGTAAGGGTGTCATTCTGGATCCATCGCTCTCTGCGATTGCCTAGTTCCTGGAAGGATAGCATGAGTGATGCGAATTGGTGTAGGCCTCTGCCTTTGATATGTTTTAATCTAATGGGGAGAAGCTGTATAAGTTCTTCGTTGAGTGGGTGGTCAGCAGGATGGCAGAGGATGCGCGTCCTATATTTCCGTGATTTGTGGTTGAGGAGGTGTTCGAGTGGGGGGAGTGCTGCCTCTTTTAGTAGTTTTTCGGTTTTTGTCCAGCGGGGTAGGCCTGTTATTATCCTGGCGGCTTCGGTATAGAGTGGGGATAGTGATCGGAGGATATAGTCCGCTCCCGTCCACCATACCTCTGATCCTCATAGTGTAACAGGGGTGCTAGGATGGGCACGACCGTGACTTCGATCAAATTAGAAATGGTAAACGGGGAACGATGGATTCATTGGGGCTCGTTCGATCGAAAGATGGAGTTTATTTGTTTGATCGTATTTGTAGTCCAAAAACTTAATAACTTTAAGGGGTCTCCTCGCTAGTAAAGATTCCATGACTCCCCGAGTTCAAACTGGGGGCAACCGAGTACTTTTATCGAAGTTCCGCCCCTTTTTTCCCGCTTTTTCTCCCTAGACCGTTCGTTTCCCCTGTAACAGGGCCACAGTAGGGCTGTGTAACAGGGCCACAGTAGGGCTGTTACAAAAATACCTGTTCTACCAGTCAAGCCATACGGCCCTAGGTTAACCGCAGCTGGTTCTTCATCGATGGGTGAAGAGAAGGGCAGATGAGCCCCTACCTCTATTGGTATAGAGGGTAGAGATCCTGGCGAGCAAGAAGTCTTACAAGTCAAGCTAGACGACTGGACCAAAACTAGAGCAGCAGGACGAGCAGACCAAATAAGGAAGGGTAACCCCAAACAAAAGTTACCCTACCTTGGCATTCAACCTTTGAGGCGCAATAACTTTGCAGCCGATGCCCGGAAAATATGCTTTACCACGTCAGAAAGGATCCTGGCGATGCTCCGGTCCATTTGGGGTGGTTGAATGAACGCATTGCGGAGTTGAGGAAACACTGCAAAATAAACACGTTTTAGACCCCCAAAAATAACCCCCGGAGCGTCGAACCGCCGGAACCCTCCTGTTTCAGCCCGGTGCATCTTTGGGGGGAGTAAGAGTGCGACCCAAACTACCAAAGCAAACCTTTGCTTTAAAAACACCCAAATCTATTCTAAATACTCTGAATAAGCAATTGCTGTCTGGTCGGCTGTTTCCTCTAGTTCCTAGGATCCCGACCCTTTTCTTGGCAAGGATTGCGAGATTTGACTCGGACGAAAATTCGTCCGCGGTGTGGTAGCAACTCTTCTCCTCCCCCCTGATAGAAAATAGGTGGTGCCCCCAGATTATTTGAAAGGCGGACGGCCAGTGAAAAAAGGAAAGAGGTAATGAAGGAAGGGGCGCCGAACTTCCATAAAGGAACTCGGTTGCCCCAGATTGGTTTCGGGGGGATCAGGGAGTCTTTACCAGCGAGGAGCCCCCTTAAAGTTATTAAGTTTCTAGACTACAAATAACGATCAAACAAATGAAACTCTATCTTTCCATCGAACGAGCCGAAAGGATAGCTTGTCGAATTCCTTTCTGCCTATCTACCTGATCGAAGTCACGGTCGCGCCCCTTCAAGGCACCCCCGTTACAGTATAACTTTAAGCTCCTCGCTTAAAGAACCCCACGAGAAAGAAAA